AGGGGGGGGGGGGAATTATTATTAAATTTTTTAATCCTTTTTTTTTGTAAAACCCACCCCCCAATAATAAAAAATGTTTCCCTTTACCCCGGATTCGGGTTCCTTGGGAAAGAAGACCCTCCCTCTTTTTTCAAAGGGGATGAGGTGTGCCCATGGTAATGGGGATGGGGAAAATTTTTTAGGCCCAAAAAAAAAAGGAGGGGAAATTAAAAATTTAGGAAATTTTGGGCAAGTTTTTTTCCGGGGACCGGGGGAAAATTTTGGGCCTTTTGGATTCGGTTCAACCCCCTTTTGCTTTCCCTTTTGGAAAGGCCTGGGGGCGCTTATTTGGGCTTGCTTTTTGCCCATGGAGGATATCCGGATTTCCGGATATATCCTTTGGGGCTCCCCCCCCCATTAAGGTTTATATTCCCACGCCCCCCCTCATATATTTCCAGGTAAATTTCCATTTACATTTACATTCATTTCCTTTCTTTTACATATATATATAAAAACTTTTTAACCTGGGATTAATGGTTAAGGAAGGAAATAATCCCCCCTTTTTAAAAATTAAAATAAAAAGGGGTTTGTTTGCCTTTAAAAGGGGGGGGGGGGGGGGGGGGCTTGATGATAATGGTGATATAATTGTAGTAATTTGCAAATATGCACTCGATATAAATTTTACTATACTTTAATAATAAGGCTTGGAAGGATCGAAGAATATTATTGTGTTTGCGTTTTTCTTGCATTTCTTATTAATGTATCCAAAGAAGTATATATTCAAGTCTCACATCCAATGTACACAAAGCCAAATCAAGATGTCTAATAATAATAATAATAAGAAAAACAAGGGGATATATATATATATATGTATGTATGTATGTATGTATGTATGTATGTATGTATGTATGTATTTCCTTTTATTCAAAATATATGTAAAGATATATATATATATATAAATGACTTGGTTACTATGAGATATTTTGGTTATTTGATTGACTTGAGGTAAGAAAAAAAAAGACCCTGTTTGCTATAACCTTTGGCTTTAGTAGATACAAAAATTGCTTTCTTTCGTAAAGACATCAAAGACCATTACATGATCAACCTTTGACATCTTCCTTCATCTTCTTTTTATAATTTATTAGTCTACATTTGCCTGCGTTCTTTTCTTCCCTTTATATTTCGAATACCCTGCTAAACATTTTGTCGGTTTGTATTTTATATAGTCTATGAAAATGACCTAAAATTTTTAAGTCTTTATAATGAAATTAGATGTGTATATTTGCTTATAAGCTCTTTTTATTTATTATTTATTGCTCTTAATATAAGTATGAAAGCTATCTATAATTGGCTTGCTTTTTTTTTGTAGAGTATAAACCTCATATATATAGTTTTCAAAAAGAAAGGCTCGAATTTAATATTCAAATATCTCATTAACATATCTACAATCTGTAGCTCTCGTTCTCCCTCTTTTGTATCTTTTTTACTGACCAATAATTGAAAGAATGTCGGATTTGAAAGACCAGATAACCAAAAAAAAAAGAATCTTGTACCCTTCGCTATCCAAAAGTATTATATATATACGTCTGTATATATAGGCACGCACACATATATTGATATATTACTGAGGAGGTGTATACCACATGTAAAGCCAAATGCAATAAAATAACCTTTTTTTTTGTATTTTTATTCACAGAGAATATATAAATATATATATGGTTATTCACTTGGTACTTCTTTTAGATCTTCATATTGATTATGTAGTCTATGTAAGTCTTTAATAACATTATCATGGAATCAAATGAAAGTACCAAAATGATCATGTAGACTTAATTCAATATCAATTACACCTCTTCGCTCTCTCTCTCTTTCTCTCTATCTTTATCTCAAAAGTCTCAAATACTTTTATACAGTAATAATTACTATATTATTAATATTATTTGTAAACATGCTTAATTGTCTGTCAAGTAATTACATAGAAATCAAAAAAAAAAATAAGGCTTGTAAATCAACCTTGCAAATTACTTGTTTTTTATTGTAGTGTAAAAATTCATGTAGATTGTGTATAAATGAAAATATCTTGATCAATTTTTACTCTTTTCTTTTGGTTCGCCGCCTAAATTATTCTATCAACACCACAGCAGATTTTTTTGTGTAATCTTGTTCCTTAAAAGGATTCTTGTATACGGGGCGAATTTTGCCCATAACAGGAAATTCATTTTTTTGGGGGACTGAAAAGTGGGGGGATGGGGGGACTACTCTCGGCCAATAGATTTCGATTAAAAAATGTACTGCACAATTTCAAAAATGGTTCAAATTTTTAATTTGTTTCAAATAATTTTGGGTTGTAAAAAATTTATTTTTTATTTCGAAAAAAATTAGGCTAAAAAAAAGCTAGACTGGACCATAAAATCCACAGGCAGTAGCACACCAGTATATTCGTACCACTAGAAACACTAGTAGTATAACTGTTTGTACTTATGCCTGTAAATTACGTGATCGGTTTGCTGCAAACTACTATGTCTAGCTAATCCAAGAGACCCGGTGCCAGAAATTCCAATAAACCCAAAGAGCATAAAGATTTGAATTTCGAGAAAAGCTAAAGCAGAAGAACTAATAATTAGTAATTAAACTTAGTTATATATATTTAACAGAATTTTACCTTTGACTCTATTAAGGCATTTGCAATAAAAGGCAGCCAAATCTCTGCAAGTGAGGAGTAAATAGTTAGTCTTCTGTTGCTTTGTAAGAGGAACATGTAGTTATTACCTCTTTATTGATTTACCGAGATGATGAAAAACTAATTTATAAACTAGAATTGTATGATTAATAAACACAATGACATAAAAAACTTTGATAGCATAAATACCTTTGAGCTTACGGTCTTTAAGCAAAATTCTGCTTCTATAAATACTATAAGTATACTGGAATATCTTACAAATGGAAGCTCATGCAAATAATAAATATTTTGTGGAAAAGTAAAATGAAAAAGAAGACAAAAACACGCGATATTTTCTTAAAAGAAAAGAAGTAAAAAAAATTCTAATTGGTCCGCTGACATTAAATATCGATCTTTCCACATTTTATAAATTCAATTATTTTCGCAAAGTCATTTTCCCCCCTTTGTTTTTACAATCAATTTACTATTATGCAAAAGAATACAAGACAAGAAACATATAAAATCGTTAAGACTCGCCCCCCTAAAAGGCAAGGCGAACTTAACTTTAGCATCAATTCAGGTGTTTTTACCTGCTCTGAATGCGAAAAAGAGTTCGAAAAGCCTTGGTTACTGAAAAGGCATTCGAAGGTTCACCATATAAGTAATCAAATGGCAACCAATACTGTACTCGACGAACCCGAGCAGGCCGAATTGATAGTCGAGAACACTATTCCGGATGCTAATGCATTTGATTACTCGAGTGACGAAGATGACTCCTCCAGTATCGGGGATGAAGAAGACAACATTGTAGACGAGGAAAACGATATTGTCGATAATTTCTTTGATATTGAAATGAACAGTAATCCAGTTTTCAACGCGTTCTCTGACATGTTTTCTTCTGCTGCTGCTGCTGATGAGGTATCAATGACCGATGATGACTCTGAGATCCCGGAAGAAGTCTTTGAGACAATTGGCGCTGTAAATGACCCTACAAGCTGTTATCCTTTTCGCGATCTTCAAACCATGATCCTTTTCGCTTTTATCGATGGGGATAATGACATGATCTCCCAGCGAATGTTGAAGAAGATACTGCTTGCGATGAACTTGATCATTAAGATCCAGCAAGAAACTCCCATAGGAAGAACATTTAAGTTACCTCGTTTGGATGCTCTTTTAAATTATCAGGCAAGAAAGAAGTCCAAGATGCCTGTCTTTCCTTCACAAAGAATATCAGTACCTGGATCAAACGGGAACGCATTCGCCCACATTAACCTTCCGTCCGACCACTTGAGATTTCTTATGGCAAACCCAAAGAAATCCAAGTTGATCTCGTCCATGCCCGATCGTACCCCAAACCAATCGATCTGTTTGGAACAAGGTGAAAAGTGGAGAACCCACCATCTCTTTCAGCAGCCTATGCACACTGTAAATGGTATAGATGTCTGGTTTGGAAACATCGTTTACTTGAAGACAAACGATTGCAGCATCCGCTTTTTGGTTGAATCGTTCCACACGGCAAATAAAAACATTTTTGCGAGAGGGTATCTGGTCAGAGCGATTTCGATTGTATGCTATGGCGTTGAGGTTGCTGTTACCGATCTTAGAGTAGAGCAGATCTCTCACGTTGACACCACTCCTGTTGAAAGAGATCACTACTACAGTATCTCAAGTAGCCTTACCAGATTGAGTCCTGCTCATGACTTTCTTCTTTTTGGAGTTCATCCAATGAAGAAGCCTATGCCTCTTTCTGTTTTGCCCGGTAATGTAGATCGCGATGCAGTGTTTTACAAAGTTAGGATTGTTTCAATCATCCTTTTTACAGACGACACTTCCGGCAATCGTTCAAAGCAGTACAATCCGTTTGAAAGCTGGTTAATGAGATGCGCTGCCTTGCCTTTTAAGGATCGAAATTCGATAGCAAACATCCAGTTTCTTTCTACAATCCCTAAGAAAGATGGTGCAAATGGTATGTCTCTTCTGCCAGCAATCGTTGATGACTTTAAGAAACTCGAGAAAGGTGTAAAAATGTTCTCCGCTGAAGACAATGAGTATGTTCTGGTTGTTGCTCCCATCCTTTGGATTGAGGCTGACACGCCATGTCATTCGGAACTTTGCGGATTGCTTGGGCCGGCCACCACATTTCCTTGCAGAAGATGCTACATCGAACTTAGACGTGCAAAAGACTTTGTGAAGGACTTGTCCTACTTCTGTGAGTGCCATGAGAGACGAACTCGAGAGCACTATGTTCTTGCAAACTCGTCACCTGGCAGAGACACTGAGATCCCAAATGCTCCGAAAATTGGAATGAACACGCCTGCAAACGAGATAAGCTTTAGAGATCGTTCGACTGGCCGCTTATTAGAATTGCAGTCGTTTGATCCAGAAAAGGATACACCAGTGGAAATCCTCCACACGATACTTCTTGGTGTTGCAAAGTATATGGTAATTGACTTGGTTAAGGTCGTGCTTAAGAATGACACAGCCACAATAGCAAGACTTTCAGAATTCTTGACAGATTACACGCGATCAACTGGTCTATCAAGAAAGTTCACCCGAAACTTGAGACATAGTGGTTCATTCCTCGGTAGAGATTTCAAGGTTCTGCTTCAAATACTTCCTGTAATTCTGATTACAGAATTCTCTGGAAATCATGAGCTAGACCTTGTAATACCATGCTTTGTTGAACTTGGCCGATTGTGTTCTCTGGTATTCGTTCGTCAGGTGACATCAGACTTTGATAACTATATTATCAGAGTAGATAATGCAGTGAAGCGCTTGATCAGAGCATTATTTGACTACGATAAAGGAACCAAGAACGAGCTCCACAAGGCATATTGCACCAAGCCGAAAGTTCATTACTTGACACATCTCAAGGAAGATATAATTCGTTTTGGCCCAGCCCTCAATTATGAAACAGAAAAGGGCGAACAGTTCAATAAGCACATTCGCGAACATCTGTTTCATACGAATCGCCAAAACACTTCCAGGGATGTTTGCCTAAAGTTTGCAAAGCAGGTAGCATTGCAACATGTAATTGACGGCGGGTCGTGGATTAATAGCTCTGGCAACCGAGAGAAGTCTGGAACTGGAATAGAGAGGTTCATTAAGGACAACAATGAATCTTTGTTCTATTACACCTTCTTTGGCGGCTCGAGAGAGCTAAAGGACAACAACGACACTGGAGATATTGAAGATGACGCCGTCCAAAACAACAGTTTTGGCGCGTTTGTTTTTAAAGATGATCCAATCTCTCGCCCTCGTATAGGACTTGTCTCAGGCTCTGTTGTTAAGTTTCTTAGCATTGTTCCTCGTACGGATAATGACAGAAACAATAACTATGCCAAGGCTGTAATGACAGGTGAGCATTCTGATGTTGCTAACATGAATCTCGTTTGTAAGTTAGATTTGCACATTTTCCGCAACCCATTTTACATTGTAAATTTGAGCAAGTTCGGTTCCTACTGGTTCATTTTCAATAATATTCTTTTTGATGAATAAAATGATGCTACTTCTTTATTATTATTATAATTATTATTTGAACCTTCTGTTTTCTTCTTCTCAACATCAATTTTTTTGCGTAATTTCTGTGAAGTCATTTTTTGGTTACTCAAACCAACCCCCAACTTTCCTTAATAAATCCTTTGTCTCACTTGAACACTTTCTGACTTCCCTAACAGTTTTTTTTCTTACTTTAAAAGCCCACAAGTAGTACTGAACTTAATTTTATCCTTTATTCGGATGAAAAAAATTGAGTACGAAAACAAATTACAATATTTTGGCCTCTAAGCCAATCATATTGCTTAGGTGCCAATTTTCACCCAAAATGATAACAAAAATCTCTGGTGGTGAACAATTCAAGTCTGAGTATCCAATACATTTGCAATATTTCAAAACCAACAAGCTTATATATATGGACATATACATACATTATGTACATGTATGTGTATACTTGTGCATATGTATGCATAATAGAGACATTTGCGTGTGTATACACAGGTAGGTAGGTTCAAGTAGTGCTGATAATGTCATTATTATTATTATCTCTTACTCCACTATATACACCAAATATAATTCCAATTTTCTACTTTCTACCATTCTCAAAATATAGCTAGTATAATATTTCTTAGCAATACTTCTATTTCAATGAATAGATTTGAGCAAGAGGTAAATTATTATATATATATATATATATTTCAAAAAAATAAAAATAAAAAAATAAAGGTGAATAGTAAAGGCTAATTATATAGCTTGTAAGCCATCAAACTATGTACAAGAAATAAATAAAGCTAAGAGTAATAATAATGATAGTAGTAAGTGTAATAAGAATAATAGGATTAATATGAATAGTAGAAAGAAATGATAGTAGACTATAGAAAGGAATAAGTAGTATTAAGTATTAAGCTTCATTCATGTAATAAGCTGCTCCATCGAGACCCACTCCACGAGACTTCTTTTGAGCCTTCTTCCGGTCCTCACGCTTCTTAGCCCATGCTTTGATAATCATCAAAAATGCAACATATCCAAGGGTCATTGAACTCAGCGCCACACAACCATTCATCATAAACATTGAGTCTACTTCATTACGGCGCAGCCAGGTCATGGTACCGGAATTGGAAGCCATAAATAGGATAGAACCTGCTATCAACAGGAAAGCACCAACCGCTTCACTTGGAGGCCGAGAAGGACTAGAATTGGTCGGGGGTGAAAGATACATGGTGACATATGTCACAAAGCGGAATACGGCTGCCATGGACAACAAAAGTCCCCACATGTAGTGCACCTGGGTTGAATATGCTGTGTCTTGATGGTGATTTCCCATCGAAATTCCAGTCATCAGTACAGTCAGAGCCGGGAAAGGGTTCATGGAGAATGTCTGGGTCTGTTCATGCTTGGGTTCGTTGAGGGGTGTATCTTCAGTTCGACTCAATAATCTACGCAGAGTGCGACTCTCTACCAGAATACCAACAAGACCACACCACCACCACCTAACAAATGTTTTTTAAATAAATTAATATAATTAGCTACCGTTTGCTTTTCTTTGCTCTCTCTTTTTTTTGTAAAAAATAAGTAAATAAATAAATAAATAAATAAATAAATAAATAAATTATGGCTTACATAAAGGCAAGACTAGCGTGTTCAAGATCCTTGTGGGTCCAGGCAGAATCCTGTCCAAAGTGCTCCATCCATGTATTTGTGATACCGTATGTGAAAATTAAACCACACTCGATCATTTCAAAGCTGAATTTGCTACCATTGTCAACCCGATTCCACGCCCAGCCACGGTTTGCAAATGCACCAAGATAACGACCAAATGTAACGATGCCGTAAAAAAAGAAGATGCCACCCTTGATCAAGTGGGCAATGCAGCCAAGAACAGCCCAAGAGCGACATACACCATGGTATACCACCAAACCCGACAGTGTTTGAACGAAGATAAGTACGGGAAACACACGACCGAGAATCTGGTGGAAGTGGCGGAAACATGTGGTCGTCAAGGGATTGTGGGCCAGGGTCTTGAATACACGTTTGACACTATATGGAATTCGATTGGTAAAATCAAAGCGATGGTACCATCGAGACTTTGGCTGAATGTTGAGGTCTATGCTGTTCAAAGGATCGTCCTCTAGGCAATCGAATGCTTGATCGTCTTCGTCTTCTTCGTCTTCATTGTCTTCATGTTTTGTGAATGTATAGCCTTGGTCTTCACCATTGTGGTGCAGAGTATCCGCAGATGAGGATACACTGTGGCGGTCGGGGTGAGAGGATGAAGACGAGGACGAGGATCTGACCAACCGCACATTTTCGAGTTGGTCGTACGAGGACGTTGTGTTCATGCGACCGACTGCGTTTGCGACCTTTCGTAGCACACCTACGCTCATCTGAACAATCAGGAGTAAGAATAGAGACCAGCCCATGGAATGGTGTGAGTTTCCGGCATAAAGATGGGGTGTGGTATGGCCATAAAGCTTAGCAAAGAAGAAACCAAACATGGCTGTGATAAAGCACAGAATTTGTGTGGGCAAATGAAGTGAAGATCTAGCAATACCAAACATGACACCTGCTCATTGTTCGTTAGAAGAAGAAGAAGCAATGCATTATATTCAATAATAAAAACTAGTAATAGTGATAAAGGTAACAATAAGAAGGAGTAAAATGAGGGTTTACCTATAGGTAACAACACCCAAAAGGCCAAGACCATGAAAATCACATGAAGGTAAAAGTATCCTTTATATTCAGGAAACAGAGAATAAGACATTGGTTCAGTTCCTGTGGAATTGAAGGCAGGCATTGGAGGGTCTTCCATTGAATGGGCATGCTGAGCAGCTACTATTTGGGCCAATATTAGGCTTACAAGAACTGTGTAAATATATGACAGTCGAGCCATCTTCAAAGAAGAAGGAGAAGAAAAAGGAAAAAAGGAAAAAAAAAAAGAATAAGAAGCAAAGGATGCCCTTTGTAAGAAGAAGTGTGTGGTTATTCTTTTACTTCTATCCTTTCCTCTTTATATATTTGGTTTTTTTTTTTTTTACTTTTTTTTTGTGCAGCAAGACTTTTCTTTTTATATATATACATATCAATATTATATATTTTTTAATAGCGGTTGCTACATATATCCGACATGACGGGGCATCATGTCATTTTTTGAATACTCTATCAATTGACTGAAACATCAATGATTTTGCCTGCTTAGAATTGTATAAATGATACAAAAAATACCTCTTTATGAAATTGACCAGTAATTCGGCTTAAATTCTCGTATGCTTCATTTGTCTAGACAAGATACAAATGCACATCATCTACCAAGAAAGATAATGATAATAAAATGAAGCAAAGCGATTATATATATTATATAAAAATATATATAGTATAATCCGGATAAATTGGGATAACTTTTTCCAGCAACCTCCGTCTTCAATTCTGTTGTGGACAATTCATTGTTCCGTTTTGTCGAAGGGCGATCCCTTTCTCTCTATATCTTCTTTTTTCTTCTTTTTTATTTATTTATATAGCTATTATTATTATTTTATCACTTTATTTTTTTTTATTACTTGCGCACACACTTCTTTATTTTTCGGTTTACTTTCTTGACGCGGTTAATTTTTATGCATTTGATTGACTGTGATGACGCAAGATCAGTTATTCAAAATGTGAATGTATTTTGTGTTTTTGATAATTGGGATAGAATAAGGATTACTTGCATAATTCATCATACATATCAAAAAGGTATAATATAAATATATATATATAAAATGTTTCAACCCAAATCCAAAACACACACACACAAAAAATTTCTTACTTACTCACTACACTAACTCACTCACTCACTCAATTAAATTGTTACAATTTCTTGGTATTCTGGTTGTTGTTTTTTTTGTACCACATTGTACAACTCTATATCCACATCCACACCAACACCAAAACCAACACCCACACCCACACCCACCCACACACAAAACTTTGAATTACAAAAAAAAACATATACTATATATGTGTGTATAAAAATTGAAATGGAAATATTAAGCATTTTTAGGATGTTTTTTAAAAAAAAGATGAATAGTCAATAGTCAAGTGTATCTAATATGACTTTGATAGATACGTTCTTTTGTTCTTATGTTCTTGTTTTGTTTCTTTTTGTTTGGTTTGTAGTCTAGACAACCATATACAAATAATGATATCAATTCTCTTCAGGGGTTGTGTTCGGACCATCGATTTCCCGTCAAAAATACAAAAAAAAAGTGACGGATAAATAAACGGTTTCAAGCAGTCAAAGGCCATCAAAGAAGACCGTCAGATAATCGGACATATCATGTCACCCCTTCTATTGTGTTCCATGATTCCGAGAGAGAGAAGGAGAGAGAAAAAAAACTTGTAACTCTTTATAATCGGATAAACTGTGTAAATACAGATGGTTTAATCGCTTTTTTTTGGGTTATCGGCAATACGTTTTGTAAAGATGTGTGTGTGCGTTCGGAAAGACGACCGTTTGTACGTACGTATGTGTGTGTGTGTGTAAAGAGGTCTAGAATATATACTACTCGGTTGCTTTAAAAGTTAGAGAGACGTATCAAGTGAGAGATGTTGACGTTACTGCGGCAAAGCGGACACTCGGGCTTTAATATCACAAGCAACAGAAGAAGAAGAAAAAAAAATGTATACAATATGTTAGTAATCAATGTTTGCACTACTCAAAGTCTATCTCTAAATCTTTTATTTACCTTGTTCTCGCACCATTCAACCACACAGGACCAGCAGAACAAGTGACCACAAGGTGTTGCAGTTGTGCTATTGCGAGGTTCTAGACACAATGCACATTTCTGGTTCTCTTTGGGAGCTACCAAAGAGCTTTCTACTTCTTCTTCAAATTTGTCCATAAAATCAAAATCATCCTCTTCTACTTTAGCACTAGGCAAACTATCAATCTTTTCCCTTTCTTTCTCCTTTTCCTTTTCTTCCTTTAAACGGACTGCACGTTTGCGGACAGCAAGAGCAGTCTGGATAACCAGCTGAAGTACAATAAGAATACCCAGGATTTCATATCCCATTCGCTCCTCATGAATACCCAATTGGCGTGTAAAGATCTAGAATATATACACACCAAAAAAAGACGCCTCTTTAATCAATCAATTTTTTTTTAAAAAAAATACACACACACACACATATATATATATATAAAGGTAACTTACATAACGAATACCAGTCAAGCGTTTAGAGAAGCTATAATATGTTCCAAAAAAATAAAACAGGGCAAGATGAAGTGGCTGAATGTTCTTTGAGAATATTTCTTGCAACGACGGTGTGCGTTCAACTATCCAAGCAAGGTGTTGTTTCCATGGCTTGTCCTCCTTTAACTGTCCACGTCGCCTTTGTTTCTTTAGGTGTGCAACCGTACGTTGATATAGATATGGTAGGATCGAATATGAAAATACAAGGCTTGCTCTACGCTATTTTTAAAGTTTCATGAAAAGTTATTGATTATTAATTATTATACATTTATATTTACATATACATACATACATACATACATACAAATACATGTATTTATATAGTAAATACTCGGTACTACTGCTATTGACACCAGCCAAAACTTACCAATACACTCGGAAAGGTGTTTGAGGGTCCAACCTGAACAAGATCACAATACTCTTCTCCTAGTGTCTGAGTACCTATGTTTTTAACATAAGAGTAAATTTTATGGCTGTTATATATTCTTGACGATGAGGCTGGCATTATTGTCATTGATGACCTATGTTACTGCTTCTGTCATATAACTCACCAAGTAAAGTAGTAAGACCATGGTAACTAAAGTCTGCAAATGCATTGATTTCCTTTTGCCATTGATGTTGTCTTCTTGAGCCAAAGAATTGTTGACATGCACTCTTCATTTGTTCTTGTAAGATGGTCTGGTAATAGACATCTTTTTGATTTGCTCTGACTAATAATTCATTTTACAACAATTTAGAGATTTGTTTCTATTGTAGTTGTAAATTTAATTCAATTCAATTCAATTCATTTTTCTTTTATTGTTTGATGACTTGCTGATGTCAGGCTGTGCTCCTCGAGGGAATTCCATGGGTAAGGTAGGGTTTGCCATTATGATCAAGTAAGCATATAAAAAGTTATGTGTGGAACTTTGACTATTTGTCGTTTGTGGGGAACATTCTCACGTGAATTAGAGTGGATTTGTGTGTGCTAAAAAAATAATTAATATATATATATACTTTTCATATATATATATATATGATTTTTATATTTTTTTATGTTTATTTATTAATTTATTAATGAACGAGTTATTGATGTTGAATGGCATTTTCGTGAATAAAGAAATGGAGTAGCAGATGAGGCTATCCATGAAAGTTGTGTGGGAAGTTTGGGGGGAATTGATGGTTAAGTCTAGAGACAAAAGTATGGGAATGTTGAATTACAAATACATAGGATAAAAAAGAAGTAATAATAATAATAATAGTAATAACTGTAAGGCAAGGCAAAGCAAGGCAAGGCAATGAAATAAAAGCAGATAGATATAGTACAAAGAAGTAAAAGAAATGAGGAAGGCAAAAAGTACTTTTGGGGGGTTGGTTGTTTGGGGGGTTAACTAAATTTTTTTTTCTTTTTTCTGGTTTTTAGTCGCTTGACTTTGTGTCCTTCTCAGTTAAAAGGCCTCGGAGCCACTTGACTTCAAGTTCAAGTTCATTTACTCTCTCTTGAAGAGCATCGGACTTGGATGTCATCTCACGGACAGTTTGTTCCATGGCTTGCTCACGCTGCTTCTTCTTGATACGGAATCTTGCAGATGCAGCAGTGTTGCGACGTCTCTTGTCCTCGTCTGCTGCTTGAAACTCTTCTTCTACTTCATCTGGAGCACGCTTCAATGATGTGGCCGTTGTGTTGGCAGATGTGAGTGTGGGTGTGGTGGTAGTGGTTGGGGCAATAATAGATGATTTCTTGCGCTGTTTGGGCTGATGTTGCACGGTGAGTGGTGCGGAGGGCACAAGAGACTGACTCAACAGATTGACCAATTGTGAGGCATCCATGGTTGGTGGCTTGGGAAGAAGCAATTGGCGCGCTGGTGTGGCAACAGGTGCTTCTACCACAGGAACAATTGTACGAGGCACAGGTCGTTGCTGCTGAGTTTGCTTTGGCTGTATTTGTTGTACTTGCTGCTGCTGGAGCTGTTGTTGTTGTTGTTGTTGTTGTTGTTGTGGGAGTTCATAGTCGAGATAATTGACTAGGTTTTCATAAGTAATGGGGTCCAACTCGGGTTGGAACTGAGGTGTTGAGAGAAAGGAAGCTGACGGGGCAGAGACAGATGGAGAGGTAGCTGATGAGCATGTCTTGTCGTCTTCAAAGATACCAGAGCCAGGCTTTACATCGAATGTGAACTGGGCATTTGTCTATATATCCGCAAATACAAACAAGTATTAGTGTTTACCAAACTAGAAAATGAAAATAATTTACCCAAAGGTCCAGCTCATCTGCAGCATCTTGTTCTGTCTTTTGCTGTTCTGTTGGTATGTCGAACACAAGAGAGTCGAGTGGTGACATGAAGGTCGAAAATGGAAAGGACATTGTGTGTAAAATACGTGGTTAAAATAATATGAAAATAAATTAAAAAATAAATAAATGAAAAACAAATAGATATCAAAAAAGAGGTAAATATTGAACTGCCTTTAAATGAATGTTTTAAAAAAAAATTTAACAATTTAAAATAAGAAAAAAATAAAGGGGAGAAAGGCTTTAGAAATATATATATACATACGTAAAAATATAAAAAAAAATCGAATCAGAAAATCATCATAAAATATTTATATCTTATTTTTATTTGCTGTAGTAGCCGAATAAATCCAAAAAAGGCAATCAAGTCAAGATGACAAATCAACCCAAATTTGTTTTATTTTTTTTTATATATTGGTTTCACTAGAGACGTCTGTGGACTCAGATTTGTAGAGTTGTACAAAAAATAGCTATAAAAAAAAAAGGTTTTTTTTTGAAATTTTCAAAGCGTTTCCATAGAAGGACTATTAGTTACCTATATAATATTTTTGACAAGGCGACTACTAAAATTATAAATAATAGCATGTCCTATTGATTCAACTAAACTTTTCACTTGTTTTGGCTATAGAACAGTTATAACTTCTATATGTAATTGGGAGCTTGTATTACATGTCTTTTATCCAAGGCATATGTGATATATGATTAGAGTAAATTTCGTATGAAAATGAATAATCAGACTTTTCCATGCCATTGTAAGTTTATATTCGAAACTTATATTTCTCTATATATTTTCGCTGTTTTAATAGCGTCAGTTTAGAAAAGCAAATAGACGAATATGAGAGGCTACAAATTTGATTAAGTTTTGGTAAAAAATCTACCAAAACCTAATCAAATTTGTAAAACATTTTCCATATTTAAATATGCATGTAACGTAGGTTTATTTTCCAAGGCACTGATCTCGTGCAAAAAGTTGAAAATCTGAGTCGACAGTCTTTAATATATCTTCATTTTGAGTTTCAATATCAACTCTGACATGATTAATTATTTGAAATCAATGTACTTCATGGTAGTGGGTAATTAGGTTAAAAAGAGAGGATTTATATTTGCACATGTAGAAAAAAAGAAGAAGAAAAAACTATTCATAATGACGTGGATGAGGAAATACCACATGACTAATATTCTCATTGTTAATGTCGTCAATAAGACCAGTCATCCCCTTGATGGACTTCACCTCCACCACCTTCATCTCACTGAGCGTAAGCCTTTCCCACACAGGGAACATCCCCTCATTACTGGCCCAAGCGCCACACAGATGCTCATCGATAAAAAAGAGACTAGTCTCTCCCAAGACAGAATGGAAGAAGAATTTTCGAATAAATCCATAACTTTTAAAGATATAACTCTTGTTACTTACTCCCACAAGCTCGTCAGTGTCTTGGCCCCGAATAGATGCCACCTCTCACTAAATTACCGTAATTCATGCACATCTCTTTCTCCACAGCACCAAGAAACATTCTTGTTGGGCTCGACAAAAGCTCGGGACCAACAACATCATCACTCGCGACCTCGAAGCTGCCGGTCCTTCTGTCGGTTGGTCTCACAACAGCAGACCGACCACTGAGGCAATGCCGTATTCCGGCCTTACAAAACAGGATATTATCCATGTTTTTTCTTGTTTCTTTCCGGGACCCTCTTGTAGCTCGATATGCACTAATAAGGCATTCAATTGGACGGCAGCTATACACTCGCAGCGGACCCTTCTCTCTCATGATATAACCAAGATGAACCAGCATGTGCTTGTTAATCACGAAGATGGTAGACTTAAGCCTCTTCTCTGCAATCTCATCGCAAAGGAAGGAATACCATCGATTAATAGATCTATAAATGTGATTAAAAATTGCTTATTATATATATATATATGATTGACTTACTTATCCATTGTTCGGATCTCTCTCTGTTATTTTCCATCATTGGGCAACAGAACAGGCCTTGACCAGGTCCATGATTACCTCTTTGGTGTCGCTAAGGATGAAGTTTTTCTTTACTGCCACCGTCGAAACAACAAACAAAAGGAAACCCAACCAGTTGGCTGTCTTCTGTCTGCCAGTTGTTTCCTCCAGTGGCCTCCAACTGCCAGTAAAGATTGCCGGTATGTCTGCCCTGGACTTGGTGATTGTCCTCCATACATTAGACTCCATTATCTATAATGACAGGACTCGCGATAAATTCTCCACTCAATACACTGTACAGCTTCTGGACTTCATATTCACGAACTCAACTAGGATTCAAGATGTGTTTTTCTGTGAGGACAAGCCTACTATCAAAATATCGAAAAAAGACAAACATAAAGCTGACTGTTTAAGAGAAAGCGCACTCTGCCATTGGTCTAGTCTCCTCCCTTACGAAGAATGCGCCCAGAATTTATGTACTCTGACATGCCATTTCAACAAGCTAAATTTGCGAATAATGGGTACTAAGCTTATAAATTGAATCATAATCCATGCTTGCCTTAAAGAAATAGATATCCCTCTATCAGATAACAGCGGTGCTGGGATTGCTGAGTATTTAACTACTGTCCTTTCTTTGGCTGTAAGTAGAAAATACTTGTTTTTATTTATCTATAAAAACCAATATAAAAAATGACCTTCTTCAGGAGACACTGTAACGCAGCAGCAGCACCAAAAAAGAACAATTTCGCCTTGGCTGCAGAAAAATACACGCCCACAGAGTGCATGGGTTTCAATGTCAGCCATTACTGGAATTAAAATAGGTTGTCGAGACAAACTGTATGCAAACATAAAAAGTATATAGTCTTGGGACGCGGTTAGGCCCTGCAAAACTACACCAAAAGAAAACGTTAGTATTGGACTAGACTATTGTGAATAAACTAAACATCAAGAATGACATCAATATTTAAAGCTCTGAATGATATTCTTTAAGAGAAATAGCTACATAAGTCATTAACTACATGTCTTCTTTCCCTATATATATATATATATATGATCTCTTGAAGAAACAAGGATTTTTCTTGTATAATCACTTGGTTAGCCATCTTCTTTTTCTTTAAAAAAGGGGTAAAAAGAAAAGGACATGGAAATATGGGTCTTTATTGAATCTCAAACTGGTGTAATGTACAATTGCAGCTAGACAGTTGGGTAGCTGGCAGATGTAGACTCAAAAGAGTTTTCTCCAAATGGAAAGTGCAGACATTAATATTCTCATATGCTGTACGTATTATTAATCAAAAAATAAAGAAAAATAGGGTTTATTACACAAGAAAAATATATAGACGATCCAACAGTCTATCTTAAAGATCAAGCTACACAAGCTCTTTTTTTTGTTTCTTTCTTTTTTATTGCCTTTTTAGCCTTGTTGTAGCCAAAGCACAAAGTAATGCAAATATAATGATATAATAAAATACTGATATAAACACGTTTGATCTGTCAAATATACCCAGGTACAGATAAGCACGCGTAAAGAAGTATATATCTGTCATAAAAGATCATTTTGCGGTCATTGATTGACAAAATCGATTTATAGTTCAACACACAGGATCTTGTTTGATTGGTTGAATATATATATATATATATATATCTATATTTGAGATAAGACAAATTTGGCAAATATTTTTCTTTATCTATTTTTTTACTTTATTTTTTGCAAGTGCTGACGAGACTTTCCTTTTTCTGTCATTAGCTGTCAAGGTTTAGATGTACGAGCTGAAACTATTACTCATAATTATGACTTAATTATTTTTTTTGTGTTTTTAGCAAAATTTACATAAAGGAGAGTTAGTTGCAGTTAATTAAGGCGTTCATCCTTAACTGTTGTTTGTTTCATACCAGGCAGATTCGTAGGCAAATCATCCTTCCGAAAGTACCACCACAAAAAAAAACACACACACACACGCAGGCGGAGATGTGCAGCTTGTATAACTGTATATATATTTTATAATATAATATAATATAATATAATATTTCATAAAAAATTCCCGGAAACCCTTGAAATCATTAGAGGTAAGGACTAGAATGAATAAAAATATATTGTATTACTTATATTACTAAAATCACTTTTCTTGTTGTACCTCCAAAGCATGTGTATATATCTATAAGAATAATAGTGAGAATGTCATATCCGAACTTTTGGACTCGTCAATCAAAATCAAAGAAAGACTACCTCTGTAACCTCTTACTTTACAGATCAAATATTGCTGCTGCTGCTGCTACTATTATTATCATTCTTGATTTGAATAACAAACTATATCTGTGTCAAAGTAACTGACTATTTAGTAAGTGGTGTTTCCTTTTTTGTTTCTTTAAAGTTTAATATAATATATGGTTGAATTAGTAATGGTAATGCTGGTAGCAATAGCGATGGTAATAAAGCCGTCATTCATATTCTAGAAAGAAAATGGCTTATTAATGGATAAAGTTTAATCAAACAAACAAGCCGTTAAGCCGGGTGAACTCACAGAAAAGAAAATAGAAAAAAAGAAACGTGTGTTTCGTGTAAATTTGAGACGTACAAGAACAATAATAAGAGTACTGTTTTTTTTTTAAAAAAAGGCTCTCTTGATGACTTTCACTTTGCCAACCACAATGGTGACTTGGTAGATTAATTCTGATAATCTAGCCCTGTTTCAGAGCCAATACAATCTTTGTCTCAGAATTTCTAGATTTCATGGTAAGGTTTGGTCAGAAATACAAGGTGCTGAGCAGTCGAGTTGTAACAGATCACTAGGGTAGTTATTTCCCTTGCTGTTGCTGTTGAAAGAAATATTTGGGGTAAAGTAGATAAATATTTACAAGCAATAAGAAATGATATCGCTATGAATCATATACCCGTTTATCGCAATAATCAAACTTCCTACTGGTATAGTTCTAATCGGCTTGTAAAACTTATTGATTTATTTGTTTTTATAGAAAAGTAAATGACAGGATAAAGTTTAGCTGAAAATGCACTGCTTCGCATGGGTTTTTCGAATCAATTTCCGAAACTGATTCATGAACACAGCAAGGGTATAATAATGCACATGCGGTCAGTCTTTAACTTACTATATAATTTTTCTTGTATAACGAAGAAAGTTACGAGCTCATAATTTGTTTTTTTGGTAGCCTTTAAAAGGCTATACAATATTATGTGCTTTTCATATATATAAGACTGTTGGATTTTTTGTTGAAGAGGAAGATTCTAAAAGAGCATGTAACTCCCAGCCCTTTTTGTTCATTTAACCAGGTGCCGTCCGATTGTATAATATATTGTAATATACTTGGAACATATACACTTTACAAAAATGAAGCCCAAGACAATAAGAAGTGGTCCATACATACATATAAGAAAACAAGGTAAGATAAGGTTAAAGGACGATTAAGGAACCTATGAGCACACATTCTGTCTTTATCTTTCTTCATAAAATCTCTTCAATGGTACCTTTAAGAGTACATGCTTATATGTAGAGGGAGTGAATGGGACAAGATAATAATCACATTTATCCCATTTATCAAATTTATCACATCATTTTTTTTTTAAGTTAAATATGAATACAACTCAAGGGTATCAATAATTCGTTTCTGACACACACTTGACTAATTTACTTTCTCTCTCTCTTTTGTCAACATATTTCTGAATAGTAACAATGCGTAATGCGTAATGTGTAATGCGCAATAATTAGTTCTCAGTTCTTTTTGCGTGCTTTTATTGTACAACATAATGTTACACGCGGTCCAACGGAAAGTCATCTTGTACTTGAGCCCAGGCATGAATGAATAGATACATGTATTAAGGGTCATCAAAAAGAGGGCTTCTCTATTTACATCTGTAGAATTGTTGCTTAGTATTTACAGAAGGCAGGAATGCTTAAAGACGTGCAATCTATCTAGCATGGAATATACACATCTATGATTTATCTTTTGCTTTTAATGCTAACAACCCGCCACTCAAGTCAAGTCAAGACAATATATATATATATATATTACCATACCATGTCATCGTATTATAGCCCTTTTGTGATTAATGAATAATTTTATTACTCTGCTGCGCTTTGTGTATTGCCTTCTTTTCTATCCATCCCCTCTAGTGTTTCCTCTAAGAGCATCTGCAGCGGTTACATTAAAATTAATTTTTGCGACGGTTTTAATGTAGATTCCGAAATATTCTTAAAAAATCGTCTGCAGTGGTCACATTACAGACAACATTATAGATAATGTAGTCCATTTTTAAGGTCAGGAACATTACATGTAGTGTTACATTATAAATCGGTATTATCTTTTTGAATCGTTTTCTTCCCTCTCACATCCTTTGTTAAAACGAACAATAGTCTATAGAAATGAGCAAAGAAATTCTCACAAATTATGCTCACTATTAATCTGACAATATTGAGATTATTAAATTCATATTTTTAATGCATCTATAAAGAACAAATGTCCAATAAAATAAATTTTAAGAAAAAGAATATGAACAAAATCATTAGTGAAAAACTGGAAACTTTAGACAGTCAAAAAGCTCAAATAGTTCCTTTGTAATGTAACCACAATTTGGCAATCTGTTTTTAACTGGTATTCAATCCCCGGTGTGGCTATACTACACTATATATAATGTTTTCGATAATGTAACCGCTGCAGATGCTCTAAACCTTTCCCTTTTTTTTAGACTTCCGCTTACATTTCATCAAACATTTTTACGCGTTTCTAGCACATGCAACATTCGCAGTCACAGTATGCCACTAAGGAATAAGATCTTGTTCTACTACTTTTACTATTGTTATTACTTGTAGCAGTGGCAGTGGAGATAATAGTAATATTACTATTATAATAATTACTAATAGCTCTTGTTAAGAATTGGTAACGCTTTACTTTTATTTTTACTTTAAAAGGCTATCTGCCAGTTTGGTTAACACATTATAACTTTCCAAGTCTCTTCTCTTCCTCTTCCTTTTGGAGTCAGTGTAATTGAGATTGATATTGAAATGATTTTGATTTGTCGCGACATTGATATTTATGTATTTTAGAATATAATTGTAGTTGTGTTGTACAAAATTAGGAACGGCTGGCATGACTCTGAGTTCCAACAACCATTTTGAGGTCAATGGTGCACAGACACCTTCTCTCTCTCTCTCTCTCTTTCATTGTTATTATTTTTTTATTACCAAATATATATATTGGTATTTAGTAAATGGGTCACTCTTTTCTTATCAAGACCACCGAACCCCAGGATCAAATTTCACTGGAGATTGATCAATCGGATATTCACCTGGACTGTGGAGGGCGTGTTGGGGAGCTACCAGACTGGTATATGTACACTCCAAGCCATGACATCACCATTTCTACAGACAGGGTTCTTGAAGCACTAGGATCACTTGGCTTTGTTGATTCCGTCCAGCTCAACCAATCCAAAACACGAACAAAGAGAGATTTATAAAAGGAACCAGTCTAATAGCAACAGTAAACTCTTCCTTTGCTTCACCTATTACCAAAGAATAAGATAAAAATCCAAAGAAGCCTGCTTTTTTGTACTTTATATGATGTTGAATTTATAATTTGTTTAAATGTTTCATTACTTATTTAATCATCCAACAAATAAAGATGTTCATTTTTGTACTTCATTCATTCATTATTACTATTATTACTATGTAAATGGGTTGATTAAAATCTTGAAAAAATTCTTTTCTATTCATTTATTTTTGATAAAGAAATACATCTTTTTCAGTGTTGGCTGATTAATTTTGTTTAAACCACACACCGATTTCTTATTATGAAAGGTTTATATATAATAATAATAAATCTACATCCAATCTTCAGTAAATTAGTTTTTACCAAGAATTAAGTGTTTACACAGAACAACAACAAAAGAAAGTCATTTTTTTTTTTGAAATATTGTATTAGGCCACGATATTCACTAATTACTACGTCTTATTTCTGGAGTGAAATGATTGTTAATTGTTCATAAAGTTCGTTTCGTGATAAATCAATGTCAATACTCTTTAAATTATCTATATATTTATTTTTCAAGCTAATTGCTTAAACCTGGTACTTAAGAATAATAAATAAAGAGATAAAGTAAAAGCAAAATAAAAAGAAGAAGGTATATATATATATATATTGAGAATAGCAATTACAAATATCCGGTTGCAGCTAAGGGGGGGGGGGGGGGGGGGGTGATCCATGTTTTGTGTACATTACTCACATAATCTTACATATATTTTAAACTAGTCATTTTACAAAGAGTCTGAAAAACAAATTTATTTTAGTTTCAAAGTGTCAAGAGTAACTATGATCTTAGCAGCAAGAAAGAAAGAAAGAAAGAAAAAATCCCGTAATCTAGCATAGTGCACACTTTGAAATCAGTCTTTTAATGTAAAGTAGAGATACTTCTTCTGTTTCACATCTACACTCACATTTCACATTAACCTTGCCGTTCAAGTTCCAATTTTATTTTACCTAACCAAAAAACAGACAAACAATACAATACAATACAAATAGATAAATGAATAAAAGAATTGTAAAGAGAAAAGGCAGCAGAGTTATCTAGTATAAAATCTTGTCTATTTGATCAAAGATTCAAAACATAAAAAAAAGCAAAAAACAAAAAATGATCCTTCTTTGTCTCGCTATTGTAAGACATCTAATTTACTCTCAGAGTAAAATACGTAATACACATGCTTTAAAAGCGGCTTTAATAAGGAGGTATTCTTTAGTTTATTTTATTATATATATATATAAGAAAGAGGAAAAGGAGCATATAATAATAATAATAATCATAATGAAGCCATTCATCTTTTACATATATCATATCCTATATTTATTTATTTTTTATTTTGCTTCAAATTCCAAAAAAAGCAAGAAAGCAAACAAGAAAGAAAAGCAAAAGAAAGTGAAAGCGGAGGATAATAGGGCTTAAAGTGACTCGAAATTCTTAAACCGAATCGGTCTTGTTCTACTTCCAATGACTCCAACTGTTCGCCCGCAGCATCCTACTACTGGCCATCAGCCAATTCCTCGTATATTGCCAACTCCATTGAAGGTCCCGGATGATTGGAAACCACCCGTCTTATTACGTCAGGATGCCTTTCAATTAGAATGCGATTTGGAGGAATCGGGATTGTTTGAAGCGATTGCTAATGGAACCTACAATGAATTTGGACACGACCTTGACTCGGACAGCCTTTCGATTTCGACCCAGCAAAGTCTGAATGGAAGATCAAGGTGTCGCCTTTGTCGGAAGATCAGTAATCCCAGTACGATGCGTTATGTTTCCCCTACTCAGAGTCTAACACCTCGGTGAGTAATAAAAAGAAAAGAAAATACTAATAACAATAATAACAATAACAATAATAATAGTAATATATAGATTGAATGGCACACACCACAATAAAAAAAAAAAGAACAATATAAATAAAATGAGCACGTTTGATTAACACTTTCTTAGAGGTTATTACGTTGATGATCGTTGTCTTCGGTACCTGATCCACAGTGTTCATTCATTGCCTTTACGAGATTCTCAAATGCAACAGAATCAGCAAAGTTACCAGCAACAGCAGCAGCAAGAAAATAAACGGGAGCAAGAACGAAAGACAAAAAGGCACAGTGGACTGCGGTGGATGTTTGTAGGCGGAATCACATTGGCTGTATATACATGCTATCTTGTTCACGATTGCACCACGATGCGAGTTGTGGCCCCTTCAGAACTGGGATCACCTACTTCTACAGGAAGACCAGCACCAGACTATGTTTGGATTCCGGTAAGATGATGAAATATTGCATTGCGCTTTATTAATTTATTATCTAAATTGAATACAAACATTACGATGATATATATTTAAATATATTTATATAGATACCAGACAAGGCGTGCTACAAGTCCAGTTTGGCCGGAAGATTTTTATCGTTTATCTTCTCTACCCAGTCTTTTGTAATGTTAATTATACTTGGTATGGCATTTCTGTATGTCCAAGTCGTTGTTCGTCACCGACGCATTTTTTGAATACTTTCAAAGAGACCAACCAAAAAAAAAGAAAAGAAGAAGAACATGAAAGAAAGACAAGGTCAAATGAGAAAGATAAAGAAAAGTTCATTCCTCCCTTCCTTTCCCCCCTTTTTTTACTTTCTTTTCTTAGTAATCTTCTTTTTGATTTAAATACGTTTTGGTAGTAATTGAAAAAAAAAATGGCAACTGGTGTATATTTTTTTCTCTTAAAGAAATTCTTTAGATATTATTTTCATATGTATACCCACACTTATCATTTCACACACACACACAGTATACTCACCCACTCACTAAGATACATAATCACTCACACACAAACACAAACACCTTGTTAATTTCAACCCATTTTTGATTTTAATTTTTTTTTTAAAAAAAAAGAAAAATAATAAATTGTTATGATAATAAATTGGTTACCATGGAAACGTTTCTTTTTTTCTTTTTCTTTTGGTTATAAAAATAAAGTTGTGTTTTGTTGTGGAGACGGTTTCCATGGAAACAAGAATAATAATATAAAATGAAAGCGTCTGAAGCTATTGGCTGAAACAGTATACTTTATATGCCCGCTCTACTTTCTATTTTATTTTTTTCCTTTTTGTAATGAAACGGAGGTGAATGAAATGAACTAAACAACAAGGTACACGAGCCAAAAAAAAAGGACATTGTAATTAGGGCCTTTTTTATATATAAATGTATGTATACTCTGTTTGTTTGATTTACTAACTTATACTTGTCACCATGGAAAAACACGTACACACGTACACACGTATACACACATATACATATAAACACATAAACATATAAACACACACATATATATAGTTGATCTTCATTTATGATACGTTGGTGTTCATGAAATTTAGACTTTTTTTTTTGGTTTTTCTGTCTCTTTACTTGTGACAAAATAACCTCGAATAGCTGAGTTTACAACACAACGTGGCCCTCGATGTATCATTAATAAATCTACGCACTAATGTCTTTTCATTGATTGATTGATTTTTATATATATATGTATATACATCGATTGATCGATTGATCGAATGTTTGATTGTAAAGGGCAGTCAATAGACAAGTCATTGTACCGTTGTACTGTTATCGATCCAATGAGATATTGAAAAATACCATGCCGGAAGGGTGGCCAGGAATGGGATGGTGTGTACACCACCAGAGATTTTTGTTATCATTTTGGGTGAAAATTGGCACCTAAGCAATATGATTGGCTTAGAGGCCAAAATATTGTAATTTGTTTTCGTACTCAATTTTTTTCATCCGAATAAAGGATAAAATTAAGTTCAGTACTACTTGTGGGCTTTTAAAGTAAGAAAAAAAACTGTTAGGGAAGTCAGAAAGTGTTCAAGTGAGACAAAGGATTTATTAAGGAAAGTTGGGGGTTGGTTTGAGTAACCAAAAAATGACTTCACAGAAATTACGCAAAAAAATTGATGTTGAGAAGAAGAAAACAGAAGGTTCAAATAATAATTATAATAATAATAAAGAAGTAGCATCATTTTATTCATCAAAAAGAATATTATTGAAAATGAACCAGTAGGAACCGAACTTGCTCAAATTTACAATGTAAAATGGGTTGCGGAAAATGTGCAAATCTAACTTACAAACGAGATTCATGTTAGCAACATCAGAATGCTCACCTGTCATTACAGCCTTGGCATAGTTATTGTTTCTGTCATTATCCGTACGAGGAACAATGCTAAGAAACTTAACAACAGAGCCTGAGACAAGTCCTATACGAGGGCGAGAGATTGGATCATCTTTAAAAACAAACGCGCCAAAACTGTTGTTTTGGACGGCGTCATCTTCAATATCTCCAGTGTCGTTGTTGTCCTTTAGCTCTCTCGAGCCGCCAAAGAAGGTGTAATAGAACAAAGATTCATTGTTGTCCTTAATGAACCTCTCTATTCCAGTTCCAGACTTCTCTCGGTTGCCAGAGCTATTAATCCACGACCCGCCGTCAATTACATGTTGCAATGCTACCTGCTTTGCAAACTTTAGGCAAACATCCCTGGAAGTGTTTTGGCGATTCGTATGAAACAGATGTTCGCGAATGTGCTTATTGAACTGTTCGCCCTTTTCTGTTTCATAATTGAGGGCTGGGCCAAAACGAATTATATCTTCCTTGAGATGTGTCAAGTAATGAACTTTCGGCTTGGTGCAATATGCCTTGTGGAGCTCGTTCTTGGTTCCTTTATCGTAGTCAAATAATGCTCTGATCAAGCGCTTCACTGCATTATCTACTCTGATAATATAGTTATCAAAGTCTGATGTCACCTGACGAACGAATACCAGAGAACACAATCGGCCAAGTTCAACAAAGCATGGTATTACAAGGTCTAGCTCATGATTTCCAGAGAATTCTGTAATCAGAATTACAGGAAGTATTTGAAGCAGAACCTTGAAATCTCTACCGAGGAATGAACCACTATGTCTCAAGTTTCGGGTGAACTTTCTTGATAGACCAGTTGATCGCGTGTAATCTGTCAAGAATTCTGAAAGTCTTGCTATTGTGGCTGTGTCATTCTTAAGCACGACCTTAACCAAGTCAATTACCATATACTTTGCAACACCAAGAAGTATCGTGTGGAGGATTTCCACTGGTGTATCCTTTTCTGGATCAAACGACTGCAATTCTAATAAGCGGCCAGTCGAACGATCTCTAAAGCTTATCTCGTTTGCAGGCGTGTTCATTCCAATTTTCGGAGCATTTGGGATCTCAGTGTCTCTGCCAGGTGACGAGTTTGCAAGAACATAGTGCTCTCGAGTTCGTCTCTCATGGCACTCACAGAAGTAGGACAAGTCCTTCACAAAGTCTTTTGCACGTCTAAGTTCGATGTAGCATCTTCTGCAAGGAAATGTGGTGGCCGGCCCAAGCAATCCGCAAAGTTCCGAATGACATGGCGTGTCAGCCTCAATCCAAAGGATGGGAGCAACAACCAGAACATACTCATTGTCTTCAGCGGAGAACATTTTTACACCTTTCTCGAGTTTCTTAAAGTCATCAACGATTGCTGGCAGAAGAGACATACCATTTGCACCATCTTTCTTAGGGATTGTAGAAAGAAACTGGATGTTTGCTATCGAATTTCGATCCTTAAAAGGCAAGGCAGCGCATCTCATTAACCAGCTTTCAAACGGATTGTACTGCTTTGAACGATTGCCGGAAGTGTCGTCTGTAAAAAGGATGATTGAAACAATCCTAACTTTGTAAAACACTGCATCGCGATCTACATTACCGGGCAAAACAGAAAGAGGCATAGGCTTCTTCATTGGATGAACTCCAAAAAGAAGAAAGTCATGAGCAGGACTCAATCTGGTAAGGCTACTTGAGATACTGTAGTAGTGATCTCTTTCAACAGGAGTGGTGTCAACGTGAGAGATCTGCTCTACTCTAAGATCGGTAACAGCAACCTCAACGCCATAGCATACAATCGAAATCGCTCTGACCAGATACCCTCTCGCAAAAATGTTTTTATTTGCCGTGTGGAACGATTCAACCAAAAAGCGGATGCTGCAATCGTTTGTCTTCAAGTAAACGATGTTTCCAAACCAGACATCTATACCATTTACAGTGTGCATAGGCTGCTGAAAGAGATGGTGGGTTCTCCACTTTTCACCTTGTTCCAAACAGATCGATTGGTTTGGGGTACGATCGGGCATGGACGAGATCAACTTGGATTTCTTTGGGTTTGCCATAAGAAATCTCAAGTGGTCGGACGGAAGGTTAATGTGGGCGAATGCGTTCCCGTTTGATCCAGGTACTGATATTCTTTGTGAAGGAAAGACAGGCATCTTGGACTTCTTTCTTGCCTGATAATTTAAAAGAGCATCCAAACGAGGTAACTTAAATGTTCTTCCTATGGGAGTTTCTTGCTGGATCTTAATGATCAAGTTCATCGCAAGCAGTATCTTCTTCAACATTCGCTGGGAGATCATGTCATTATCCCCATCGATAAAAGCGAAAAGGATCATGGTTTGAAGATCGCGAAAAGGATAACAGCTTGTAGGGTCATTTACAGCGCCAATTGTCTCAAAGACTTCTTCCGGGATCTCAGAGTCATCATCGGTCATTGATACCTCATCAGCAGCAGCAGCAGAAGAAAACATGTCAGAGAACGCGTTGAAAACTGGATTACTGTTCATTTCAATATCAAAGAAATTATCGACAATATCGTTTTCCTCGTCTACAATGTTGTCTTCTTCATCCCCGATACTGGAGGAGTCATCTTCGTCACTCGAGTAATCAAATGCATTAGCATCCGGAATAGTGTTCTCGACTATCAATTCGGCCTGCTCGGGTTCGTCGAGTACAGTATTGGTTGCCATTTGATTACTTATATGGTGAACCTTCGAATGCCTTTTCAGTAACCAAGGCTTTTCGAACTCTTTTTCGCATTCAGAGCAGGTAAAAACACCTGAATTGATGCTAAAGTTAAGTTCGCCTTGCCTTTTAGGGGGGCGAGTCTTAACGATTTTATATGTTTCTTGTCTTGTATTCTTTTGCATAATAGTAAATTGATTGTAAAAACAAAGGGGGGAAAATGACTTTGCGAAAATAATTGAATTTATAAAATGTGGAAAGATCGATATTTAATGTCAGCGGACCAATTAGAATTTTTTTTACTTCTTTTCTTTTAAGAAAATATCGCGTGTTTTTGTCTTCTTTTTCATTTTACTTTTCCACAAAATATTTATTATTTGCATGAGCTTCCATTTGTAAGATATTCCAGTATACTTATAGTATTTATAGAAGCAGAATTTTGCTTAAAGACCGTAAGCTCAAAGGTATTTATGCTATCAAAGTTTTTTATGTCATTGTGTTTATTAATCATACAATTCTAGTTTATAAATTAGTTTTTCATCATCTCGGTAAATCAATAAAGAGGTAATAACTACATGTTCCTCTTACAAAGCAACAGAAGACTAACTATTTACTCCTCACTTGCAGAGATTTGGCTGCCTTTTATTGCAAATGCCTTAATAGAGTCAAAGGTAAAATTCTGTTAAATATATATAACTAAGTTTAATTACTAATTATTAGTTCTTCTGCTTTAGCTTTTCTCGAAATTCAAATCTTTATGCTCTTTGGGTTTATTGGAATTTCTGGCACCGGGTCTCTTGGATTAGCTAGACATAGTAGTTTGCAGCAAACCGATCACGTAATTTACAGGCATAAGTACAAACAGTTATACTACTAGTGTTTCTAGTGGTACGAATATACTGGTGTGCTACTGCCTGTGGATTTTATGGTCCAGTCTAGCTTTTTTTTAGCCTAATTTTTTTCGAAATAAAAAATAAATTTTTTACAACCCAAAATTATTTGAAACAAATTAAAAATTTGAACCATTTTTGAAATTGTGCAGTACATTTTTTAATCGAAATCTATTGGCCGAGAGTAGTCCCCCCATCCCCCCACTTTTCAGTCCCCCAAAAAAATGAATTTCCTGTTATGGGCAAAATTCGCCCCGTATACAAGAATCCTTTTAAGGAACAAGATTACACAAAAAAATCTGCTGTGGTGTTGATAGAATAATTTAGGCGGCGAACCAAAAGAAAAGAGTAAAAATTGATCAAGATATTTTCATTTATACACAATCTACATGAATTTTTACACTACAATAAAAAACAAGTAATTTGCAAGGTTGATTTACAAGCCTTATTTTTTTTTTTGATTTCTATGTAATTACTTGACAGACAATTAAGCATGTTTACAAATAATATTAATAATATAGTAATTATTACTGTATAAAAGTATTTGAGACTTTTGAGATAAAGATAGAGAGAAAGAGAGAGAGAGCGAAGAGGTGTAATTGATATTGAATTAAGTCTACATGATCATTTTGGTACTTTCATTTGATTCCATGATAATGTTATTAAAGACTTACATAGACTACATAATCAATATGAAGATCTAAAAGAAGTACCAAGTGAATAACCATATATATATTTATATATTCTCTGTGAATAAAAATACAAAAAAAAAGGTTATTTTATTGCATTTGGCTTTACATGTGGTATACACCTCCTCAGTAATATATCAATATATGTGTGCGTGCCTATATATACAGACGTATATATATAATACTTTTGGATAGCGAAGGGTACAAGATTCTTTTTTTTTTGGTTATCTGGTCTTTCAAATCCGACATTCTTTCAATTATTGGTCAGTAAAAAAGATACAAAAGAGGGAGAACGAGAGCTACAGATTGTAGATATGTTAATGAGATATTTGAATATTAAATTCGAGCCTTTCTTTTTGAAAACTATATATATGAGGTTTATACTCTACAAAAAAAAAGCAAGCCAATTATAGATAGCTTTCATACTTATATTAAGAGCAATAAATAATAAATAAAAAGAGCTTATAAGCAAATATACACATCTAATTTCATTATAAAGACTTAAAAATTTTAGGTCATTTTCATAGACTATATAAAATACAAACCGACAAAATGTTTAGCAGGGTATTCGAAATATAAAGGGAAGAAAAGAACGCAGGCAAATGTAGACTAATAAATTATAAAAAGAAGATGAAGGAAGATGTCAAAGGTTGATCATGTAATGGTCTTTGATGTCTTTACGAAAGAAAGCAATTTTTGTATCTACTAAAGCCAAAGGTTATAGCAAACAGGGTCTTTTTTTTTCTTACCTCAAGTCAATCAAATAACCAAAATATCTCATAGTAACCAAGTCATTTATATATATATATATATCTTTACATATATTTTGAATAAAAGGAAATACATACATACATACATACATACATACATACATACATACATACATATATATATATATATCCCCTTGTTTTTCTTATTATTATTATTATTAGACATCTTGATTTGGCTTTGTGTACATTGGATGTGAGACTTGAATATATACTTCTTTGGATACATTAATAAGAAATGCAAGAAAAACGCAAACACAATAATATTCTTCGATCCTTCCAAGCCTTATTATTAAAGTATAGTAAAATTTATATCGAGTGCATATTTGCAAATTACTACAATTATATCACCATTATCATCAAGCCCCCCCCCCCCCCCCCCCCTCTCAATGTCAATCATACTCTTTTTATTTTAATTTTTATAATGTGAGTATTATTTCATTCATTATCTATTATTCACAGTTTAAATAGTTTTTATATATATATGTAAATGAATGTAAATGAATGTAAATGTAAATGTAAATTTACATGTAATTATATGAGTGTGTGCGTGGGAGTATAAGCGTTAATGTGAGTGTGAGCACAAATGTATATATCTGTATATCTGTATATCTTCTATGGCTAATAAGCAAGCACAAATAAGCGCACCTAGGCCTTTCAAAAGGGGAAGGCAAAGGTGGGTTGATCGGATTCTAAATGTCCCAGTATTTTCTCTCGTTCTCTGTATATAAGCTTGCCTAAATTTTCTTAATTTTTTATTTTCCCTTCTTTTTTTTTTTGGTCTTAAAAACTTCTCCTCATCACCATCACCATGGCCACACCTCATCCCATTGCAGAAATGAGGCAGGCTCTTCTTTCCGATGGAACCGTAGTCCGGGTTAATGGTAAGCATTTTTTATTATTGGTGGTTGGATTTGACAAGAAAAATGTATTAAATATTTTATTATTATTTCTCTCTCTCTCTTATGTCTTTGTCTCTGTTTCTAACTTGTCCTATTTTTTTAAAAAAATAAATTAAAAAAATAAATAAAGACCATGTCTTCCTGGCGTCGGAGCACTTGGGTGAGCCCTATCATGTCGGGCGTATCATGGAGTTTCCGGTTGTTGTGGCGGGCAAGGGGCAGCAAGCTCGAATTGCCTGGTTCAATCGACCAAAGGATGTGGTGAATCGAAAGCACCATGATCCTCGACTCTTGTTCGCCACCATGCAGTCAGATCTCAACCCAGTGAGTGCAATCCGAGGCAAGTGTACGGTCACCCATAAGCACTACATTGGAAAGGAAGGACTGGAAATGTATCGATCATTGGAGGATCATTTTTATTTCCATCGTCTCTACGATCGGTACATGCAAAGAATGTACGAAGTCGTAGCATGTGAGGCCGTACAGAACGTACCTCTGGCAATCCAGACTGCCTTAAGAGAACGGTATCAGTTTGTTGTTGTGGAGCAAGCTATTGCAGATGACTTGATAGTCGACCGATGTAACTGCTGTATGTGTGACGAGTGGTGTGCGAGGTAAATGTTCATGATTCTCCTCCCCCTCCTCTCTCCTCCCTCCCCCTCTATCTCTCTATTTCACACCATCTCTATCTCTCTATTTCACACCATCTCTTTCTGTCTCTTTACATATCTTCATCGCTATATCTTCTTTATACATTCGCATACCTACATACCTACATCCCTACATTAAATTTCTACATAAATATTGCTCTCTATAAAAGAAAGAAAAAAGAATAGAGAATAAGAAAAGATCAAAAACCCCCAACGACAACAACAACAACAAACAACAACAAAATCCCCCTTCTCTTTTAGAGGTTGTTGGTTTAATGATGATGAAGATGAAGAAGATGATAAATAGACATTTGCTTTTCTTTGTTTTCAAAAATTATAACAATTATATATATATATTCACATTTTTGTTTGTATTCTCATCAGTGCCAAGTCGGTCAAATGTGCAGCATGTTTAAAAAGTTACCATATGTCTTGTCTCAATCCTCCTCTTCTTCGAAAGCCTTCCAAAGGCTTTGCCTGGCAGTGCGCCTCGTGTACTAGAGAAGAGCTCCTGGGAGGCTCATCCCAGAACACGTCCACTCCGTCTGAGAGTGACAGCAGTTCGAATAGCTCAAAGCCTGTTTCCTCCTCTCGTCCTAAACGACAAACCCGCACTGCCACGCGTGCAAATGTCACAAAAACAACCCAAAAACAGATCAAGAAAAGGGTCGCGCCTACAGAACCTAGACACACACCAAAAGGTAGAGTACCCCAGTCAAAATAGATATTACAAATAAATAGAAAAGAAAAAGGGATTTTGTTTTTTTTTGTTAAAAGATAGATAGTTAGATAAATACCTAAATACATAAAATAAAGAAATAAAATAAAATAAATAAAGACATAAGAAGAAGAAAAAGGTCAATGTATCTATCTTTGACTGTGCGAGTGAGTATGAGTATGAGTATGAGTATGAGTATGAGTGAGTGTGAGTGTGAGCGAAGTGATAGTGAGAGTACATAGTGTTAATATCTATCGTATACATGTCCTCATTGATCAATACATGATTGATTCAAATCTATCTTCTTTAATTAGCACCAGAAGAAATGACAATGACTGCAATGTGGCCATTCCGTTACTTCAACATGAGCACCCAACTCCTGGATATTGAATGTACGCCGAATCTGCCCATTTTATTTACTATTTACTATTTACTATTTACTATTCATTTTAATTTTCTACATCTTTCTTTCTCTCTCTCTTTTGTATATATATACATTATTTATATACATATGCTTTGCAGTCACATCTAACACCATTAATACTATCAAATGTAGCCAACAACAACTGCTATCCACATGCGAAGAGTCGTATAGGAGCAAAATACCAGGCTGATACCCCTGATTTTAAGTTGGAAGAGGCCTTGGCCATTGTCGACCAAAGTCGGTCTTCTACACCCCTGACAACAGAAGAGATTTCCCAGGAATCATTTGGCAAAGTTCAAAAACGCAGGTACAATAAGCGGGTCGGTCGACCCATAAAACGACGTTCAGGTATGTCATTTATTTGTGTACATATATATATATACATATCACTTCATTTCACAGTGTGGATTTGTGTATGTAAACATGCATACACACGCACATATAAACATATAAGCATAAAGCATATTCATTTATAAATAATAATATTGACATTAGCATTAGCATTATAATTATTAAGAATAACAATCATAATATTAACTTATTACAAAATAATGATAATAATTATGCTTTTTTTTCTTATAAAAATAACAATAATAACCAGCTACTAGCCCTAATCCTTCCAAGGAACCAGAACAGGAAGAAGTCGAAGAAGAGAATGCCCCTATAGCTCGTGGAACAGACGCCACATTGAGTCCAATGTTTAGACGTACGCAATGGACAGATGATACCCAAGGTATACACACACACACACACACACACACACATATATATATATATATATATATATATTTATATATATTTGCTATATTGTTAATGCTCTCAAAATGATTTTCTTATAAATTTATAAATATATTGTACACAGATAATCTTGAAAAATACATGTTAGCTGTCAAGGCCTTGCCAGATCTCCCACTTCCCCCTCACTCAGGTGATCTCTTGGATAGGGCCCTGCTTGAGTACGAGCGAAGTAACTATGATGCCTCGACCGCACTCTCTATCATGGCTAGGCTCACTACAGACGACTTTTATCATGTTCCAGAATGGTCAGAGGAAGAACTCGAAGCCTTTGAACAAGGAGTCCGAGATCATGGTCATGATTTCAATTTGATCAAACAGAGGGTAAGCACTAGTAAGAAGATTTCTTTATTTTTGGTTTTAAATAAATAAATAAATAAAAAAGACAAAATAACCAGGAAATACACACACACACTCACTCACTCACTCACATATATATACATTTTGATACCCACTTGTACAACAAAATTTGATCTTTTATTTTTGTTGTTACGTTTACTATTTTATTTTTTACTTAATTCTTTACAGATCCCTAACAAGACTATGCCTGCCATTATTCGATTCTTTTACCAGTGGAAAAAGACAGATCGATACGAGCCAGTATATTCAGAGTGGACAAAAGTATATCGCCCGACGTAAGTTTCTTCTTCTCCTTTACTTTAATTTCTTTATATTAAAGAAATGTTATATAAAATCCTCATTTATCTTTTTACATCAATGTATAAATTACTATGCATACACAAATAAACAAATACTCAATGTTTTTATTATGCTTATTATTATCATTACTTTCGACATATAGTAAACGGATCAAAAGAAGAGCAACTATGGGTCAAGATGGCCGTGTCAGCAAATCGCCAACAGAGTCGCTGGATTCTGAAGATGATAGTGAAGAAGAAACAGATCTGACAGTTGTACCGATCAGCTCTTACGAGCATGCAAATTATCGATGCACAAACTGCCACACAACCGAATCTTCTATCTGGCGCCGTCCTCCATCTGACACAGACAGAAGACGAAAGGAATTCAAATTTGTAGTTTGCGATTCATGTGGTGTCTACTGGCTAAAATATGGAAAGAACATGCCAATCACTCCTGAATGTCTTGCTGCTAACAATCGTGGCCGTGGTAGACCCTTAAAAGCCCCATTCGAAGGTAAGGCATACCAACTAAGCAAAGAAAGAAAGAAAGAAAAACTCCAAAGAATTAAATTTCTTCATTCTCTATCGCTATCTCTTACCTCTTCTTTCTCTCTGCCTTTATTCACTTTTTTTTTGCTCTTCTTAAATAATAATAATAATTCAAAAACTCAAAAACGCCTATTTTCTTACTCATCTTACTTATTATTTATGTCAAAAAAAGTACCAAAAACAGAAAAACGCAAACAGCAATCTGAAGAACCCATTGTTACCTCGGCTTCTAATGCAGACCTAGTTGCAGCTGTGACCAAAACGGAGCATATTCCTATTCGAAAAAGAATTAAGCTTATTGTACGTACATCTTAAATCTTTGTGTAAACCATTGATGAGTATGAGATCTATACTCATTTATTTATGTTTTAATATCGCTCTTGTAGAAGGATCGTATCAATGCTTCACGACAGTCCCATGCACCAAAGCCATGCTCTTTATGCTCTCATCTGGAGCCAAAAAACAAACTATTAGTGTGTGCTGACTGCAGCATGTCTGTACACAATGGTATGTTTGATTAGCCTGATTTAATTCTTATTTCTGCTTTCCTCTTTTAAAAAAAAGGAGGGGGAAAAAGCGAAAAGTAAAAGGGGTCGTACTTACTTTTACTACCCTTTTTTCTCTTTCTTTCTATTTAACACACACACACACAAATATTTAACCTGCTTATAATAGATTGTATTGGTTCTGTGTCTGACAAACCTGTCCCTTGGATATGCGATGTCTGTACTAATAGACGTCATCCTAAAGTGTCATCTGTAAGCAAGTTTATTTTATTTCTACTTTTAAAGAAAAAACAGTGAGAAAATGTATTACCTAGGCTACCTAGATTCTAACTACTACTGCTACCTGCTATTTGTTATTTGTTATTTACGTGTGCGTGTGCGTGTGCGTGTGCGTGTGCGCGTGTATTAATTCCGTCTTTGTAGGACTATACGTGTGTTATCTGCCTAGATACTGACCGTGACACTCGTCGGCCAATGAAGCCCACTTCGGATTACAAGTGGGCTCATGTCAGCTGCGCGACATTTATTCCAGAAGTCAAGTTGGTCCATCCTGAAACTCTTCAACCAATTGAATACATCAATGCCATACATCCTGCTCGGTGGCAAAAAGATTGTGAAATCTGTCACAACTCGAGCGGGGCTAAGGTGGCATGTGGGGACTGTAACAAACTCATCCACGTGGAGTGCGCGGTAAGAAACCAGTTTCAGCTTGCCTTTGAAGTAGTACAACCTCCAAAGTCCTTTTCGATTCCACTGTTGTCCCCAGGTGCGTTTGATCCGCACGCCTCTGGAGGTATGATGATACCTCAGGTGTGGTGTCCTGAACACAGTCTTCTCCAGAAACACATCATTCCTCTTCACGCTAGAACCCTAGACACACAGGACTCAACCTTCAAGACGTACGCTCATCTCTATAAATCAATCGAGAGTGACTCGACATCAGCCATGCGAAAAATCTATGGAATCAATTACAAGTATGCGCGCACCGGAAGTCTCAGTCTGGCCTTTCACCATCCACGTCTCATAAAATCAACCATTCCAACCGCAAGTTCCTCTCACATCATCCCAAGCCCTCGGCAGAGTGCCATTGCAGCTATGGCGAAAAAGTTTGTTCCATCATCTTCGCTTTTGTAACACCTTCTTCTTCTTCTTCTTTGTACCAAGCTCTTCATCATATTTTTCACCCTTACTCTCTTTTTCCTTTTCCTTTTTTTAAAACTTTTTTTAAAGAGAAGAAAGGAAACGAATGGGTCATAGTTTACAAACAGATTCTTTTTCTTTTAAAAAAAAACTCTCATACTCCTTATCATCAAACACTTCTTTGTATCTTTATTTTTATTTTACATTTAATCGTACTCTTTATCATTTCATATACTAGTCAGCAGAGGTTTGATTCCTCTTTGATTCCTCTTTTTCTTTTTTACTCTTAACAAAAATAATAATAACAACACCATATATCTGCATCATCATAATTAAAGACAGGCTTTTTTTTATACTCTATTATTAAAATCTTCTTCTTTTTTACTATATATCTTATACAATCGTTCAATTCCTATTCTTAATAATTTACTTGATATTTACAAAGAGCAAGACAATTATAATATCACACACATACCATAAAATACAATACAATATAATGCAATGCAATGCAATTTATTTAAATACTTTTATAAATCTATCAACTTCTTTATATATATATATTTAATCTTTTAAGATTGTGTACCAAATAATATACGTTCATACATCACTATTGCAGAATGTACACTGATGGGTTTTACGCCTAATATATTGGCAGCAAGTTTTATAACCAGCTCATATTCCTTGGTGTGCACTAACTTTGGACGAGCCTTGTAGTCATAATAAACTCGTTGATAGTTCTCACCCATATCTCGCGTGGCTCGGGTGATAGGTTCATTCTCTAAAGATCTATTCAGAATTTCGTTCATGAAAAGGTCATGTTGGTCTATAGAATCCTGAGGGAGCTTAAAAGCGAATTTACGGCTAATACGATCCAATTCGCTTTTTAGAGAATACTTTGTTGAGGCACTGTTATCGGTAGTGTCTTCATCTCCCATCAGAAAATACAAAAGAACATTGAGGTCCACATCAGGATCTTTGATAGACCTAGACAAACACAGCATGTTATCATTTGCTTTCTGTTTTTTTTTTCGACAAAGAAAATATTACTCACTTTTTAGTACAAGTATCTTCCCATATTTTCGCCTTTTCCTTGATGAGCTTGACCCAGGTATTTTTTGGCATTAGAGGTACAATATTATTTCTAGGCAACAATACATCTCTAAATTATATTTATTTATTGTGATTAATATAATCAATATTATATAATTAGAGAAACATGCATTGATTTGTTTGTTTTTAATATATATATATATATATATATCTTTCTTCAGCCTACCTTTTATCATCATCCAAACCATATGTAAGTTTAATAGTAATCAAAACACTAATAACAGCAAGCATATCACCACTTCCTTGAGCACGTCTTGGTCTGGCATATTCTTCGATCAAACCGTTTATCCTGCCATCAAAACCAAGCTTTTCGGATATGTGTATTGCGACAAAATACATTTCCACTGGACGTCCACGGGTGAATTATACACAAAATAAATAAATTGTTTTCTTCTTCTGGATGTACTTAAATAAAGTAAAAGCAAGAATAAGAAAAAGAACCTCACCTGGAAGGCAGAATTGATTTGAGAGACGATAGATCAGCAAGGGTGTATTGACCAAAGGAAATGTCAATTTGCATCGTAGATTGAATAGCGATCCGAACCTAAAGACATCTTTAGACAGGCAGGTGACTGTCGGGACGACTAACATTGACATCTTGAGTTTGTTTACATCCACAAGTGAGATAATTTCGTCTGGGAGTTCACGAAAGATGAACATGTAAGGAAGTCGCATGGTTTCGCACCATCGAGTAATGTCGCTCATGAGTACCGGCCAGCGTAGCCAGACGCAGGCAAGATAACAAAAACAAAGCATGTGACGGAAACGTAATTCAGGCCATACGATGTCTTTTGTCCTTTTAACTCCTTTTAATTGCTCTTTTGCCAAAAATGTTCTCTTTCGCTTTAACTCCTTTTCTTTTTGTTCATAGCTGTGTCTGTCCTTTTTGCTATTGATGTCGATATTGCTACCGTCACTATCATTATCATCGTCGTCGGCTTTGTCATAATCATCTTCGTTTTCGTCGCTGTCTTCCTTGTCACTAATGCAGTTAATATCGTCTTGGATAGCAGCCATTAATTTCCTTTTAGATTCATCCACATTGACCAAATTGATTTCATCGGTCAAGTAGAGTTTGCTGTCGTTTGCATACAAAAGCCACAACTCACGCACAACATACTAGTGCACCATTAACGATTAGTATTAGTATTGAATTTTCTTCTTGTTGTTCTTTTTAGCAAAGCAAATAATAGCACCAGTAGTTTGTATATATGTATATATAAATGTATTATGTACCTCAAATTCAATTGGAAATCCCAAATCATGGACAAATGTTAATGCCAATTTTTGTAAACTATGTTGAAATATACGATAGTGGACTGATCGCAGCTCTGTACCATACACCCCTGATAGCAGCAAATAGACGCCATAAGTATCCAATAGAAATAAGATAGTCTAATTAAGGAATAGGTAGAAAAATCTTACTTGATTTTCCATGATGGGCCTTAACACCTGTAGCAGCTTTTTTACGCTGATAACCTACTTGCCCAAACTCCTCATCACACTCTTCTTGCCAGCCCTAAAATTATATTTATATTCCTTAGTACTCTACAATAATATGAAGAAGTAAAACTAGATTTTTTTAAGAAAAAAAGAAAGAAACACAATCCATACCAAGACTTGATGGCCATAACGACATGTCATGCCACCATCCTCTGTAAGTTGAAATCTTTTGGTTCCACAAACAGAACAAACACGATTGCGAGCACCAGACATTATGATTTCAATGATTTCAATGAAGTATTTTTTCGTTGTTTTTGCTTTTGTTGTTGTTTTATTTTTTTTTTAATTTTTTATTTTTTATTTTTTTGTATTCGATTCAAAGGTCTTTTTTTTTATAGAAAAAAAAAGGGTTTAGCTCTTATGGCGCGTATCCTTTTCTTCGTTTGAAATCGTGTAGGAGTTTTCGTCCAAGACCTTGTCCAATTCGTAACGTAGTTGGGGAACAGAAGAGGCTTCGATGAAAAGATGAGTTTCGTCTAGATCTTCAATTACAAAATTGCTGCGTTTGTTGAGATTCAAAACAATTTGTTTGACTGTACTATCGCATTCTACTAAGACTCCTTTGACAGCCTTGACCATGACAAAAAGAAGAAGAAAGCAAGGGAAAAGATGAGATGGATGGGGAAAGGGGACTTGAATATTTGAATCGAAACCTTAGCTCGTTAATCTCTACACCAAGCCACTCAGTGAAGAATATATATGTATATATATATACACACATATATATATATTTATATATATATTTACTGTTATCCAACGGAATTTAAAGGGATAAATTGAAGGAGCCGTTAAAGAGAACTATGCAAGAAAATCCCTTGTGTCAAATCAACCTTATACACAAGACAAAATGAAAGGAGTCTGTTTGAGGTTGATTATGTAGTCCAATTAGCCATAATTCTGCTTATTGTGAAATAGTATTGAGCGTATTTAAGTATCTGCACGCATTTGTGTTAATATATCAATACAGTATTCATTACAGATACAATACAATAAACTATATTTTTCAAGTAACTCAGACTTGCCTCGCACAAGAAAATCATATATCTTAAAACGAGATTCTAATCTGTTCGAAGTTCAGCCTTTGAATTGATTAAAGTGTATATAACATATTCACAGCACTTGAAAATCTTAACTCTCTAGGAAACAACAATAATACATTGCTGTTTTCTATCATAGTAGTACTTCTTCTTTCTTGTGAAAGTTAAATCCAATTATTAAAGTACATCAAAGAAAGATAGTAAAGAAAGAGTTATTGTAATTATAACTTTTCACAACATTTTGTGTGTAAAAAGTGTCAAAGCTTGTATATAGATTGTGCACCCATTTGGCCGTCACAATTTCACCACTTTGAGCTCTTATTTTAATCTACTTGATTACTCATACACTACATACACACACACATATATATAAAGAGAAGACACGGGAAAAGCCTTATTTAACTCTCTTACACCATGTCTGAAATCAACCTGTCGAACATTAAGCACATTGTCCTTATCCTTTCAGGAAAGGGTGGTGTTGGAAAGTCATCGGTAACAACACAGCTTGCTCTTGGCTTAGTACAAAAGGGATTCAAGGTTGGTGTTCTTGACATTGACCTGACAGGTCCCAGCATTCCTCGAATGCTCGGTCTAGATGGCAAGCAGGTTCACCAAGCTTCTCAGGGGTAATAAATGCAAAGAAATAATATATATATACTACACAAACACACACACATACACACACAAAGAACTGAGAATAATAACAAATAGTTGGGTACCCGTATATGCAGATGAGCAACAACGTTTGTCATGCATGTCAATCGGATTTTTGTTGAGCAGCAAAAACGATTCTGTCGTTTGGAGAGGACCCAAGAAAAATGGTATGCAGAAAGAACAAAAGAATGTTGGAATGAATGACTGCTGACTCAATACAGCCATGATCAAACAGTTTTTACAGGACGTATATTGGGGTGAACTCGATTACCTGCTGATTGACACTCCTCCAGGAACATCGGACGAACATATTAGCATTGTCGAATATTTAAAATCCTTTGAACCTGACGGTGCTGTTATTGTGACCACACCTCAAAACGTGGCTATTGCTGATGTACGAAAAGAGATCTCGTTTTGTCGCAAGGTTAAACTTCCTATTCTCGGTGTAGTGGAAAATATGAGTGGCTTTGTGTGCCCTCACTGCGCAGTAAGTGATTTTTGTTCGTTCTGGTTCAAGGTCTAGTTACTCCAGATATATATATAGATGACTAAGCCCCTTTGGATAGGATTGTACCAACATCTTCTCATCGGGCGGTGGAGAGTCGATGGCTAATGAATACGGAATCGATTTCTTTGGTCGTGTTCCAATCGACCCAGGATTCACTAGCATGGTTGAGGCAGAAGGAGACGGCTCATATGTAAAGTCATTCTCAAAGTCCAACTTGTTTCCTGTCTTCCAAGAAATATGTGACAAAGTAATAACCAAGACGTCAAAGGCTTGAATAACAGCACAGGCAACTCTATATATGGGAAGAAATATGCTGAGCCCACTCTTGTACACTTTCTACTCATTCTCGTCACGCACAACCATTCAAATAAAAAGTGGTGTGTGTATATATAAAATGAAATAAAATAAAAATTGAATAAATGAATGAATGAATGACTCCTCTCTTTGATTTTATTTTTATTTTTATTTTTAAAATATATAAATAATTCTGGTGTATTTTATATATATAAATATAAATACATATATTTGTGAATACCTCTTTTACGATAATGTACGATATCAAAAGAAAACTGGTGTGTATTTTGTGTCAAGACCCTCTAAAAAGTATGACTTACACTACATAGAATAATAGCGTGAGCGAATATCCGAAAAAATATGGGGGAAATGGTTTATTATATTGGCCGGGGTTCAGTTGGTCATTACTATTCCCAACCTTATTGCTACCTTGATAATTTTTCACCCTATTGGAGATCTTGGGTCACGACAAGATCAAAAGGGTTGGGTTCTTGATGGATACAAAGCTATCCGCATACAAGCAGAGACCATTTGGTTTATATTATTCGAAGTCTGGCGTTTTTGGCTAGCCTTTGATGGGGTAAATATAAATATTTATATAATAATAAAAGAGATAGCAGCCACAGAACGTACGCTAAATTAAAGTCTAGGTTGTCCAAGGAAGTTCGCTTACAGTGTTTCTCGCATTCGGTTCTACTATATTTGCTATTGCCTTGGGAATTATGGTAAAATTTAATATATGTATATCTTCAAAGAAAATATATCCATGTATACACACACACACACTTAGACAAACTTGTAGCTTTTTGTATCATATATCTATTACAAGAAAAACAAGACTTACTTTATGATAGCAAATTGTAGAATTCGAAAAGGCAGTTGGAAATCTGACAGTCAATATAATTCCTCATATAGTCATGACTACCCTGCTTCTTATCTTGACGGTCCCTACTACCTACGTAACATACAAGCTTTATAAAAACTGTGATTGGATCATATACAAGAAGTTAGGTTCCGATGTCAATCTACACCGTGAGTACTTATCAGCGTTTGAAACCGAATATAATGTGTATATGTACTGATGACTCGCCCCTGTTATTATTATTGATGCTGTTGCTGTAGGGATGTACCATTGGGTCCAATGCTATGTGCTTGCCGTAAAAAGTAACCTGTTCTTTCAAGTTCTACTTATTATATTCTATGCTATATATATTATGCTATTTGGACCAGATGCTTGGATTTGGGCATTCTCCATTTGTGCACCTATCTTAAGTGCAGCGTTCCTCCTTTTTGGTCGAAAAGCAGTATGTATATATCACATTATGCTGTTATTATTGTCACTAATATTTTGCCTTTACAACATGTATTATATGCTCAATAACGACTTAGATTGCTGACGAGCAGCATTGGATGATGATTACCTTTCTTTTCTATCAAATGGCAATTATTGTTCTCAATATTATTGTCTTGGTCTGGTCTATTGGATACATGAAAGCTGACATTTGGTATTTCTTGTGTGCATATGGTAAGCAAGCATCTATCTTTATTTGGTATATGCATCTTATATATATATATATAATGTTGACCTTCTTTTTAATATAGCCGGATGTTCTGTCATAATGTGTCTAGCAAGTATTATATATATATATATAAAGGGAGCATATCAACTTACTTTAAAAAAGTATATTTCAGATCACCATATTTGTTTCCATAAAATGTCTATTGAACTTTGGAAAAGGCCTGTACCCACATGGTAGCTCTTTGAAAGCAATCTAGTTACCATTCACTTATACCTTTTGCTTTTCAAAACTGTAGTCCAAATCGGATGGTACAAGACCAAGAAAGACCACACAGTGCTGGACAGAAGAATTGCTACAAATCATTTTTCAGAAACAATGTCACTAGATGGCTGGGGTAAAAATGACGATATGATGTATATTGACCCAGACAGTAGTCTTATAACCAGCAATTGTTTAGTAAACGATGAGATTAGTATTAAAGAGCCTTAGCTATATAATGTAATACTTTCCGCTATGAATATTAAGTAGCTTTGTATAAATATATATCAATAAAATTAGCTATAGCTCCAAATTGGCTATGCAAACCACTTTTATATGTGTATATAACCTGGTTGGACACATAACTATCCACCATATGGAATTTGTTTGATATTGATTGCTCAAATATTGGTCAAAATATCTTATTTTTTCAATCTAAAAAATCATTTACTAATAAAAAATTCGATATTTGCAGTACACAACCATGTTTGATCCCAAAACTCCCTCAGGACATACACCTAAAAAAATCAAAAATCCGTGTTTTTTTTCTTTTAAGTAAAGTTATTAAGCAAGTTAATTGATGATGGACGGTACTCGTCTGACCAAAAAGAGACAAATATTCATGGAAATATCAACATATTTAAAAGTAACGATTTCGATATTTACACCACATTAACCATGTTTGATCCCAATATTCCCTCAGGACATACACCTAAAAAAAAATCGAAAATTCGTATTTTTTCTATTAAGTAAAGTTGTTGCGCAAGTGAATTGATGATGGTCAGTACATGTTTGACCAGCAGCAGCCAAATATTGATGAAGATATTAACATATTTAAAAATAACGCTTTCGATATTTACACCAAAAAACGATATTGATTAAAACCCCGACAGTAAAGCTGTGTAGACCAAAAATCATTCGCATTGCGCGTATGCCAGGTTCTATAATCAATTACCGCAGAGTATTATCAAGATAATAATAACCATTGTGCTTTACCCAAGAGGTATAATTATAAGAGTATGATAAGGTTTTCTCTACCTAAAGGTGTTTACAAAATCCTTTTTCCTTAGGCTTTCTAAATCTGTAAACTCCGTATTAAACGGCAAGATGAACAGAAACTTTGTGATTTTTAAATCACGTGCAGATAAAATGCAGTTCAATTTTGTTTGATGACAGCTTTAATAAACGCTTGTTCTTGTTTGTCATGTCTGGATTCGTATGTACATTAATGCTTAATTATTACCACTAAAGCATTTCCCATTATTTACAGAATGACGATCTCTCAAGCCTTTTTCCTCAATCATTCGGAGCAAAGAAAAAGACTCCTGTAGCTAGTAAAGCGACTTCCGGAAACGGTGATTGGGATGCTCTGCGTGACTTTTTACCAACTTCATTCGGAAAACAAAAGAAGGAGAAGGATGTGTCGCTAGAGTTTGAGAAGACCAAGAGAGAGGTAATAATAGCGACAGTGTAAATAAAAGTAGTAATATAAAGAAACTGCCTCATCTAAAAATGATCCAATTCTAGGATCTAATTCCAGCAGGTGACAAGCGAGCACGCATCGAAACAAGTCAAGGATCAAATAAATCTGTTACTAAAGAGAAAGAGCTAAGCGATGATAATGAAGACGATGAAGACGATGACGACGATGACGACAATGAGGAAGTTGAGGCATCTTCGGACGTACTTCCCATTACTCATGAAATCAGATTACGAGATCATCAAAGAACAGTGTCAGCATTGACTCTGGATCCTTCGGGATCGCGTCTAATTACAGGTGGATATGACTACGAAGTCAAATTCTGGGATTTCTCTGGTATGGACAAGTCATTTCGTCCTTTCCGTACCCTCGAGCCATGTCCTGGACATCAGGTGCATGATGTTCTGTACTCTCTCACTGGTGATTCTTTTTTGGCAATTACTGGTAGTGCCCGTGCCAAGCTATATGATCGCAATGGACTTGAGCTGTGTGAATACATGAAAGGAGATCCTTATATTCGTGATTTGCGCCATACCGATGGACATGTGGGAGCACTGACAGGTGGTGCATGGCACCCCACAGATCGCAAGACATTTATTACGTCTTCGCAAGATGGTACCATTCGTTTATGGGATGTTGATAATAAGCGTAGACAAAAAGCTGTCATTCCTTACAAATCACGCGAGCGAGGTGGTCGCTCTTCTGCAACTGCTGTGTCTTATAGTCATGATGGAAAAACGATTGCAGGTGCTTTTCAAGATGGTACATTGAATTTGTGGGACACTTCGAGTTCGTTTTTGAGACCTGTTATGGCTGTTCCTGATGCTCACCAAAAGCAATCTGAAACATCTTCCGTGGTCTTTTCTCGGGATGGACATACTTTGGTAACTCGCGGTGGTGACGACTCTGTGAAGCTGTGGGACACTCGTAATATCAAAAAACCAGTGCGTACAGCCTACAATCTCGAGGTTGTCAACCCTCAGGCTAATGTGATATTTAGTCCTGACGAACGCCTTATCCTGACAGGTGAGGTTCAAAAAAGATGAATGACTGTGAAGTCTGATATCTGACATGTGTATGTATATGTTTTTGTAGGCACATCTGTACCCAAAGGAGAAGGGTACGGAAAGTTAGTCATGATGGATCGTGAAACACTCGAGATCAGAAGAACAATGAGTAAGTATTATTAAAAAAATCTTTCTTTTCCTCTTTTTACTTTATTTTAACACATTATACCCCAGGTGTCAACCAATCAAGTGTAGTTAAGGTTCTCTGGCACCCTCGCATTAATCAAGTAAGTGTTTCGTACTATTAATGCTATTAATCAAATCAATAATTCTAATTTAATTATATGTATCTTATTGATAATTTCTAGATTGTGACAGGAAGTGCCGATGGTACCGTGAGTGTATTTTATAGCCCAACTCACTCTGTCCGTGGTGCCAAACTGTGCGTCGTAAAGGAAGCCAAGAAACGTGCAGTGGATGACTATGAAATCGATCGTCCAATTATTACACCTCATGCCCTCCCAATGTTCAGAGATGATGAGCCTAGAAGCTCTAAAAGAAAGAGAGAGAAACTGAGAAGAGACCCAAAGGTGTCTCATCGTCCAGGTATGAACCACTTTGCAAAAAAAAATTGGCCAGAGATACTGACGCTAGTTATAGAAATGCCTGTCAATGGACCTGGAAAGGGTGGAAGAGTTGGTTTGAACGAGCAGCAGGCTGTAATTGCTGGCTTTTCTAAAGACACTACAAGAGGTAAGCTGAGCAGCTAAAAAATAATCCAGTCTGTCCGTTATATTTATATTTATATTTCTTTCAGACGAGGACCCTCGAGAGGCACTTCTCAGATATGCAGATGCTGCTGAGAAAGATCCCATGTGGGTCAGTAATGGTAAGTAAAATAATTTAATTATGCTATAATCGCTGGATATTAATTCTTTTACAATGAATAATAATCTTATGTTGCGTTGTGTTTTATTTTATTTTATTTCAGTTTACAAATCAACACAGCCTAAACCGGTATTTGCAGAAGAACAAGAACAAGAAAGCGAATAAAGAAAAGAAAATACACACATACACATACACATACACACAATCATATACGTACATAAAGAAGAAATTCATAATCGAGATTTTCATGGCTCTGTATTCCCTCTGGAACAATTTCTTGTATGAATGCTTCTAATTCTTCATGGCTTGCAAGACGAAATATTCTGAGATCTATCTGTGGCATAAAGGTATCGCACTCGATGGGTTCTTTGGTGTAAATAAGTGTCAACAATATGTGTGTGGACTGAGGCAAGACCATGGCTTCCTCGTAGACTTTTTCGCCGCCTAGGACAAAGATACGCCCACCCGTCTTTTGGCTTTCTTCAATCCCGTCTGAGAGAGCTTGGGAAATACTGTTTGACAGGGAAACATTGCGAAACTTGTCTACAGCATATCTTTATACGACAAAATACGACAAAATATAACACAGATTCTGAGAAAGTTTTGATAACTGAGACTAGCCTATGCTTACTGACATGTTGTAATCTGGATTACGTGAAACAACAATATTAAATCTGTCTTCCATTGGAATTCCTCGCATAGGAATCGATTCCCAAGACAGACGTCCCATAATCACAACATTGTGCCAGTCTTGATCATCGACTCGATTCAATGGGGTGTCGACGTATTTCTTTGTAGTCACATGATTAAGCCATTTAGTATCAGCTGGAATGTACCAGGGCAAGTCTTGCTTGTACCCGATTCCTCTAGTATCTGAGAGGGCGGCTGCCATAAGAACGACTATATTTTGTTTGGTCATGGTTGCGAATTAAGATGTTTCGAGATTCTGTTCAATTGTTTTTTCTTTTTCTTTTTTCAAAGCGTCTTTCATTTTCCGTCACCGCAGTCCACAATAGTGATATTAGTGAGGGGTTTCTCGCCCTGAACTGATACATTGTTGATTTCAGTCAAAACCTCCAGGCCATCAATTACACGACCAAATATAACATATTTGCCGTTAATCTTTCCAAACTGAGCTGGATTCGTGTCTTTATCTCCAAGAGTAATAAAAAACTGAGATGTATTCGAGTTCTTGCCTAAGTGCGATACAAGTTTAACGACTTGAGACATTTTGCAAAGCATGGAAGCTTATTATTAATAGTTGCATACCAGAGTTTGCCATAGCAACCATTCCACACTGCGAATATTGCTTTGATAAGCCTGGCTTCTCATCGTTAAATTTTCCATTATATATGCTGTCTCCTCCTGATCCATCACCTTATTTTCAACATCAATTGTAAGATTTGTATTATTATTATCTTTTGCTTTTGCTCTTGCTTTTTTATTAAAACTAGCATTAGTACTATACCTCTTGTTACATCACCACCTTGAACCATAAAGTTTGGGGAAAGGCGAAACATCAAAGTTCCCTTGTAGTGAAGTGGTTTTTTTGAACTTTTCCCGATTTTGCCACCTTTGCAAAGTGTAGCAAAGTTCTCACAGGTCTTAGGACAGTCTTTGTCAAAAAGTTCAATAACAAGTCGTCCACCCCTCAGTTTCTGGGGAGGATCTACTAGCCATGCCTCATTCTGTGCAGTAGGATCATTTGCAAGGATGTCTCGTAAGGTGTCTTTTTCGGTAGATGATATTTGATCAAGCTCATTGCTGGAAAATCCATAACTTGCTCCCCATTGAGTGACCCAATTCTTCACACTGGCATGACGAGAGCATTCATCTTCATGCCGAGTAATGTCACCAATTGCAATATCGAAATAAGCGTATCTAGTCATATTTCCAATCAAATTAAAATATAGAAGGAGAGAGAATAGACAAACATGTATTTGGGCTGTTGAAGGGATTAAGTCTTTGGGTTGATGCTAAGGGCTCTCTAAGCCACGTTTTTGTGTATTTAATTAAATTCGGTTTTGCTCTATATAACTCTCTATCTATTATGACATGCCAATCTATTTGACCGTTAATTATTATAAGATATATGTTATATGAGGCAACAGGTAGAACTTATAGCATTCTCGGGAATTTGGACCAAGAACCTTAGCGCTTTTTTAAAGAAAAAAAAAGTCTTCTAGTACTGCTGTTGATAATAAATAACTTTATCAAAAATAAAAGCCAAATCCGTATGATACACAGTTATAGAAGTTTAAAAAAGGAGTAAAAATGTACTATTCTACTGATTTGTGTTTAATGATATGCAATACGAGAATTTGGATAAAAATAAGAAAAGTAACAAATTGAAACAGATCTTTTTCACTTATTATTTGGGTAGCAATTTAGTGCAAACATGCATATTTCTACTGTCACTGGATAGTATTCTTGTGATAATAAGCTTTAGTATTTCAGACTATACTCCTAGAACAGAAGTTAGTGATGAATTATTTGATTTTCTTGAATAACCTTTTATTATTAATATCAGCCGGTTTAAGTATTTAAGATCAATAGAACATTTGGCTTGACAGCTTATAGAGAATATGTTGGAAAGGAAATAAAAGGCTAAAAATGTATTTATGAAAGTTTAGGTCCAAGAGTAAACTTACCAAGCTATTGGAGAAATAATAAAGTAGAGAGAGGGGCGGAATTTTATGTACATGTCTGTCAATTAAAATTGAGAAGAGAATCCGACTACACTATGCATGATTCTTATGTATAATTCCAAGAGCGTGTTATCAAAGGATATAATAAAAATATCAAGGCGTTAGACCAGATCTTTATATACATAGCTCTATTATTATTGCTGAAAAGGAAGAAGTTGTCATGGTACAGTTTTTCAGACAGAGAAAAATAAGGCCGACTTTTCTAGAATACAAGACGTTGACTAGTATGTTTCTACATACTAAAATTGGTTGTCTTTTGCAATATCAAATATTATGAAGGATTGTATATAATGGTACCCAGACTGAAAGGACATCCCTACCCCCCTGTAGTGTACTACACATACACGAAGAACAGGGTAACCCAGCTTGATCTCTGTTTTCAACCATATAAAACATAAAGAAAATCCCAGCCTGTGGTTTGTAGTAATTATATGCTAATGCCAATATATAGTTGTATATGAATTTCATTCTTAATTTTCATCTTTCAGTTGTTCTATTTATAGATTTATAGCCTCAAAGTACAGTGTTCGCCATAGCTGGTTGTCGAGACCTTTAAACAGTGCAGGGCAGTCAAAGCTTTCCAATAGTTTGCTGCACCAGAACAGACCTCTGTGCTTTTATAATTTTTTTTTATTTTTCCACGTTTCGTATAAACTCCGCTATTCAGATAGGTTTAGACACTCGGAGCGCTTCCAAATCGAGTTACCCCTTCAGCCTATTTTCCTTTTATGAGGGTGCATGCTGGTATATATTAAAATACCGAACACTTTCTATGCTATTTTTGGCTCCATTTTTATTTTTAATTTTTATTTTTATTTTTAAAAAAAGGACACAAAACTAGACGATTCTCTGACTTTTCTTTTCCCTCTCTCACACGCACACGCACACTCTTACTCTCTCATCTTTATTCATCACCAAATCTCACAATGACATCCTTTGACTACAGCTCCATCAAATCCAACATTATTGCTCACAAGGTTGAGTCCTACACCTACACCTATGGAACTGCTGGATTCCGTACAAAGTATGTTTTGCAACAGTTAAAACTAATGAAATATTAACGCGACTTTATGATTTTTTTTTCAGGGCTGAGTTGCTGGATTCAGTTATGTACAAGGTTGGTATCTTGGCTACCCTTCGTTCCAAGAAGCTCGGTGGTGCCACTATTGGTGTCATGATTACTGCTTCCCACAACCCAGAAGAGGTATGCATAATTTATATTTTGAATGACAGGAGATATCAAATAATCAATCAAACAATCAATCAATCTATCGATCCATACATTGTTCAGCACAAACTTAAACTAACAATAAATCTTTAAGGACAATGGTGTCAAGTTGGTCGATCCTCGAGGCGAGATGCTCGAGCAGTCCTGGGAAGGTTATGCTACCAGCCTCGCAAACGCAAAGGGTGGTGATGCTTTGGCTGAAGTAGTCGAGGAAATCGTTGCTGCAAACAAGATCGACACTGAAGCTCCTGCTGCTGTTATTTACGGTTATGACACAAGGTATTTTTTTATGCTACGCGCGTTTGTGCGTCTGTGCCTGTGCCTGCGCGTCTGCATGTATGCGTGCATACATACGTGTGTGTGTGTGTGTACGTGCGCGTATGTTCACACGATATACTTGCTCAGATATTAAATTCTTTCTTTTGTTTCAATATTGATCAGACCAAGCTGTGCTGAGCTTGTCAAGTGTCTCGAGCTCGGATTGGAGGTCTCGGGTGCTAAGGCCACAAACTTTGGATTAAAGACCACTCCCATGCTTCACTATCTTGTTCGTTGCATTAACACAGCCAACACCAGTGACTCTTATGGTGAGCCCACTGAAGAAGGTTACTACAAGAAGCTCTCCGAGGCATTCAAGACTTCAGTTGTAAGTTTGAAGGGGTGAAGGGGTTTCTTTTTGCTCTAAAGAATAATAATCAAACTAAAAATCAAGGGGATGGAAGTGTGGGTGAATTAGGAGATGCGCAAAGGGGGAGGGGGTGAGATCATAAAACCTTAAATAAAATAAAATACTCATCTCTTTTTGTTACATCTGTAGAAAGGAAAGTCTCGTCTTTCTCCTCTTACTGTTGACTGCGCTAATGGTGTTGGTGCTCCCAAGCTCCGTGAGTTTCTCCGTTACCTCCCCGAAGATGTCTTGTCTGTAAACATCATGAACGATGATGTCACCTCACTTGGCAAGCTCAACAAAGATGTAAGTTTATCAGATAATTAAAAGGCTAATGTACAGCACAAAAAAGAAGAATAATAAAAGCGACTTGGGTGTATTTATTAACGGTTGTTATGTCCCGTTCGTTGTATTATAATGTAGTGTGGTGCTGATTACGTAAAGACCCAGCAGAGAGCCCCTCCCGGTTCCAAGATTGCTCCCGGAAGCAGATTCTGTTCATATGATGGCGATGCCGATCGTATTGTTTACTACTTTGTTGACTCTAGTAAGCTTAGTTCATAACACTTTTAAAAGCACACACACACTTGCTCATGCGCGCTGTTGATACTAATATCTTATGGTCATTAGACGGTACATTCAGACTGTTGGATGGTGACAAGATTGCTGGTCTTGCTGCCATGTTTATCATGGAACTCGTCCACGATGCTGGTATTAGCTCCATCAAAGTCGGTGTCGTACAAACCGCATATGCCAACGGAAGTTCCACAAACTATCTCACCAAAGTATTGGTGAGTTTAAAATATATATTTATTTATATTTGGTGTTTAATAAGAGAGAGAAAGAGAGGGAGAGAATATGTAGAACAAAAAGAAATAACCTGACTTAATAATAACATTTTGTAAACCTCTTAGAATGTCCCTGTCTCTTGTGTATCAACTGGCGTTAAGCATCTTCACCACGAGGCTGAGAAGTACGATGTTGGTGTTTACTTTGAAGCCAACGGTCACGGAACTGTTCTCTTTAGCCCTGAAGCTCTCAACACAATCAAGACTACTGAAGCGTAAGAAATTAAAATTAACGCCAATTCAATATCTTATATTACATTATATTAACGATATATATATGTATGTATGTATGTATGTATATAGTAAGACACCTGCACAAAAACATGCCATTGATCAGCTCCAGGCTTTGACAGAGTTGATTAACCAGACTGTCGGTGATGCTATCTCTGATATGCTTTTGGTCGAGACCATCCTCACTAACCGTCAGTGGACCTGTGAGGAGTGGAACCAGGCTTACACTGACCTCCCCAACCGTCTTGTCAAGGTTGTTGTTAAAGACAGACACATCTTCAAGACCACAAATGCTGAGCGCCAGCTTGTTGAACCTGTCGGTCTTCAGGGAGAAATCGATGCTCTTGTAGCAAAGTATGCCAACGGCAGATCTTTCGTTCGGTAAGAATTCTATTTTGTTTCATTCGTAGTATTATAAGTACACATACGCGTTTGTGTGTATATGTATTTACTTAACATATGTATTTATTTATTTAATACGAATCAGTGCTTCTGGAACTGAGGACGCTGTTCGTGTATATGCTGAGGCATCCACCCGTGCTGAAACCGATGAGCTTGCATCCAAGGTAGCTCAGCTTGTTTATGACCGCGCTGGTGGTGTTGGTGGTCGTCCCTTGTCGTCTTAAATATTCCCATACACATATGCACAAGGTAGCATAAAGAACAAAACAACAATAACAACAATAACAACAGCAGCAACAGCAGCAGAAAGCATAGCAAACCACAAATAAAGAACATCAGAAAAGATAATATCCCATAATATATTTTGCTTGTTTGTTTGTCCAGACCTGTTGATAGGATCAGATTAATCAAAAGTCTCTGAATGAGTGGAACATAAGAGAAGACTATAGCTCATACAGATACACAATACATATATTTGTGCCTATGCCTGTGCCTGTGCCTGTGCCTGTGCCTGTGCCTGTGCCTGTGCCTGTGCCTGTGCCTGTGCCTGTGCCTGTGCCTGTGCCTGTGTCTGTGTCTGTATATGGAGTACACATATTCTCCAACAAATACCCCCCTCCCCTGCAAACACATTTATTTCACAGTATTGGTGTCTTTGACTTTTGCTCTTTAAACTGATTAAATTGGTTGTTATAATATATCGAAGATAGAAAGAGATGATTATTTGACTACTACATCCTGAAAATACTAGTATATTTAATGGATTTAATAAACGAATCTTGTCGTTTTCCATTCTTTCTAAAATATTTATTTATTTATTTATTTATTTATTTCAAATAAAATACCCAGGCCATTTAATACATAGTCTTCTTTTACATGAGCTTTACACAGCTATATTGGCACCCACAACCACAAGATTAGAGTCAGCTTCATTTTTTTATTACTGCTTAGCAAAATGAAAAAGGTTCCATAAATCCCTACATTGCTAGCTATCATTTATTGTGCAGTACATCTCTATAAGAAAATAATCTAATGCTTTATTTACTCAAAAGTCTAGTAATATCAAGTTGAATACATATAAACACACACACTCTCTTATACATCAGCACATATGTATGTGTGTATATATAAGTATTACATAAATGATTGAGTGAGTGAGTGAGTGAATGAGTGAGTGCATCTATAGATGTATACACACATATATACACAATAATAAATCATCAAATGTACGACTCTTCAAAGTTATTTCGTGTGTATACATAGTTACAAATGCCAGACTTGAACTACCGAGCTCAGCCAGGTTGGTGTCGTCCAAATCGGCATTGCCTTACGAAGCTCTGTCAGAACACCTACACCACCTACCAGGCGTTCTGCGCCCAAGCCAGCAAAGTTCTCGGTCTCCAATCCAGTAAACTGGAATCTCATCTTCCATTCTCCCGCTTCTGCCAATGCACTTTCTGATTCGGGGACCTTGACTGACAAGGTAAACTTCCAGCCATCATTGCCATGGCCAGTGATTTGGCGGACTATGTAGTGAGCAGAATTCTCCTGAGGTTCTTCGCCCTCAATACTCCAAGATACCACAGCTCCATCAAAGCTGATCACATTCCAGATATAGCCGGGTGATAGGGAGACAACAGTAAAGGTACGTATCCCGGTCTGAGGATCGTAGGTGTCATCGTGTACCGAAAGTGAAGGGAAGGGTCCATCGACTAGACTGAGAAGATTTGGTGTGTCGGCTAATTCCTTATCCGAAATCTTGGAGCGAATAAAAGCCGTAGAATCAAACTTGTAGCCACCCAAGAATGCGCTAAAAGGATACACAACATCCCAGTCATTTTCACCTTCAAGCTTAACATGACGAATGGGAGCAGCTTCTAGCTTGTTTTCGATAGTGTCCACAATATTATGGATGTAAGGTCCATAGTCAGCTTCAGCAAGACCAATTGACATCTCTCCCGAAGTAAGGTTCTTCAGATGCTGAATGTAACTATTATTATTATTATTTTAAAAATAAATAAAAGAAGGTAGGAGAAGCAGTTAATATTCATTGTTTCCAGAAATTCTAAATGTATGTTATTTGATATATATAATTATAAAGCATAAAAACTCACATTCTCTTGGGGTGAAGTTCATCATAAGGGAATGCCCAACCTCCATATTTTCCTCCGCTAATCATGACAGATACAAGCACCAAACTTTGTATTGCGACAAGGAAGACGATAATCTTGCCAAGAAACTTCTTTCCGAAACGATGGACATGAGCGAGTGTAGGGAGAGTGGTCATGAATGTCACCATGCCAAACATGATAGAGACAATCAAATCAACAGGAGCATCTACACCCATGCGTCCAGTGAGGGGAACAAAAATATCGATAAGAGAGTACGAGTAGCCGTTGTACAAGAGAGCGATTGGGAATACAGTGAAGAGATATGTGAGCTTATGAACCTTGGGTTGACGGATCTTGTCTCTTCTTTGGCCCGAAGTGAGGTAAAGATCGTTAACAGCACAGGCAGCAAGAAGAATAAAGCTGTAGATCCACAGGAGATAAGAACTGGCGATCCCTGTCTGGGTAGTGAAGCCAGTAAAGGTTATAAAGAATGCCAAGATGGAAATAAGTGTGCCGTATTCCATATCCACATGCTGAGGACCAGGCAGATAGTACGAAAGATATTGTGCGCCATAAGCACCAATATATGACATAGGACCAAATATGAGATAGGGATACCATTCTCTTGCAAACCAACACATGTTGCGTCCCATAAAATCGGAAGTAATTAGTAGAGCAATTGTGACTGGCAAAAGCAAGGAAGCCAACAAACTGAGCAGGATTGAGAATATAGACTTGACATATGAGATGAGAATATTTCCCACTGTTCTATAAGGCGATGACTTGGTGGTATTTTTGACGGTGTAGGCAAAGAAAACAAGACTGATGATTACAGTCGAAGTTTGAAGAATATAGGCAGTTTTCCATGAATATGAAACAAAGAAAAGACCTAAAATCCACCATTAATTATCGGCTAAAATAATAAATCGAAAGCTCATATTATAAATGACACAAAATAATAAATTTAATTACCATGAATATCAAAGAAAACTACGTCACTGGCCTGCTCAATATTATCCATAGTGGTGTTCAATGCTAGATAGTTCACAATAGCCAATGTATTTTCCCCAAGATGCTGAATAGCTCCAGGCTCAAGATGCTCAACAATATCCAGGTGGGTGTGATACAAGTATGAGTTCTTGTAAATGGCCAAGTCAATGCCAGTAAGGTTTCCGTATTGTACAAATTGTCTAAAATCGGTGTCTGAAAGAATAAGCCCAGTCCGGAATACATCATTGGCCTGTTAAATTATTGTTTGACAGATTAGAATTGGCATCATTAATGAGTCTCAAGGCAGAAAATAAAAAGAAAATTGGTTACCATGACAGTTCCATGGGGATAAGGTGCTTGTTTATAGGCTTCAATCATCTCCCTTGAGTTGGCTTGGAATAGAATTTCAGCGCCAGTCGTACCACAAGAATCAATGTTTACCACAGCACGAATACTGTCTGATGCTATTAGTATTTAGAGTCTTTTGTTTTTTTTTATTAACACTTTTAAAACTTACGTATCCTTGAGAGCATGTTTTGTGATGAACATATGAGAAGCGTCCTGTAATGTTTCCTCTGCACCGTTGAACACTAAACCAAACACACACACACACACACACACACACACAATGAGAGAGATAAGAATAAGCTAAATGAAACCTAGATGTTTTATGGACTTTTTTTTTATCCATTACTTACAAAACACAATTGAGTTTTTGTAAGAAGTCCAGTCGCGTTGACTGAGTACACGGATAATCTCTAACATCACGGCAGTACCAGATCCATCATCACTCGCGCCGCGTGAGCCCAGAGTAGTATCAAAATGAGAGTTCATCAGAATTGCGTTTTTCTCACAGCTTCTGTCATTCTGTCCAATTGTGCTGTCTTCAGGGCAGGACAAACGTACGATAATATTTGTCACATTTACGTACTGCTTTAATACCACTATTTGAAATATTAGCACAAAGTCCAGTATTTCTTTTTTTTGTATATTTGTGTATTTGTCTGTGGTTTGGAAGCTACCCCTTCAATTATAGACACAAACACAACCACACACAGGTACTTACTCTTGTCTAGGATATCAAAACGATGACTACCAGTCTCCTGCTGAACCCACATTTCAAACTTTGGTGCGCCAGGGATGCCCTGAGCCTTTTTCTTGTGTGAATCGAGTACTCCTTCCAAATATTCAAACGTCTGCTTTTCCTCTGTAGTACCAACAATACCTAAGCAACAAAAATAAAAATGTGTTCACGGCTTAGCACATGGACAAACGCACAGAGTCGTGCGCCACTGTATTCTTATTAGACTTACGATAACCAATGGTTTCACTAAGATAAGCCATTGTTTCTACGGCATTATATTCTGAGAACTCATTTAAGCCAGTTTCAGGGTTAATGCCTCTGTGGGTTTTTGGTTCTGGTAGTCTATAGTGAAGGTGTTTTGCGATGACAATTGCGAGGAGACAGTATACGATGATTCTGAACCATGAAGCTAAGGCACCAGGTCGAGATGTCAGTGATTCTGCAACGTCTGACGCGTATAGTGTTGCTCCAGAACTTCCTGATTTCTTGCGTAGTGTTGCCATGAAAAGCAACGCGCGTAAAATGCAGTGTAAAAGAAAAAAATAAACAAAAACAAAAACAAAAAAAGGAAGGAAGGAAGGAAGAAAGCAAAGGAGAGAGGGAAAGAAAGGGGGGTATAAAGAGATAATGAAGGGGATGTATATACAGCGTAAAGTATAGCCGGGTAAATTTTCTTACCGCTTGAATGAAAGACCACTATTTGCTAGTCATAGCGCCACATAATATTGACTAATTATTTATAAAATAATTATAAAAAGGGCAAGAAAATAAGCCCAGGCAGGGTTCTTTTTTTTTTTTGGAAGTGAAGGAGGCGAATTTCCGCAACTTCTGTGCAAGGCAATAGAGTCAGGATGATGAATATTGGGTTAGCAAATGGTATAATTATTATCAAACATGGAAACATGCCGAGATATATATTTATTTTGGATTTGAAAATCATCTCAGAATTTAGACACCACAAAGGGGGAGAGAGAGAGCGAAAGGGTCGAAACTAATTACCGATCAAGTGAAAATTACAATCGAAATTACACAAAGTTGCATAGAGTTATACCTAGAATTACATATCTGTAATTGAAACTTTAATATGTAGCTGTCATTTCGATTGTAAATTTGATTGTGATTCTTTTTATTTTATTATATTTTGGAAGAAAAAAAAAATCTGCCTTGATAGAGTCATTTTCTTGTTTTAATTTATTTATTTATTTAATGATGCACACTTGTTACACAGTCTGAGACCATTCCTTGGGCTATCTACACAAAACTTTGACAATTAATCCGTATGTGTACGTGTATGTGTATGTTTGTGTGTTATTCAAATAGTTAAAGCATATGTATATGTAGGCCTGTATATATTTACACATGTATATTAAACTTGGGATTTAATCTGTTGCTATAGAAACAAAATAAAGAAAGAAAAGTTAACCTGCATTGTTTGTTATTGTTATTTTCTTTAAAAATGGTGATGTCTTATCATGGAAATCGTCTCTTTTTGATCTTCTGCGTAGTACAGAAGAGAGAAAGGTAGCGTGTACATACATTTACCTATACATATGTATTTGTAGGCGGACAAAGATCTAATTGCTTTGATAAGGATCATTGTATACATACTTTATATACACACACAAATATATACATATATAAAAAACAAATAAACATAACATAACAAATGGAGAGAATAGTATATACTTTATAATCTCTAGCGTAATCATTCTCCCATATGTTCTAGGCTATGTGTAGCTCAAGATAGTGTGACACGGTTGTACAGGTTGCTGTGGAGATCCACTTCACCTTTTTTTTTGCTTTTTGCTTTTTCTTTTTCTTCTTCTTTTTCTTTGAAGAACAAGTCACTTTTTTTGTTGTATTTGTTTAGACATGTAACATCCCATTAAAGGATGTCCAGACTCGGTCACAGAAAAATAGAACACGATATCTATCTTTATTTTTGGCTTTTGGTTTTAATTGAATGTTTAAATGTATAGTCTGTAGAGTTGTCTTGATAAATAGACAGCTATTAAGTACACAATAAATATTTCTGCTATTTCTCTATTTTTTTTTGTGGGATGATTATATTGTCGCCTGTCAAGCTACCAAAAAGAAGAGTCCGACATCACCCCATTACATTTATTATTAAGGACAATGGATAAACAAATATATGTCTATAGGAAAGAAGAAAAGAAAGGGAAAGAAGAAATGCTTTGAAATGCTTTGACCTACTTGATTTTCTCTTTTGATAAAGTGGTACAGCAGCAAATCAAATATTACTACTATTATTATCATTATTATTTTGTGTTTTATTATTATTAGTATTATTAAGTGCAAATTATATGGGTACAAATATTATATAAAATGAAAATAATAATAATAATAAAAATTGTTTAAAAATGAGTTTAGCTGTAACCAAATAGGCCATCAAAATAGTATAAAAAGTAAAATAGTAAGAATAAGAGTATTAATAATTGTAATAAAAATAAAAATAAAATATCATTTCACGCTCCAACGTAAATAGATTTGGGCAGGAAAGTTGGATTTGTAGATGATATGAAAATAGTGGCAATTACAGAAAGTATATAGTAAGATATTAAGCAGGTAAGAAAATAAAAAATAAAAAATAAAATATATGTTTAGGCTACTGCCTGAACAGGAGGTGTGGTAGTGGCGGTGGCGGCGGTGGTCAAAGGTGCAGAGACTTCTTCCTTGTGTTCCTCCTTACCAGCTTCAACTACAGGAGTTTCAGCAACAGAAGCTTCGGTAGTAGCAGTAGCAGGAGCCTCAACAGCAAGAGCCTCAACAGCAGCAGCCTCAGCTGCCTCAGAAACAGTCTCTGGTACATCAGCTGCAGGTTCAGCAGACTCTTCGTTCAAAGGTGCAACAGCTCTGTCCTTCTTATCCTTCTTCTCTTTCTTGGGAAAACGAAGCATTTGTGTCAAACGACGGCTAAGAGGAGAACTAGGACGGGAGGGAGGCTTTGCCTGTGCTTCTTCTTCCTTGACGGGCGCTTCTTCTTCAACTGGCTTAGGTTCTAGAAATATGTAAAGTAAAAATAAAATAGAAAATCACAACCGTGTTCTTTTAGTGTTTGTGGTTGTTATTGCCAAACCTCCCTAAGGGGAGCTCGAAAGACATTTGGTGCTAATGTCATGTAGTCATTTGGACCTTCATTGCAGGTAACACATGCCTCACATGAAAACATCCGAACTAACACCCTCTTTGGACGCCCATTCGCCAACACACTCAACAGGAATGACACATGTGCCCAGATCCCCCCTTCATTCTCCCACCACTTTAGCTACAAAAAAATGCAAAATTCTTACCTGTAGCACTAGTCTCCAAAACAGGAGACACGGGTTCTTCAGCTGTAGACTCGGTAGACTCGAGGACATGAGGCTCTTCGTGCTTAACAACAGGCTTATCGGCTTCCTTCTTCTTGCCAAACAGCTTGGTCACAAACGAATTGCGCTTGATCTGGTCAAGTACATTTACTTCCTTGTGAGCAGCATCCTTGACAGCTACTGGAGTTTCTTCTTCGGTCTCTGAGCCAACAACAGCAGCAGAAGCAGTAGGAACAGCCACTTCTTCAACTGGGCTGGCCTTTGGGGTTTCTTCAGCAGGAGCAGCTACTTCTTCAGCTTCTACAGCAGATACAGAAGCCTCTGGAACAGCAGGTTGTGATTCGGCTGATGCGGGGCTCTCTTGAAGAGGGAAAGGTAACACGAGATGTATGAGCTATCATTGTGAATTGTCATTTATAAATTATTATTTTTTTGATTTACCGTGCTCCAAAGCGGTGTGTTCTTCATGCTTGGCGGGGCTCTAAAAGGAAAAGAAAGAAATTCAGGCACCATTCGTACCGGGATCGTCCAGAAAACTATAGCAGCCAAAAGACAGCTGTTACACCAGCCATGCCAGCTAGCAACGCTTTAGGGCGACTACAGCTCCGGCAGGGCGGATCCACAAATGAAACAATTACAATAATCAATTATTGATTGACTAGCCTTACCTTGCTACGGTTAAAGATACCACCTAAGAAGCGAGACTTGCGTTTCTCAGTTTTATCAGCTGATACATGCGCCTCTGCGTGCTCTTCTTCAGCAGCAGGAGCAGCAGAAACGGCAGCAGCAGCAGCCGCAGGCTCGTCCACGTGGCTATCGACAGCAGTTTCGACAGTGGCAGGCTCCTCCACATGGGTCTCTACTGCAGGAGAAGTGACAGCAGGGGTAGGTAAAGGTTCGACCTTTTCATCCGTAGGCTTATCAACATGACCAGAAAGTGATCTCTTGGCCTTATTTAAGAAAGTTGAAAGGCGGTTGGTGGCAGACTTGGAAGGAGCGGGGACAGCAGGAAGTTCCTTTTGAATTTCGCGAGATGCTGTAACTAGCACTTCCTCAGTAGCAGCAGTAGCAGAAGCAGTAGCAATCTCAGTGGTGGTCTCAGCTGCAGTCTCGGTGGTAGCTTCAGTGGAAGCCTCCTTGATTTCTTCAGTCTTGGGGATGGTGTCATTGGATACAACGACAGGTTCGACGGCAGGGGTAGGCTCCACCACAGGGGTAGTGATTTCCTGGGTTACGGCAACTGGGGGGAGAACAGGGGCTTCTTGGCTAGACATAGTTAATAGTTATCAATAAAAAGAAGAAAGAGTAGAAGAAAGAGATGAACAGCATGCCAATTTATGAAGAAAAGACGCCATTCGGACACTCAAAACCAAGTCATTTGCTCTCTCTGCTAGAGTCGATCCGCACGATCAGGTGGGCAAGCTCCCTCGGCTGTATACGTGACTGTCTTTGTGTAATGGAGTACTGAGAGAGAGCATCTTGCTATAATTTGGCCTCCTCCACCTGGAAAAGAAAATTAGTAAAATTTTAGCTGGATCACAAATTTATCACTTACCTTAAATATGACTTTTTTGTGACCCAAATTTAATACAGAACGCCAGTCAATAATATATATATATATTGAAGCATGCACAAGTTTATTGTTCTAGCGGTCTCTATTGACAGTTTTAACAGAAGCGGATAATTTTCTGATTATTTCTATTTGAAGATCTTCTTAAGCGAATACTTCAAATCAATAACTTGAAACACGGCCAGTGTTACTCACCAAAAGAGGTTTATACTCATGTTAACGAGATTCCAAGCGGGCCAATAGAGCTGAAAAGAATGCGGAAGGCTACATCCAGTAAGAAAAAAAAGGGGTTTGGCCTAAGGATAAAAGCTTCGATAACATTTTCAAGTGCATCGATTAAACCAACAACCTCGTTGGCTAGTAGCTGTCAATAAAAATGCTTTGATAGATCGCGTTTTTGTGAGTTTTTAATATTGGTCGTCTATGTATGTAGTTATAAGAGCTTATCTATTTATCAATAAAGTTCTACTTTACCATTGAATACTGATATATAATTGTCTTGTATAAGATTCTAGTAAGTTTAGTAACTTTAAAGACAAGAAACTATGGGCTATTAAACGATACATAGGCTGAGAACTACTCCTTTTATACATTACAAATAATTCTACACAGTACAAACGTATCCTGCGCATGCATTTCAGCAATTGGGAAACCCCCTGGGAATATCTCGGGCTCTCACAGACGCCCTCTTTTAATTTTTCCACAAAATACTTAACTTTGTGATAGTTTTCTACTCAGAATTCTCCGGACTATATCCGGACTATATCTTCAATACTTTTATGTAGATTGAGGGTTCACCAAGGAGAGTTATCTGAGTATCTATGTGCATGAATATCCACGTCTCTCCTGATACACTGAACTATTTATTAGCGTTTAAGACATCATGTTTGTCACGAGACTGTTAAGTAATATATTAAAAGAAACCTGAGTATTATTGAAAGAATAAAAGACGTCTTGTATCAGAGAGAGAAACATACAAAAGAAAATGCCAGGTGAAGTATGCAACTAGTAACATTGTCTGTTCTAAAGACTCTTTTACTGCCGTCGTACCTTAGTTGATGCAATAAATCTTTCTCATTTCTCATTTTCGCTTCAATTTCTATCATATGTTAGGTCAGCATACTCTGCCCTTCCAGCCACTCTCTAAGTTATCAGTACTCCAAAGTTCTCTGTATCTTTCTTTTTAATATAAGCTTAACCACAATAAAAATTGTCTTAATCTTTATTGGCCATTTACAATTTTTTTTGGTTCGTTATCCTACTAGCCTTCCGATCTGCGTTATATCATTAAATTTAACCTCTGACTGATTTTTGGTCACTCTTTGCCTCTCTAGAACAAAAGAGAAATACAGTTTCTTATCTTCCCTTCTTCTTGTGAATACTTGAATGAGAGATACAAGCAAGGCTTCTCTCATACATATCGACAAATTTAAATACCAGTATACAAAAGAGTTGTATAAATAAAAATAAAATAAAAGCTGCAATATCCTGTAGTGAAAGTAAACGTAAAAAAGCGCAAACAGTAAACTTTAAGCCCGATAAGGCTTTCAGTATATAAATATCTCTGTTTGTATGTGATCTATACTCAGTTCTTTGCAAACCCTCTCAGAGATTTAGGACCACTACCCAATATATGGGAAATGCTTCATTTAAAATTAAGTTTTATAAGACATGTCAGATTGTATACGCTGCCTCAGACTAATTATAGAATGTTTATTTTCTGAAATTCCGAAAGATTTTGATGAAGATATAAAACTTTACATCTTTTAACCATATTAATCTATGTTTAGAGCTCTGAAAGATTTGTGAGTAACATATATTAGATATAGAAATATAGAAATGTGGTTTATTTGAAAGATTAATAATGGGTATGCAATCAATTATCTTTTTTAAGTTATTTGGTTCGATCTGATATTGACATACAATATATTTCCGCTGCTTTATTGACTATTATTTTCCATTCTCTTTGAAGAGCGTGAGCCAACGATTATGCATTTGTTGGTTCTGACCTTCTAGCTCCCGGCTTACGTTCCAAGTATGCCTAACATAGTCTATATCGAGCTCAAGTTATTGCTATTGGCAGACTATGATATAACCAGAAGGCTCGGCTTCTCTTTGTAATATTTTTCCAGCATAACTTTTATGACAAGGTTGTTATCTTTGAAAAATTAATTCGTCGTTCTTTCTTTGCTTAAAACTTCGAAAACATGGAATCAAATCACATCGTAAGAGTCTTGTGTACTTGTGCTGAAGTACACCATATATACACATTTACTGCCTTAGGATAGACCATAAATCCAGGATCATTACTCTAGGTTACCCTATTTCACTTCCGATTGCAATGATGAGAATTATTTGCAACACTCTAATATATTTTTTATATGTTATTTATTGTTTATCCACAATCAAGTCCTTATTTTTATCTAGAATTTTGTACATTTTGTGCATATAATTTAGGCACTAATATTCAATCGCCCTCCTCCAAATACTATTAATTAAATATAAAAATAAAGTTTTATTAATATAATGGGTTCTAAATATGTAATATTGAAGCATATATTGTTCAAATATAATAATAATAATTACCTTTTTCTGCCAAGAAGGTACACAGCGAACAATATTAGGCCCTACGCAGATGTGAGCATAAAATATTGTTTGCCAACCCCATTTTATTTTGCAAAAAGAACCACTTTCTAGTGCTTTCTCAGTCTTAGATATGTTTTATGATATGTCTGTTGACTTAAGTCGTGATTGAATTGTGGACATTTCTGTACCGGTTTGAAATTGCAGTGGTATCTGATGTCACCTTACTTCAAAGTTCTATCTAAATAAAATGATTAAAAGCATATATACTGCATTACAGCTAATTTCATTGAAGACGATAACAAGAAATACTCAATCAAAATTGAATTATGTTTACTTTTGTGTAACTACCCCTCCATTACTATGAAAATATTTTGTAACTAAAGAAACGACGCAACTCGTCTTAATTCCAACATCTCTTTTGCGTTTGTTAATTGAACTTTTTTGCAGGAAAAATTCGGGAGATCCTTGCACAGAACCTTTACCAAGTGATTTCGCCTACAGTAATGATCATTACAAGACCTTAAAAGGATCAGGATTGATTAAAACACTTTTGAGAGTTTTTTTTATCTTGTTTTTGTTGACATTTTGGTTATTTTGCGTGACGTTGAAAGCAGTGTTTCAATCGAATCACAGTCCAAAGTACACCAAAAAAAAATCCACACAGTAAAATCAGTATGATCCTAATAAACAGGCGTCACAGGCCAAGCTTCTTTCTAAACCATCATAAAGTTACTACCTTAGAAAAGCTAAATACCCTGAGAATTAGAGCGCAATACATTTTTCATAAAAAGTTTTTTGTACAGATACATGTATAAACTCTTTTTTTTACCAAGTGACAAGCGCAACGTAAATATGTCAAAGTAAAGAGTGAAAAATCAATCGATTGGATATAAACCATATTTTCGTATCGATTCCCATTACAAACTTGTAAAACGCTAAGCACTCCATTTCATTGAATTCCAAAATTACAGATTCACAAGCAAGCATGGTTTGTGTTTATTTATTTATTTGTCGTCAAATCAAGCCAGACCACACGCATTTAAGCAGAGGTGCGAGCGTTGCGGGCCAACTGGCGGGCGTTGAGGCGGACAACCTTCTTGTCGTTAGCCTTGGGGACAACCTCATCCTTCTCGGTGAGGATGACCTCAATGTGGGATGGGGAGGTCATGTAGGGGTTGATTCTACCGTGAGCACGGAAAGTTCTGCGACGGTGCTTGGGGGCCTGGTTGACAATGACACTGGAGATGTAAAGCTCCTCAACGTTCAAACCCTTGGACTCGGCGTTGGACTCGGCATTCTTCAAGAGGTCAGTGACGAACTTGATAGACTTAACGGGCCAGCGGGCCTGGGTGGTACCGAACTCCTTGGCCTGAGCAGTGCGACCAACACCACCGTTGAAACGGCGGAAAGGAATGGCCTGTCTGTGCTCGTTGACGTTGTTCAAGTAGCTGTAAGCCTTGGAGAGCTTCAAGCCCTGGACAGCAACGGCGACCTCATGGGTGTTCTTGAACTAAAGTGGCATTCAGCACTTCTCCTGGATGAACAAAGCCCTATTCTTGCCTTGAACTTACGTGAACACGGAGGTAGGAGCCTCTGGACTTGGCAGCTAACGAGTCCAACCAATTCGAATGAGTAAAAATCCTCTACAATGATAATTCCTCTTATACACCACTTACCCTTGGCGGGGTTGACGGGGGTAGCAGCGTATCTGACCATGATAAAGTAGTCTACAGTAAGAAAGGTTGTAGGGGATTCATCGGTAAGTGATAATTCATATCAATCCATCGGAATTCGTCCGTCAGTCCGTCAATCGAGCTCATCCATCCGTTCGTCCCAGTCATCCATCTCTTTTTCCCTCTCTTTTTCTTGGTACGCTCGTTATGCCTACCTTGTGTGAAATACGCACAGCAAAAAGAGAGAGAGATTTCGGTACAGACGGCCTTGTCGCCAACACGTAGCGTGCACTGTCCGAACTTCCCTCCGGCAGTCACATGATTTTTAGAGTGCGGCTTTCTTGCTCTCTTTACTTCGTCTCTTCTCTTTTCTCTCTCTTTAATATTTTTTTCGATGTCTAGTCGACCAGAATATCGAGACTCAAAAACACCTCGAGCTGTCAAAGTATATTCAGTTGCACAAGAATCTCGTCATATCATCATTAGCAATGTTCCTGCTCTTGGACTATCAGAAAATCTTTTAAAGCAGTGTTCTCTCTATGGAGCTGTAGAAGAAATACGCTCCCTAGATGATCACGCATCCGTAGAAGAGTTCACAAAGGTTTATTACTTGCGCCTTGGTACTGTTGATGCAGCCCGGAGACTCAAACAGGCGATGGATGACAGACCATTTTATTCAAATCTCTTAACAATCGCATATGCACCTTACTATGAGACTGTCCATGATGCACGTCTAAAACTGCAGAATCGGAGAAATGCAATACATCAAAAGCTAAGCCCAGTACCACGCTCATCAGTAAAAAAGAGACCTCTTCCACAACCCTCCTATGGGTCTCTTTCTCCAGACGATCCTCAACAGCAAAAATCTGTGTGGCGTGCGCATGCTCTTCATGAACCTTCTTCACAAGTCACGTCTACTGTGCGTGAGTGTATACAGGCAGCGGCAACTCTACCGGCTGCCCCGATACCAGAGAAGAAGAAGAGAAGAAGAATATAAATATTGTGGACAATATATGAGTGTAAAGGAGAGTGTGGTTGGTGAATTAACAGGTTGCTGGTGTACATAGCCAAACCTAGTTCGTTGGTGTGACTTAAAGAAGTGGCTTGGTAGGTGATGATGGTTTCTTTTTTTAGCTCTCTATCCAGGTTCTTTGAGCATTTTTCGTCTCTTTCCATCAAAAAGTTGTCATTTCTGTACATAATCTTGCATTTCCATAACTCTCGCCTATAACTTGGCAACACTTATTTGATTCCTGCCTGCCAACCCTTCACTTAGCATCCCCTTCGTCGTACTTAATTAACGAATGGACCTTCTGGAGACACCCGATAGACGCCTCCGTCTGAACAAAAGGTCTACTCTCCCTTCGTCTTATGCATTCACACCAAAATGGATGAAAAATACTACAGAAACCATTCGCTCGGGCTCGGAAAGTACTACAGCTGATGAGCCCTTTCCTAGTCTCGTTAATGCGACCACAAGTGAAAAGAAAAAGCGGTCAGTATGGAGTGATACGGCTACTGTTAAGAAAAAAGTATCGTCTGTTGATGCTCCTGTCAATGATCCATTTGCGGGTATGAATGCATGCGTCGACTATGAGGCTGAGATTGAGCGCCTTAAGACCCTTGTTCCAAAGGTGGACGCCAAGAGACGCACATCTCCCCGCCCAAAGTCAGTTGTCCCCTCACAGGACACCAAATCATCCCGAAATAATTGGATATCAAACAACAGGACTGTCGAAAAGTATAGTGATAAGTTTAGCGATGGTTCTAGCGATAGTTCAAGTGACGGGTCGAGCGAGAAAGATTTAGCACCTATCCAACCCCCGAACAAAGAGACACTAGAATCTTCGTCAGAAAAATGTAGCCAAGCTATCAGTGAAGAAGATAAGATTCGATTTTTAGAGTTCGTTCGCAATAGAACAAGTGGCTGGAATGGGTGGGAGAGCAACTACCAGACAGAAATCCATAAGACGGACTCGCTGTGGGAAGAGCCAACTCCATGGGATTCGCCTGTCTACCAGCGACAATGCCTTCAAGGATCATTACAGGAGAAGCGAAAGAATCCATTAGTGATCAGCATGCCAGCACGCGCAGGTTATGACCTTTTGACAAGTTCTGAGCCTAGTACACCTTCAAGCTGTAGCACCCAAAATTCGTTCTGGTCGTGGCCCATCACATGTATGTCTTCTAACAATATGACAATTGATGACGACCTCCCACGACAGACAACCTCTTCCAAACTACTACGATCAAATCCATCCCTGCAGGAACCTCCGGGGATTGCTGGCCCTTTTTACCGCAACGAAGTCTCATTCATCCCTCACTTCTAAGACCCCCCCTCCACCTCCAACCAACGTAAACGCGTATTCAACATCAATGACATTTCAACCAAAAAAAAAACAACAACACTCTATCCGACATAACTCTCCCTCTAATAATTTCCCTTATAATTCATACATTTTCTTTTAGACATTTTTTCTTTGTTTAAATAGCTTTACAATCATACTACACTTCATAACAAACGTTTTATTTATTTATTTATTGATAACATATTCCTGGGGACAAAAACCCCCCTATTGTCCTCAATATCTGCGGGGTAAAAAAAAAATAAAAATCGAAAATTACATTACTTTTTTTACTTAAAATTCAGACGACGTTTTTTTTTTTTCTTTTTTTTCCTGAACGAATCAAAATCAATTATCAGATATTCTGGTCACCTTTTTCGGATAAAGGCAAAAAAATATAAAGGTCTTTTTGACATATTTGAAACAATCATTTGAAGGGTTTCTGAGCAGGCTTAAGGTGCTCACACCTAAGACTTTTATTAATACAGATACTAAACACTGTATTTAGCGATTTCTAAAATCCAAAAAAGGCTATTTTAATTTAATATCCGTCGACTACACCCTTGCCAGAGAGCAGGGGTAAAATATTTCTTAGTACCCAAATATGGTGATTTATGTCAGCTACTATTATCACCGCCTGTAAAAATCATTGTATTTTTTTACTATCACTGTAGAAAATAGCAGAATTTATACCTCCGACCTCGTAACAAGTTATGAGTTCGTAACTCATGCTATTAAAAAGCCAGTTTTTAAAATACCGATCTCGTAACGAGTTACGAACTCGTAACCTTTATAGCCAATAGAATACCTGTTTTAGCTTCTTAGTTTTACTTTTTGTCAAATACGATTTATGGGATTTTATATTATTTTGCATCTAATCCAATCAAATATTCTAAATATGGCAGATCTAAACTTTTTTTAGGTATTTGTATTCTCTTTATGATTGGTTCAACAAATGCACGATGTTTTATATTGGAAATTTATGGTTTTTATTGATCAAAATAATACGTTAAACATAAAGAAGTATGTAAAGAAGAAGTACTAATTTCTATCATATTTAGTAGCAGCTTAAGCTATAAATTTACTAAATATTATATATATGTATATTTCTATGTGATACTTTTTACATTGTTTATCTAAAAAAAAACGATTATTCTCTAAATACTATGATATTTATGAAGACATGTATATTGCTTAATCGATTCTTTTTATCAAAGAGTATAAACCTGCTTTGTGTTAACATTGCCATGTCTGCTTCCTACTTTAAAAAACCAGAAGACAGATTCCATGCAAATTTCTGGATCAATTATTTCCAATGAGCATGCGAGCAATCTTGACAGCCAAATTGTACTTGATGCAGATATTTTTCTGTCAATTCTTCTCAAGTTACTTTCTTCTGTCAGCTTCACGGATTTATATTTTATCAGTACTAGCCTTGATAGCTATTAAGTACGATTCTTTTAAAGACTTTTAATAATTTTAGACCTTGTAAAAAAAGAGAAATAAAAAAAGATTTTTACAAAATAAAAAAGCAACAATGCATTAAAAAGTAATCAAAATCATTACTTTTTGGCGGCAAAGGCTTCTTTAAGTTCAGATTAAAAATACATAGTTTTGTAGGCCATGTTTGTCTCTTTATCCAATTTTGCAACCTGTAAGCAGTTTAGCATACAATATTCACGTAAAATAGCTTTTTGGATTTAAAACTAAGATAATGCTAATTGAATATCACCCTAAGCCTAACTGCTAGAAGTATCAAAGTTACAAGTCCTTCAAATCAACAATACTAATATTATTACCTTTGCCATCTTATTATTATTATTATTATTATTCAATTCCTATGATAAGAGGCTTGAAGAAGGTTTGCAAGCAATACAGCAGCTATGCACTATTCTTCAAGATAAACTCTTCATATCTTTATTCTTTGTCTATACTACTGTAATTATCTCTATCCTTTGCTTATTTTACGCAAATACCAAAATTCAAATCAGGCATCAATATTTATTCCGCAAGTTTCGCCTTTCTTTCTATATTTACCGATCCAAAGCTGAAGAATGTCTAGCAAGAAATATCAGTTCTGGATTTGGTTGACCTTCTGTATTAATGGTGAAAAACTGGTCTGTATCTCACAACCATAGTCATGAACCAACCAATGGTGTAGTATTTAGATATCTACTTCGTAAGCATGAATTTGATCTTTGTTTGTTTGATACATTTAGTACTCCCAAGCACTATTTTTCGTGCTCCCAGCTTTCCCTTCGAGCCTTCAAACAAGTCGAAAACTCTCGCTAATATAGCCCCACCCAATGGCCAAATGTAACCTGTCATAGTCTTCTAAGGTAAATATTACAACTAGTCATCATTTTTTCTATTATTAATACTTTTTATAAATCCATACAGATTTACCAAATCAAAATTGTTTCGAGGACATGTCTTCGTTACAGCTTGAGCATAATTTGTGGAATAGAGATCTTGCTGCTGTCCTGAAATTCTGACATATACTTAACTATCTAACACATTATGGTATTTTTCCTAATAGATTTACCCGTACCATGAAAATTTTAAGTGCTAGAAGACAAGCAGAAGAAGATCTCCAGGAGGGTCGTCGTTTGAGACAAAGACGGACTAGAATTCAAAGAAGATGAAAAAATTCCGTCCTGGTTACCGCTTAGGACCCACCCAAGCTACCGCTGGTAAGCCATTAGATTTGAATAACTTGGTATTTAGTTTTGTAATGGGTTGAAAAAGCTAAGAAAAAGATGTTTTTCTTTGACTGCAAAAAACATGGTGGGGTAAAAAAAAAAGTAGAATATAAAAGAGAGAGAGAGAAATTGGTGCTTAATTAAAACCCAACTATAAGACACTCTAAACCCCGGAAAACTTGCAACAATTCACTAAAATCGCCTTTTTTTTCTATAGGGTATCTTGTCTCATTTTTCAGAGTTATACATCTTTTACGCTAGCAATTTTCTCTTTCAAACTAACAATTAGTATGCTTTATACTATATTAAGAATATATGGGAAACAAACGACTCTTATACACTACATGCTCAAGTAAAATTATATTCCTACAGTGATAGTATTGATTATAACACTGATTTGAGGTTGCGTACATGACTCCTATATTTCGCAATCGGTACTATCCTAAATATGGTGTTTAGTATCTGTATCAATAAAGAGCTCCGTGAACAACTCTACAGTCTTATCCTAAAAGTCATGCTGCCTTAATATACAAGATCATAAATAATAATAAAAAAAATGGGTACAAATATTATACAAAAGAATAATACTAGTAATAATGAAACATTGGTTTATTCAAAGCTTTGCTAGTCAGTGAGGTCTTCTGTATAATTGGCTGGGAAGGCTCCATGCTTACTACCAATCTCTCCCTCCCACCAACTTTCCCGGTCTCCGTTACGTTTTGTTACAATAATTGTGTCTCCAGCAGAAAAAGAGAGTTCATTAGATCGATCTCCGTGGTAGTCATACAAGGCAGTCACTACAGTATAGGATTGTTCCTGTTGAGGAATCGGAGGGACACTGCGCTTGACCTCGTTTGAATTCATGTTTTCACTAATATGCGGCTCGTTATGGTAAGGGTATTGATTATAGCCATGCTCACTATGGCTACTATGGCTACTTTCAGTACGGTTAAATGTATTTTTACTACTGTAAGAAGTGGTACGATGGATGCTAGTGTCTGCGATGTCTCTAGGCGGATAGTTGTGACGTGGATAATTTTCATAAGATTGTTCGCTATACCTATTGTTATAGCCAACACTACTCCCTTCGCCATTATTTATTGCATCCTTTCTTGGTTCATAAGGCGGCGGTGGCTCCGCAAAGGTATGTTGGAATTCTGTCTGCCCGCCTCTGATACTTGGGTTGACGATCGGGGATCCGAAATTTCCGTTTGTCAGATTGGGTGATAAAGAGCGTGAATCATTTTGCGATAAGAAACTTGGGCTTCTATTTGTTTTAGGGCCAAATCCTCCCCCCACCCTAGGACCAGCACCGATGTTATCCAGAATTTCGTAAAGACGTCTTGCTACTGGTGGTCTTGACACACCACCTTCAAGAATCTCTTTAGCAGTAATTGGTCTGCCATAAAAGGCACTGTTTGTGTTTGGCCTCTCAGACACTTTAGATCCTTCCATTGAGTATCCTATAGATGCTTTTTAGCTTACGAATTTCCAGTCCACATCAATAGCTTGGCGCTTTACTTACCGATAAATAGTCCCTTAGATGAACTATTAGCTGTTAGTCTTAATAAAGCATGTTCTTCATCATAACTTTACCTGTATGAATATGTGACTGCAACATAGTCTCCATTATTGGTTCCTGCTGATACCTCAGCTGCTAAACCATAAGGACCTGCTGCCAAAGAGGCTGTTACGCCCAGTTGAAATTGTCCTCCACCTTGAACAAATGCTTTTATGGCAGCTCGATAGTTCATTACAATCACTAGATTGACTGTTTCTGCACCGATCTGATACCCCGCGCCCTAATAGAGACAAACAGCGTTGGCACCACCACTCACAATATTATAGTATACTTACAAACGAGGTCAACGATATACCTGAAGGCGCGGACCAACCTACAAGAAGTAATAAATGAATTCCTAGAAAAATCAAAAACAGTATTTTTGAACCCTTACTACCGTCAGGATTTCTATCTCGGGAAAAAAGAAATATTTTAGATGTCACTATCCAACTTTTGAGTCCCCAAGAATTTCTTACCTTGCTATAATTATGCCTGTGCCATTCTTTGTGGAGACCATCATACCGATCCGAAAAACTCGAATGAGGATTAGTCCATGAGCATTAGCCAGAATAGACTTTGGGATCACTGTCCTGGGATCGCGTCCTACAGATTTTTTTTAAAAAAAAAAGTTAGGTCATTCCATTCATGACAGCATCGGGCCCAGAATTTATGCTTCTTTACCTGTGAATGATTCGAGAATATCAATTCCTTTACGGATATCCTCTATTGGGGTTTTTTTTGTAATAAGATGTTTTAGAACAATGTTTGATTAATCTTGTGGTAGTAAGCTGGAAGAACGGACCTTCTAAATCTCTTTGAGTCCTGGGCGCCATTTTTAGGGTATAAGTTGAAGAAGATTCTTTCCTTTTTTTCCTTTTTTCTTTTTTGGCCTTGTTCTTAAGCTAAAAAATGAATGGGTCTGACAGTCACCTTTACTACAATAATGGAACAAGCTGTTCAGAGTCAACTCATCCGGCTCCTACTACTTTTTCTTCTAAGCAGCACAACAATTCCGCTCTAAACTTCGCATGCTTTAATCTTGACTTTGTCTTCAGAAGAAGATACATATACTGCTATTTTTTTTATGTCTAACTTATATATTCTATCTTTCTCACTGCTAGAATGGTATAATTAGAGGGTCATCATATGCAAGCATAATTGACTAATGATTTTGTCACACGATCATTGAAAGGTGGGTGTTTAAATAACCGTATAGCGACCTAGTTTCTTAGTGTGTTTTTTCTTAAAAATAAATAAATAAATAAATAATCGAATTCTTGGAGAAAACAAGAGAGTAGAACGTGTCGAGTTCGGGCTTAAATACTAGAACATGATAGCCACGCTTTCTTTCCAAAAGATCTCCTCATTATTTTCATAAAAGTGTTCTTTTTTTAAAGAACAATACAATATATAAAGGTAAAAGATATTAGTTAGTGATAGACAAGACAATTAGTTTTATCTTTCTCTCTCTCTCTCTTTCTTTTAATGTATATATATAGATATAGATATAGGGTTTGTTTGAATGCATGCAGATTTCTTTTCTTTTTCTTTTTCTTTTGTGATCTTTGTAATGCTTTTATTGACACAAACAAAGTGGCTTTGAAAGTTTTATGAATTGTTTCTAAGAAATGCTTAGCATAGGGAATTCCACGAGTCAGCAATGTTAAACAGATGGCTATTGGTAATCTTTCCTTCTTCTTATGATATATATATCTATATAGTGATAGACATCAAATGGTTTTAATACACCTTTATTTCATTCTTCTTTCTTAAAAGCATTCTGGAGCTGCTTCTTAAAGTCAATTATTACTTTCACTATACAGGATATTGGAAATACTCAAAGCATAAAGGTCACACAGCTATATTTCTGCTCATTAAACATAAAATAGGTATTAAATTTATGAATTTAGCTTGGTGAGTTGAAAATAGTATGCGATGTATTAGAATCAAAAGTGTTCTATTAAATAAACTAAGCTTGAATTTCTTGTATTGTTTATTGAATGAAATGTCCACCGGTAAGCTCGAATATGAGTTCTACGTAATATACAAAAGCGTAAAACTTCCTGTCTTTACGATTTCTTTGTCATTATTACGCACATACACATATACAGTTGCGGTTTGAAAATGAAGATGTGTCATAAAATATGAATTCAGTGCTATGCTAATTTTATCAGAGTATTTGGCATTTCTTGTTTGCTTTAGTAAAGAGACTCTTGAATCTCTACTTTTAAACACACAACATCTAACATAAAGAAGTGGAAAAAAAAACGTGAAAGTAGACAGTCGATTAAAACACCGAAAATATGCTTGGGTTTAGTTTTCCATACAAATTCATAATATTACGGTTTTTCCTATGTCTTTAGGATATTATTTTACATAGGTTATTATAGTAGCTTCTATTATGTAAGCTACAAATATATAATTTACAGAAAAGTTTATTAACAGATATTTATAAACAAGGGTCTTTTTTTCTCTCATTTTTAATCTTTCTATTTTCTCTTTGCCACACCTCTTTATTATGAAATGTGATCGACCAAGATATCCTGAGTATGACGGTAACCTATCCTGTTTGGACACAGACAATGAATATTTCTGATGAATGACCAAATTCATGTTGGAAATACTTTAATAAATATTTTTAGATTATTGGTGTATCAAACAATTTCTTTCTTCAAAGAAAAGGTCGGGTTGGTTGTAGTATTACTGAATAATCGATATCGTTTTATCTGGGAAAGTCTCTTTCAAAAATCATATAGCTTAATTCTTTTAAAGTATGAAGTATATGCTTCGACATGATATTTATTCAATAGAATTATAATTTAACAAATACGATATAACATGTCAAACTATTACCTTTCCTTGCAGTCATATTATTCGTTTTAAGCGCAAAAATGCAAAGAGTTTGAATATTTTATAGATCTACCTTAACATATACTGCGGCATACATAAATGAGCGTGTATGTGTATGTGTATATGCGTGTGCGCGTGTATATGCGTGTGCGTGTGTTTTGGTTTGTTAATATCTACCTTTCGCCATTTCTCCTATTCTAAAGTGTGAAACACATTAATATTTTGCGCCCTTTGTTTCATAAAAGTTACATTTTTGATATAAGTACAGATCAGCGCGAAGTTGGTTATTACACTTTTATATAAACATTGAATAAGTGTAACTAGATATACATGTAAAAAGATACTTGCCTAAGCGACTAAAATATAATAGCTATTGTATACGACTACATGTATAAATATACACAAGATGTAAACTAGAATAAATAGTCAAGCACCTATCGTAAAGTGCTCTTCAGTTTGTAATTTTTGTGTGTTACAATAATCTTTCTTGTATCTGCACCCCGTGAATTCTTTCACGAACACAATATTTTCTGGAGTCAATATTATGATAGATTTGTAACAGTAGCCCTTTTTTTTTAACTCCCAGTGATTATCTTTTGAGCGATAAGATATAGAAACAATAAAATGGTACACGGTATATAAAAGTGACATTTTATTACGAATTTGATAAGCTTAGACGCAATAAATAAAATAAAGAAGTAGTAAAATAATAATAATTGAAAAAGAGAGAACAAATGAACGCTAGTTTGCACTCAAGTAAAATACATTTCTAGTTAAGTATTTTATAATCAGATCAGTCCATATAAAAGCCTGCCATACATTGATAGGGCATGTTTTTATCCATATTATACTTCATTCAATGGCTCGTGAACGATAAAAACATTACTATTATTTCAAGTTATAGGGTGCTGTGTGCAAAAGATTTCTTTTAGGAAAATAAATACCTTTATATGTACGACAAAGAAGTTCTATTTTTCAATAAATTCGTCAAAATATAGACTTTTAAAGAAAAAAGAAAAAAGAATCAATATTAAAATTACACCTATATTTTCTGGAGGAGTTTATACCCAATAAGCATAATAGAGCAATGGTAACCTAGACAGATAAATATTTTACTCGTATCTATTGATTCCGCTGAGTGGTTATCCATTGAATATTAGCAAGATAAAAGAGAGATAATAAATATCAGGGAAAAAACACACGCATTTTAGTACAACTGGCTGTGGGTATGTAAGTTAGCCCTATCAGAATAAGTACACTGAATGTGTGTAAATGATAAGCTTTAGATAGCGAACTGGATTGTCACACAGCATTATGAATTGATTTCTGAAGCTTATAAAAAGTCAAAACAGAACGAACATACTCTTTCTCTCATATTCTATTTCAACAATGACCTTATTCAAATCAGACGCCTGGTGAGTGACATAAAGAGCAAAAAAAAAAGAAAATACTTAATAAGATATTGACTATTTGTAATTAGTGTAGTAGACGTGCACACTCATGTGTACCTACCAGAATACCTTGAGCTTCTCCGCCATCGTAACACTGTCCCCTTTGTTCTCCCTCCTCTCAAGAAAGGTGAAGACGAGCGTCTTATTATCTTACCTGGTGAAGACAAGGATCACTCTACTCAAAACGGAAGACCGGTTGGTGCAGCATACTATGACGTCCGTGAGAAAATCAAGTTTATGGACCTCCACGGCATCGATTTGTCGGTTGTAAGTTTGGCAAACCCATGGTTGGACTTCCTGCCACCCACTCAAACTACCCTGGATTTGGCTACCAGAATGAATGTTGAAATGGAAGAGATGTGTTTGGATAAGGCAGCAGCTGGTCGTCTTTATGGTTTTGGTACCTTGCCTGTAACCTCTGTGGAAGGATCAATCAAGGAAGTAGAGCGTATTGCCAAGCTTCCTCATCTTAGAGGTGTTATTATGGGCACAGCTGGCTGTGGAAAGGGTCTAGATGATCCAGAGCTTATCCCTCTCTTTGAGGCTATTGCACGCCATCAGTTGGTAATCTTTTTGCACCCTCATTACGGTGTTTCGCTTCCTACCTCCGCAAACACTGAAGTCGGCCACTCACTGGCATTAGCTCTTGGATTTCCGTTTGAAACCACATATGCTGTATCTCGCTTGATTCTCTCTGGAATTTTTGACCGTCTTCCTGACCTCAGACTTCTCTTGGCTCATTCTGGTGGAACTCTTCCCTTCCTTGCTGGCCGTCTTGATTCTTGCGTTATTCACGATCCTTTGGTAGCCTCGCGTCTGCAGCATCCCCCCTCATACTATCTCAAAAGACTCTACTACGATGCCGTAATTTACCATGAAACTGGTGTTAAAGCAACTGTTGATTTTGCAGATCCAAAAAACATCATGTTCGGCACAGATCACCCATTTTTCCCTCCGCTTGAAAACCAGAATGGAGGTCCAGAACGATGGATGTCAGTTGACAGCAACCTTGCTGCCATTACTGATTCTGGTCTTGACAAAACCGTTGTACAGGGTATCTTGGGAGAGAATGCTCTAAAACTACTTAACCTCAGCCCACCCGCATCATTTAAAAAGAAAACCTTAGATTTAAAAGATATCTCTCTTAATCCAACCATTGCCCCTATTAGTCTTCGTTAATCAAATAATCAACAGAAATTTATTACTATTATTCAAAAAGAAAAAGAAAAGGTGTTTGTTCTCCATCGCTATTTAGTTTAAGGGCTGGTAAGCGTATTCTGGGGGGCTCAACATGGCAACCATAGTTAGCATAATTGCCAATATGATATTTAAGCACCAGGCAATAATGCATATAATAAAGGACACATTGTAGCGTGTCCCAATGTAAAACGAATCACTCGTGTTAAACAAATAGGCAATTACTCCCATAGAAAATGCTTGTGGAATAGCTACAGAAATAAATAAATAAATAAATAATAATTCTTAAATATACTTATATACACTCACCAGAGATCACGAATAGACTATACACATATAGTAACTGTTAGTTCAATCGAAATGTTATTTTACACTTGCGTTTGACTTACCCAGCAACGCCAGACCATGCTCTCTCTCTGTTAAGTCTTCCTCCGCAAAGAGTCCCTAATAATGCCAATATGGCTAGTCCTCCAATGATCGTTGCCAAGACCATTCCAGCAGCTGATGCGCGCCTTTATTTTTATTTTTTAAAAAAACAATAATAATAAAGCTACTATATTAGTAATCATAAAACTCAGATATATTTTTACTACAAATTTACCAAAGCTCACAGAAGCCCTCTAATTTTAAAATCAACGTAAGTTTCTTATCTGATACACAGCAATATCCTCAAAGATTTCTTACCTTGTTCACAGTCATTGTATTTTGCAGATGGAAAAGGCCGACACTCTCGGAGAAAACTATTTTATATATTTCATAAAATAAAAACACAGGGGGAAAGGTCGGCATAAAGTCTTGTATTATTTTCATTTTTATATAAATAATCATATATACCTTTTACATAGCTTAAAAAGACCATAGTTTGTCTCAATATAAAACGGAATCGGCGTAACAAAAGTCAGCCTTTATAACAAAACATAAATCAGTAAACGACAATGATTGGTGGAGTCCTAACCATTTAGGCATTACTAATGCAGTGACTGTCAAGGCATAATTGATGCAGAATGCAAAGAAAATTACTAGGTAAGTAACAAATGACACTGCCATGAAGATTCCAAGAGATTTAACAAAGAAGGGGAAAATAGGAAAATGCTCTGTCTCCCAAAGAATTAAAAAAAAAGACAATATATGTGTATATAAAAAAAATTAGGTGTCTATTCTGGGACATAAGCATCACCATTTTCATAGCCCGCACGTTAAATAAGAATAAATATATTGCTTCTCCAAGTCTTCTTTTCTTGGACATCCAGAAGATTATATGTTCTCATTCAAACCATTTTATCATCTTACTCGCTTTGGTCAAGAAGACAGGAGCCTTCCAGATTTACTGAACTCTGAGAAAAAATCAATCTCCCATTTGGTCCAATTAGCTGAAGAACGTCGTGTAGCAAATGCCAATTTGATTCGTTATGGAAATCCTCTTGGAGAAGATCTCGGCGTATGTCCATCTTATATTGATTCACAAGACAAGAAATAAACAAACTTAGCCATAAACTGTCATTTAGGATGTTACAAAACAACTAGGAAGTCTACTTGATATTTGGTCTAAGAACTTGGTCGAGTTTGCAGGTACATTATAAAGCTTAATAATTAAAGTTTACAAGTAGCCAAGAGCTAATGTGTTATACAGGAAACTGTGAGCAATACAGGGAGACAATTAAGTCTATTGGTGAGAGAGATAGTCTGTTAACTGAGACAAGGGATAAAAAAAGACGCCTGGAGGAGAGCATCACAAAATTGCAAGACAACTCCCCAGAGTCGGTAGACAAGATTGCCGATCTCAAAAAGCAACTATCAGATTTAGTGGCATCTACAGAACCAGATGAGGTTGAGATGAGCAATTTCAAGCGTGTTGCAGCACGCGAAGCTCTTTACCTTCTTCTCAATGGTATGCATGAGCTGGCAAGCAAGACAGATATTATTTCATCATTCGGAAAGTATATTGTGGATGAGTTGGATGTAACGCCAATAACACCTGGTCAAGAAAGATCTACTTACCAAGGTAAGAGCACACGGTACAATAGAAGGTATTTACCGCCTTTCTTCTCCTCTCTTCAAAGGATGTGTACTAAAGTGATACACATACACTTTCACTAAATCTCTTTAGGAACTAATAAGACCGCGCGTATTGTAAAGGATGCAACCAATGCTATCACCAACTGGAAGCCAGACAAAGCAAAAGTCCGCCGGACACTTACATCACATCACGGTCGAAATCCATTGATCACACCCCGTATAAGCTCGTTGCCACAGGAAAAGGACCTCCCTCCTGTACCATTACCAAAGGATGATAATTCAGAAGAAGCCACTGAAAAAGCAACTGAAAGCTCTACTGAGTCTAGTATTGCACCTGATGCAATCGATGTATCCGACCAGTCAGACAGCCTCCCTGAAGCAGACGAGATGCCCGTAGAGGAAAAACCAAAGGATGCTTTACCTTCAAGAAAGCTTTTGCAAATTAAGCCTCAATCACTTCGCAAACCTGATGATCCAAACCCTACTCAATATCCTGATCCTTATCCACGCATAGATGGTACACATGGGGTCCCAGATTTGGCAATTAATGACGGACAGCCATACCCACCATTTGCGACATCCCTACCACCTCTCTCAAAACCAAACCTAGCTCCATCTGGGTTCTCGCATGTTTATTTAGGCTTGCCAGATCATCAAAAGTTATACCAGTTTTATCAACAATATACTCCTCCAAAAACGTATGAAGAAATGGCTCAATCGCTTGGAACTCATGCCATATTTAATCCTTCCCCTCGCAACAGCCATCAAGGAAGTCCTAACCTTGGTCCGCGCGCAGATCCCGGTGGATTTGTACGCCCAATGAGTAATCCTAACTACATTCTCCCTCAAACCTCTGTTTCTACTAGCTCTGTCTCAAGCTTAACTTCTTCTGGTACCCAAGCTGTCAACACAGAGTTTGACGCACCTGCCAATGAAGATACGAACGATGATTCTCTTGTGGATGATGTTAATACTAAAGCTGCTACGGAGAAGGACGATCAGTCGACTGTCGGTAGCAGTGAGAGCCATTCAAGATCTAGAGTATCATCCCTTTTAGCAAAATTTCAATCATCCGCTAAATGATAGCATCTGTTAGCCAGCATCTAATTTATTGTGTTAGTACTTTTTTTTTTATATTTTATACTCCCTTCTTATCTGCTCAGTCAGTGTAATTTTATATCATAATTTTAGAAATATCATATTTTGATACCATTTCTTGTCTAGAATTCTTGTTTACAGAGGAATGCAAAAGACAATATAAGAAATACCTTTCTTAGAAGATGCTTAGGGCCATGAGCTTAAATTTTGTGATTTCTTATTATTTACATATAAATTAAACAGCAAAGAAGAGAAAAAAAACTGTATTTCTTTCTTTCCTTTTAGACAAATAGTTTGACGTCAGGATATATTGTCTCCTGAACGATTTGACCCTCGATGGAGCCCCATACCATATTTTTTTCGTTTGGTTCCTTCGTGGGTATTTGTGGATATTGATTGATTATAAGAGTTATTTAATCCTTTCTGGGAGTTTGATACTTGACTGTAAGATGGAGTTCTTGATAGTCCAATGCCTGGCCTTCGCGGAAAAGCGCGAGTAGATGGAGGATGTATTTCCTTGATCGTGTAGTCTAATTCCCCTGTCGATTCAATGTGAGAATGATTACGTGGATCGAAAGGAACATTGACAGGTTTCTGACTGAAAAAACGAGAGTTGGATTGAGACTTTACTCTATCGATGGAATCTTTCGGGGTTTGAGTGAGGTTATCTCGGTAAGGCGCAGTTTGTGAAGATTCGCGACTTGATATTGGTTTCGTCACACGGTAGTCTATCCCAGGCGTAGTACCGGAATTAGATGATCTTTGTGATGATGCCGATAAAGAAACACTACGCTGACTATTCTGCGTTCTTTGGCTTTGGGAGTTTTGAGAGTTTCGAAACAATTGACAATTTGGAACAATTGGGAAACATTGCGAATTTTGATTATTGTGATTACTTTGACTATCTCGATTTTCCTGCATACTCGAACTTCCCTGAATATCCAAAGTTTCCTGAGAACTTTGAGATGGTCCACTTGAAATACTACTTCCCGAATCAATCCAAGACATAGCTTCTTGTAATGAATCTGAATATCTTTCTTCTTGAGTATTCTCTACCAGTTCTGCCTCTCTTCTTAATTGACTTCCAAGTAGTCTCGGTCCTTGAGATATTTGAGTATTCATATAGCTTCCAGGTAGATCAAAAAACTCTTGTGTGACATCATTGTCAAGGCTTTGGGTCAAGCCACACTCATTACTCGTATTATCTTCATCCCCACTCGCATCGCTTGTATCTACATAAGCCGTTCTTATTGTTCCAAGTGGGGACTCGTACTCAAAGAATGAACGGGTATTAGGTATTCGTTCATTAATATCTCCACTTGGTTCTCGCCTCTCTTCTCCGAGCCGTATCTTTTTTCTAATATTAAGAATATTGTCTAAGTGCAAGAAAATTTTAGTCCAGAAAATATCTTTAGCCTTCTCATAATCCTTCTTTTGAAGTATTACATATATTACCTTGATCATCTTGAGTATTGGCTGATCGTTGTTGTCTTGGAAGTCCAAGTATTGCAGAAGACAGTTCACACTGGTCTACATATTTGCATGTTGATGATGTACTATCATCCAAAGTATTGTACTCCTCATTCTCCCAGCAGGACCTCGAATAGTCTCTTGACCGTATACAGCTCATGTGCTTTGGAACCATATCTAATACTTTTTTTATAAAGAAGGCACTCTCTATTTGGTTTACAGGAGCTGGATTCAAAAAGAAAGATTCACGTGGATGTATAGTGTAAGGTGCCTTTTCTGTCGTGGTCATTGATGCTGACTGTTTAAAAGTATTCAAGTCTTGCGATGTTTGGGTATAGCGTGTTCGCTTGTTAGGTTTGGGAGAAGTTTTCTTCAAATAATATATATGAAAAGTTAAGAAAACAATATTATATATGTTGGATGGTTCTTCTTCTTCTGTATATTGTTGTAGCATTAACCGCTATTCATCCAAAATACTTACATTGGAAGCAAGATTAGAGGTAGCCGATCTTTTAGATTCTGTGGTAGATAATGTTTTATCATAAGGATACATTAACGGTTGATCCTCTTCGTGTTTGGAGATATACCCATGGGGCAAAGACGTACTCAACGTATTCAAGTCATAATCATCTGAAATAAATTGCATAACTTTCTGGAGAAGCGGTACCTCCTCCTCTTCTTTATGATGTACTTCGCGTAGCTGTTTATTATTATCTGGGGCCGATTGTGTATTTCCATTACCATAATGAATATACGACTGGGTATCATCTTCTGCTGTATATTGCATAGCTTGTTGAACATATGATATGTCGTGTTCATTATTATATGGAATGTATGGTTGAGTACTATCATCTGAGGTTGACTGTGTGGTTTGTTGGGGGTATAATGATTCTTCCTCATTTTGTTTAGGTGAATTCGGTTGTGTATCGCCTTCTTGATTAGATTGAATAACTTGCTGAAGATATGACACGTCTCTTTCATTGGTATTTTGTACGTATGGTTGTGTGTCGCCCTCTGAGTTAGATTGAATGGTTTGTTGAAGATATGACACGTCCCTTTCATTAGTATTTTGTACGTATGGTTGTGTATCATCCTCTGAACTAGATTGAATGGCTTGTTGAAGATACGACACGTCTCTTTCATTAGTATTTTGTACGTATGGTTGTGTATCATCCTCTGAACTAGATTGAATGGCTTGTTGAATATACGACACGTCTCTTGCACTGTTATTTTGTACATAAGGCTGTGTATCGTCTTCTGAATTAGATTGAATGGCTTGCTGAAGATACGACACGTCTCTTGCACTGTTATTTTGTACATAAGGCTGTGTATCGTCTTCTGAATTAGATTGAATGGCTTGCTGAAGATACGACACGTTTCTTTCACTTGTGTTTTGTACGGATGGCTGTGCATCGTCCTCTAAAGTTGACGGCCTACTGTCTTTTGACGCGTTGGCCTCTTGTTCAATACAATATGGGAAACTATGTTCTGATTGTTGATCGTTATTATCGCTTTGGTTTTGTGTGCTACTTGCTTCTCCGTGTTCACACCAGCCACCAAAACTATTGAAACTTGCAGACCCAGTAGATATTTCTTGTGTCAGATTGCATGAAGACAAGGTAGTAGGAAGAGAGTTGTTAGGAGATATTGTAGGTGAGCTTGCTTTATCAGAGCGAGAGTTATGAATTGATGCAGCTTCAGAAATATCGCCGCTCTCTAAAGAGGAATGAGGTTCACGATTTTGGTGTTCAATAGAAGTAATGGAATTTTTACGGGACTTCGTGATGGAATTAGGAGAGCAATGGTCTCCAGTGTTATTGTGGTTTTGGTTTGCTCTATCGTATTGGCGAGTAACTTCAACCTTTGTAATTTGATACTTTTCTTTTGGTATTGTAGTGGAGTCAGAGTCAAGCTGCATAAATTCTAAGAATAGCTAATTGGTCAGCTTTGTTTTCGACCCACAAAATCTTCTACTGATATTTCTAAAATTCTATCGAACAATACCTGACGATTTTTTGTTCATACTTCCTGTAAGATCTTCTTGTGTTTTTAACGATGCTGATGCAGGCCAGAGCATAGAATCTCTTTTTTCTGATGTCAGTTCGGGTGTGTCAGATTTCCCAAATATAGATGAGCTATAACTAGATTCTGGTAATAATCTTTTTGTTGAGTCCTCCTGCTTGTTGCGGATATCCAATGAATTGAATTTTCGCACAACATTGAATTCGGTCGTGGGATGATTATTGTACTCGTGAGACGTGTTAGCGTGTTCTTGAGACGTATTCCGTTGGCGTTTTTCGTGTCTTTTGAAATCGTAGATAGAAGTGTTCTCCATAGTATTATAAGTCGTTGTAGTGTAGCGATCTTGTGGAAGTGTAGATCTAGTATTGGAAATATGAGAGCGATTGAAGGAAGTAGTTGACAAAAATGTAGAATTTTCAGTTTGATAATTATAGGCATTTTCACGCCAGTCGTTAAATTCTTCTTGAGAATTAGATTGTGAATTTGAATCTTTGTTCATTGATCTTGAATTTAATTCCTGTTCTATTGAAAATAATCCATCAATAAATTAAGATAAGGATAATGAGTGACTGAGGATGGGATCCAAAATTAGCTTGGATCGTGGTTGCTGTACCTGAGAACATCGAACTCATTTCAAAAGATCCATTTGGGCTGCTCCCTTTTCGCCTTTGGAGGACTTGTGGTGGACATGGGCTAGCCGCGATAGGACTGGACGAGTCGGTGGGAGTTGACATAATAAAATAGTATACAAGCGGGGACAACCAAGAGCGCTCTTGGTTTCCTGCCATTTAATCATTAAACAGCCAATAAGGTTATATGTTGACGTCATCAGTTACTGTTGTTTACAGGTTGTACGGTACTGCTAAACCCAAGAGGGTTCAGGAAGCCTACCCTCTACGCCATGTTTAGTGCCTACAGGAAGAACATCTTTGGTGCCGTCTCCGCCACATCCTCAGTAATCGGCAATGTTTTCGGTAGACAGGCTGTGCCCAGTGTCAACCGTACAGCTCTTTCACTGACGCCTGTTCGATTTGCGTCCGACTTTTCTCCTCGCCGTACAAAGTATCGCAAGGCACACAAAGGCAAAATCCCACTTCCCACTGGTGGATCCACAAAGGGTACCAGCGTTGAATTTGGAGAATACGGCTTGCGCATTACTGAGGGAGCTCGCTTGACATCCAGACAGCTGACAGCAGTACATAATGCAATCCGTCGAAAGATCAAGACAGTAAAAGGATCGCAAATGTGGATGCGCGTATTCCCTGACATTCCAGTTACCAGCAAAGGAAATGAAGTGCGTATGGGTAAAGGAAAAGGTACATTTGAGTACTGGGCCTGTCGTGTTCCTCTCAACCGTATCATTTTCGAAATCGGTGGTTTGCGTAAGGAGATTGCTAAGGAAGCTTTCCGTCTTGCCAGCCATAAGTTGCCTGTCAAGACTGAGATGGTTGAGCGTGGCACCAAACCCATTGTTGGAGCTGGTTATATTGCCCCTGTGGTTGCGAAAAAACCAGTGGTTGTACAAGAAGTGCTGGACACACCACCCGCTTCGACCTCTGCTTAGCACTTTGCATAAAATAAACTTGGATAATAGATACGTACATATACATATAGATATACATATAAATTAGAGGTGTGACATAAGCTATTTTTGTGAATGATATTGTGAAGGTATACTTGACAAGGCAAGTCGAAAACGGAATTTTTTTTTTGTTCTGGTGTTTTTTTTTGCTTGCTTGTTTGTTTGTTTGTTTTGAAGAATCCATGTTGAGAATTAAAGGCTGATATTTACACACACAAAACTGGATTATGTCTAGATTGAAAGTGGATAATAATAAATAAATTTTGCGAAAGAAAGATACAATTCCCACACAATTCCAATTAAAGAAGTTGAGTTGAGGCATAGATTCAAAGCAAAGCGAACTACTGTTTTGTTTTTTGTTTTTTTTTGTTTTTGTTTTTGTTTTTGAAATACACATAAACGATCGGGGCAGTAAGAAAAATAAGATGTAAAGAGGAGCCGGGTGTTTATTTTTTATCCTTGGGCGATTTGACTATCATTGTGGCTGCTGCTCCTGTTGATACATGTGTTCCGGAACCATGGACTGAAGAGAAGGAAGTGGCCATACCTGGGATTGTTGAGCGTTATTCTGAACCTGTTCTGCGTGAGCAACAGAGGGGGATGAGCCTGGAGTTCCATAGTGACTGTTGTTTCCGCTACGGACTACAGGTGAAGAAGTAGGTGTACCATAGAGACTGTTGTTATAACTGGGGACAGGCTCACTCTTGGTGACCATTATTTGCTCCTGGCTTTCAGAGAGTGGCTGTCCGAGTGTTGCTTTGTCGTCACTAGCGTCTTTTGTATCTTCCTGTTTGGTCGAAGGATCATTACGATCCAATACAGCACTGCAGAGTTGGGAAAGAATAGTCAACTTGGATCCTTCCTCATCCGAGTCACTAGCCTTGGTGCCGTTGGTTGTATTATCTGTCTGTTGCTGTTGAGCAGACTGGTCGACAGGACGATAGCTTGACTGAACTGCAGTTGTTTGACTCTGCTGAGGAGAAAGCATATTCATTGTTGCTTGATAAGAAAGCATTGAAGGGTTGGTGTGATACATCTGTTGAATCGCGGCAGGCATCATATAAGCCTGTGGCATCATCTGCGCTGAGTTTTGATAGCTCACTGCATTGAAGGGATCGTAGTGTCCGGTTGTCAGTGGTTGATAATGGATCGGTACAGCATTGTTACGCACATTCCCCATCCCGGCTGTTGGCGAATAAAGACCTGTGGGAAGAGCTGATGCAGTAGGCGTAGATGCAGCCGAAGATTCTGCAGAACCACCATCTAAAAACGAATGTGCTCAATATGTATAGGTGTGTATACAAACATGCATTACCCCCGTATATCTTCCGTTATCTTACCTTGTTTTCGCTTCTTGTATGGGCCCCGCTTCACTCCCTTCTTGCGTTCTTTGCGAACAGAATCTACACATGTGTCAACCAATGCGTACTTGATACAACGTTGACACGGACGTCCCTCGTCACATTTCTTGCACGCCTTTTGGCAATTGACTGGAAAGAATAAGTTGAAGAGCATAAGCGAGTATTCAAACACATACCACAAGCATTCTTGACTTGTTTCCGTTTTGGTTTTCCTTGAGATGCGTAATCGTTAACGGAAGACGGCTGCATACCCTGCGTTTGTTGACCGGGGTATACTGCCATTCCAGCAGCTGAGGAAAGTGCGAGAGAGTGCGCGTGATCATTATGCCCTTGAGGGTTTTGGGACCCATGCAGCGTGGTACCGGGCTGTTGTTGTTGCTGTTGTTGTTGGGGATTAGCAGCATAGCCAGGGAAGTAAGGGTTGTTATGAACAAACTGCATAATGAAGTACTAAATAAATAAAAACAAATAGGTTAATGTCAGTTTGAAATGAGCATTTTTTTAGCATCAAATTTCCATGTCTTTTCTCTTCTGCTCCCAGACGGTCTTGGATGCGAGAACGATGAGCAGCATGTCAATCGGTAGCATCAAGAGACCCTTCGGGGCGTAGATTTGGGAGCGAAAAGCAGGACGGGAATGGGATGTTGAGCGGAGCAGTGGTCCTCACCAAGTGGAAATAGAGTTAACGACGCTGCTTTAAAAAATTCGGCAAGGAGAGGAAGCTTGGCCCACTGACAGAAACGGGTTCCGATAGTAGACAAGTGTACAAAAAGCGTAAAGGTGGAAGATAGCGGAGCACCAAAGAAGTCCTTTGACTTTTTGCTGAAGATTTGTGCAAAGAAAGAAAAATTTTTCGTGTCCAGAGCCAAAGCCTTCAAATTGGCTTGGTGACCTGTCTCCCATATTGGGATAATAGGCGACGTCATGGTTTGGCCTTTTTCTTGGGGCAGCCAATGACAGAGAGTAGTCATATACTGGGCATTCAATTTATTAATCAACCTTTGAAGGACATGGCTTCATGACTATAGAAACCATGTACGTGGATAGCAGAGTCCGACAAAGCATACAACTAAACGACTACAAGCGGACCTCCCAGTATTTAATGTCTAATGATATTCAAGTTCCTACTGCTCTACTGTACTAAAAACAACTTATTCTATTGGATAAACCGCGACAAAAAGGTCTTTAGTGCCCGGTTACTCGACGACATTGTAGGTACAAAGTGCCTATATTGTCAATTTGTTAAATATTGTTAATAAAATATACACAAACTTACGACCCGGGGTGTTTGAGTAATGTAGACTTTTCAAATTTTTGCGATAACGCAATCATTCTATCTGGTACGATAATTGTGTCAGCATCACCAATAACATGAAGACTCGGGGTCTTTAGTTTAGGTGTTTTAAATACATGTTCAATGTGTCCATTATGTGTATCTATAAACCCTGCAATGCTGATCACAAATCGAAAGGGAGGATGAGCAAAATCGGTCGAGATCATTTCCGGAAAAACTGTGTTTTCAAGCATATATTGCAACAAAACTCCAAATGCAGCACCTGTGGCGTAAATTTAAGTACATATTAAATACCCCTTGCTTTTCTTACCCTGAGAGAATCCCATTACACCATCAAAGGGTCCCTATCCATATCCATATACATACATATGCATAAGACAATGTACATTTATCAAATATTGATATTACCTCTTCTAAGAGCACTTTCTTGATGTATTCAATCGATTTCTCAAACCCAATGCAGTATTGCCCAATTACAGGATAATATGTTACTGCGTACCACCAAGCATGTGGTTCAATCTCTAACAAAAATAGACTATGAGTACTGCGGATATAATAGCCAGATTACACTTTTCTTTAAATATATATATGTATATATACACGTACCGGCAGAAACTTCGGCTGACTCTTCTGAGCGTTCAGAAACAGTAGTGTATTCCGGAGTTAAGGCAATGTGTGGGCCAGACTTGTACACTATTCGAGATCATGAGCAAACCGATTGACATACTGAGCAATCTTGATGAATACCGAATTCAACAGTCTGATCAAGGCCTTTTGTAAACTTTGCACTCTTTTTCTCGAATATTGTTGCATTGTGGCCGTAGCCATGGAGACATAGAATACGGAGCTTCTTTTGTTCCATAATGTTTTCACTAAATGTTGAACGAAATGAGATTTGAGATTCACTAACAATTCAAATTACATATTTTTTCTTTTATATTAAAATTCCGCTAAAGTCAAAATCAAAGTGTTCCTGAATCTTGGGTATTGTCGTCTAAAGTGTGCATCCCTTTGCTACTTTGCTAAAATGATCTTTTATTTAATAATTGGCCAATTTTTATTTTGTTCCACACTACCGAATTTGAGCGGACAATTTTATACTGGCCATTCTAGGCCTCAATAGAAAGGTTGTTGTTTATTTGTTTTTAATAGTACTTTTAGTACCTTACAATTGATTGGTTGTAACTGAACACACTTTGTTTAATTATAGTAAAGCCTTTCATCTTTATATTAAAGCAAATTTAAACATGTCGATATTTTTTGTTTAGACAATATTCTATCGCAAAGTGAGGCAATAAAGATGATAAACAAAATTTGTACCTTTTGTATTTGGGTGTCTTTAATTATGAAGAAGTATCATTGGCTAATATGGCTTCCTTATGACCCTCGTCAAACACTTTCATCTCTCGCTTTTTGACCAAATAAAACAGGCGTCTATTTTTTATTTTTATTATATATAAGATTTTATGAATTTTTCTCTAAATCTTGTTTAGTTTAACAAGACAATGGACCCAAGAGAAGAAATAGAACCAGGACAAGGCAACGTTCATAGGCGGTGTATACTTTTACATATTTAGGTGTAACTTCATGCATTCCATGTATCGGCCGAAGTCAGGTGCAAGGAATGCAACAAGCCTGAAAATCATACAAAATGAAGTTGCCAACGCCAAAAAAAAATACATCTACATCGATACATGGTATATCTATATATTTATTCATTTATATACCTCCATTATATAGAAAATCTAATAGCAATATATGATACCCATGTACTTAATATAGCTGGTTCAAATCATAAAATACTTACTGAATGCGAAAGGACTGAGTCAAAAAGGTGAAAACACAATGCAAAAATCTGTAAATATGAGGGCGATCAAGTAGAACTAAGGCATACATGCTCCTGTTGCCATAAAGACGACCATAAAAGTTGCAGATCAAAAGAGTGTACAAAGCATAGGCTAAGTAAACAAGAAATACAAGGGATATTAGGAGATCATTCTATCATAGCAAAAAACAAACAAACTAGACAAGATCCTAAGGCCAACATGAAAGACACTTATGAGATGGCACTTGTCAGTGGTTATTGTCATTGTTTATCTGCTGACTGTATCGAAGTTGTTACCGTATACACAAGTACCATAGTGAAGTACTTTGAATCCAGAGTAAAGTCACCTATCGTCTGTGATAGTGTTAAATTATTCACAAATGTAAATGTATACGAAAATTTATTATTGCTTTCAAAAATAAACAACAAATTTGCTCTGCCTTTAGTCAAGCGAAGTTTTAATATAAAAAGCTACTCCTAAGCATTACAATCAGTATGTTTGTGGAGGTTCACAAACCTAGCCCGGTGTACTTCCCGGGGCATATAATAACAATAAATTGGCAAATGACACAATATGTAGCGAATTTTCATCAAATAACACATCTAAACCAGCTGTTTAGGAAACCCTCTCAACCTCTCCCAGAGCATATAACCATAGACTGGACCAGATACTTAGAAGATTCGAGCTTTATTATCAAGATCAACAACATAAACTTCAAAAAATTGTTGTTTATTTTTGCTGTGCTATGTACTTTCATTAAAATGTAGATTTATAGCATTGAGTTTAAGTGCTCTTTTAGCTTCTACTGGTATAACATTATCATCTACCTACGCTGCCAAGCTCGAAATTTTTCTTAAGGTGTTCGATTTAAGCTGATTTAGACTGAATAGGTAGGCATAATACATCAACACTGCACTTTTTTTTCCAAGACATCTCTCCTTCAAATTACACCATGTCTCATCATATCAACAACAACAACAAAAACCTTTATTAAACGAAAACAACCTTAGATTACAAAAGAGGGTTGATAATTGGTGGGGCTATTATAAATTGATCACCCACTAATATTTTTTGAGAAGAATAGTATATTTCTACAAATAGTATAAATATCAGCAGTTAGTTCTGTGTAGAAGAACAGTACAGTTTTACTATACTTTATTTTATTTTTCTTTCAATAAAACACCCTGGATAAGTTTTTATGAATCCCTTCATCTATTAGTTTCATTTCCGTCACAACATGGAGAGTTCTTCATAGAACTGGAATATTTTCTTGCAAAGATGTTTATAAGCTGCTACTATCAAAGACGCAAAATAAGAATTGATTGGGATGTTCTAATCATGCCATAAAGACTAATCAAAGATGAGATCGTGTCATCTGGAGTGGTGGACCGAGCCTTATACATTTTGGCAAGGATGAAAATATTAGAGAAAGCCAGTATCTTAAATCAAGATACAGAGAATACTGTAGGGGATAGATATTGGAGTGTGGTGGAGGTTCCATCATTGTTTAGGTTTGTGTGTAGGCAGAAAGAGTTGAGTCATTGAAGATTATAAAAAACCTACTTGACCAGTAAGCATACATGGACTTGATGAAAAGAAGGACGAAACCCAAGAACTTCACAATGATGCTGGGATGCTAGGGCTACCTAGCGGCCCATATCTCAGCTCCAAAGAGGATTGATGGGGATATCCCACTAAGAAAATGAGAGTAGATAAACTAAAATAAGGTGATTAAAAAGATTTTATTTTTGATTTGTTGGAATCTAACAATCACAGTAACCACCGGGTATGTGCCTGTCTATAATCGCTTAACAGTATTTTTGGAATATTGTTTGATGTAGAATAGTCTCATAAAAGGTTATAGAATAAAAAAGAAGAGGTTCTAATATTGAACTGTAATGCAATGCTTTTTATTATTATTTTTTATGTCAATTAATTCATATATGGATGCTTATTTTTTTACTTTTCCAGTAAAAGTGACCCTTGGTCCATTGTGTGTCTTTTTCTTTATGACCTTGCTCAAAGGCATGTACGCAAAAGGCTCAGCCTTACCCTTACGTTTAACATCACCGCCAGCTCTCTATTATTATTGGATAAAGATCAGTATAAATTATAGTCCAATTACATACACAAATAAATAATAATTAGTTTTGATTTTACCTTTGCTTTGAATTCTTTTCCGATTCTCTCATACTGCTGTGTCTTCTTCTTAATCTGCTTCACCGCAGATCCGTCATCCAAATCCATATGGTCATCATCATTTGCTCCATTCTTGCCCTTCTTGAACTTAATCTTGTTGTGTCTATCACGAACGAAACCATCGGCACTATTCTGAGCTTGCATGTAGTAATTTTCTTCTGGTGATTCCTCTACATTGTTCTTGTCTTCGGTATTTGATCCACCAATCACCATACGACCATCCTCACTCTGAGCAAATCCAGAAGATCTCTCAAGGTTTCTCTGTTTTCGCTGTACAGGTTTAGCAGCTATTATTATTATTATTATTTAAAAAAAAACGATAAAAAATGAGTTAATTAAAGCCATTTACAATTAAATACAAACAGACAACTTACATGAAATACGGCCCAAGGCAGAGGGATCCAAGAAATCAACAGGTCCACTCTCTTCATCTTCGCGAATATAAGTTGTGTCCATGCTCTTTTTCTGTATCAATTATTTATTACTACTTAATTTCCCTTGCTTATTTATCTTAGTGTTTATGTTTACCTTGTTTTTCTTCTTGTCATTTCCACCAAGTGGTGCTCTACCAGTAGGCTGGTCTTCATTGTCTGAATCTTCCAATTCACTTTCGCTACCATATACAATTTCCTCAAAGGCATCATTGTGAACAGCAAGTTTGCTGACTGTTTCGCGAGCACCAATAACATCATCCTCGTCCTCGTCCTTATCGTGAGTAAATGCCTTCTTGCGCTTAGCCTGGAGGCGGCGCTTTTGGATATTTGCAATAAGCTTCTTGTCATCTTCGGGAACTAAGGAGGCGATAGTTTCATAACTGAAACGACGAATAAGACGTTCGAAAATATGACGGAGCTTGATTTTGAAATGGACACGATGTTGGTGGCTGCACTTAAGCATACTGGAGATGACAGCAGGAAGCTGAGGTTCAATAATGGAGGTATCGAGGATAACAACGCACACCTTGGTGTAGCCAAGAGCGGCGCGAACAATTTCTCTGTTGTTGGAGGCGACAAAAACGTTCATGGTTTGAAGGAGTTCAGAAGCCAGCTCGGGAGACATGTCATCTATAAGAAGGTTCACATTTTTAGAGCTTTTCTTACGCTTGTTCTTTTTCTTCGCTTACCCTTGAATTCAAAAATAATACGTGCGAGTGCTGTAACAGTAGCAGCAATCATGTGCGCAGTTGTACCTGCCAAACCAGCAGTAACCATCATGAAGAACTCACTGATAGAGGCAGGAGCATCAGGCACACTATCTTCAAGTCCTTCAAGTTTGCTTTTCTTTACTATGCCACCTTCCTTCATTCTCTTTCCCATTTCAACGAGGAGAGTGAAAGAATGGTTACGCATAGCCTCGTTGTTACCCTTGGTACTGATGACTGCCTCGGACAAAATAGCAGGAATGAAATGGAGATCAGAAGATGGGAGTAGGCGAACGATCTGAACAAGAGTCAGGACACGATGCTTCTTTGCAGCCAAAGAACAAGAGCCGGTTGCAGCCAACAGCTTCTCCTGGACATCGTCAATATGGCTCAAGATTACTTGGCGGCCAACATTATAATCCATCAAGTGGGAAAGGATCTTGTAGCCCTTCTTTTGTAATGTGGGCTGATTTTCTTTTTCAATCAAAGTAGAGACAACGCCATTATAAAGGATTTCGATAGACTGGAAGTCTAAGAAAGGCACCATGATTGTAGCAAGATCAAGCATGGTGTGGGCCATGGGGGGAGGAGCGGCAGGGTCTGGGGAGATTTCTTCAGGGTTTTCGAGGGACTGGGACAGAAGACCCAAAACTTTTTGGAAGGTGATGTTAATATCCTAAATACAGATAAAAACAATCAAGCTGTTAGACTAATTTTCATTCACTTATACTTTACGTGTTTCAAATTTACCTGAGGGCTAGTGATACTCAAGTAAGCATCAATAAGATTACTCAAGAAACCTCTGTGGACAGGCGCAATCTGGCTGTACACATTGAAAAATACTGCAAGGAAGTTGACAGCAAATTTACTCAGATGTTCAACATTGGCAAGAGCTTCAGTTTTGGATACACCATATGCTTTCTTAAGATCAGCATCGGTTGCGTCTGATTTGGCAAGGCCTCTGTTCTTCTCAATCAAAAGCTGGAGAGCCTTAGCAATTGTTGGGCGCAATTCGGGTTGGGTGTAAAGAATGGAACCAAAACGTTCGGCAATTTGATCATTGAAAGCTTCACAAAGGTCGTAAGGCAAATCACAAAAGCCAGGTGCAAGACTCCAGATCTGATTCACCAATGTCTCGTAAAGTTTAGCTTGTAAGTCCAAACCACGCTCGGCGGCTGACTGGCCGCGCTCAGCAAGACGGTCACCCAGAGGAATGAAGAAGTTAGCAAAGAAGCCTAGCGAAGTGTTGGTGGTGTAGGCTTTAAGAAGAGGCAAAAGGAAAGCACGTCCGACTGAATCCGAGGAACTAGGGGTTTCAAGGTTAAGTGGCAAGATTGCTAAGAAAGCTTCGGGGCCCATGGTAGCAATAGCTGCACCCAAAGTCTTATCCAATTGTTCCTTGTAGTTTTCGGCAGGAGTCAAACGGAGCTCGCCAAGTCGGGCAAGACAACCATTCATCAAAGGAACCGAGTAACGCTTGAGTTTATAGAAAAATGTGTGCATGACTACCATTATGTGCTGCCATGCTGCCTGGTAGTAAATGCCCAAACCAGACTCAGCCATACAAATCATATCAACCAATCCATTATTCTGACCAGCGTGGGCCTGTTCAATCATTTCATCAGTAACACAAGTCTCAATCAAGGTGCTGAGACAAGCAGCAATCTCGCGGTAGCACTTCGATTCTTGGTTCAAATCTTTGAAGATAAGAGTGTAAATGATAGGAAGGTCAGTTGCGCATCGGGTCTTGTTAATCCTATGAATTTAACATTATGCATTAGTATCTAGGTGTCTTATTAAGGTTTTTTACCAGTCTTTGATGGTTAACTTTTGGATATTATGAATTATTGGCTAAAGATTAAAATACCAGTATATTCAAAAGTCAAGTATCTAAAACAAGCGAAATACCCTTTTGTTGATTAACAGCATAAAAGCTAAGACATACTTTGCAAATGCTGGATAGGCTTTACTAATGATCAATAACCACGTGGGCAGTAAACGATCATCAATAGCAGCAGGCTTAAGCTCGCAAATTGCCTAAAAGTACACATATTAGTTTTTCAATATCTTTTTTCTTAAGAAAAAAATTACCCCAAGGAGGCTCAGGAACTTTTCCTCATCCATATCATTTTCTTCTGCTTCAAATAATGCTTGGAACACGTCAAACGAAGCTTTTGTCAAAAAGATGTTGTTAAACTTGGGCAGCTGCAACAAAGTCTGGCAAAGAGTGTTGAAGCGCTAAACAAATAAAAGACAGTTATTACCCCAGTTTATCAATTACATCTTTGTATCATGCTACTATCATGCTATTTATTCTTACGTTAACAGGCCAGTAAGGAACAATTGATTGGAGGAGGGCGAGGATTTGTTGAGCAGCATGTTGGTCTGATTTTGTTGTTTCGTGGAGAACACGGAGAATGAAGTCAGCTGTCATGCTTGCAGCAGGATGGGTAATGGTAGGGGGAGGAGGTCTAGAAAGAATGGAACGGATAGCATCGTGTGCCCTCTTTCGTGCTTTGGCTTGAGTGTTAGCACAAAGGATCAACAAAATCTGATAAGCTTTCTTGGTTATAGGCATAGACCATCCATTGAGATCCTGGTTAGCCAAAAGTTCCTGCCAGCATCCAATAATTGATCGTACGACAGGCTGTTCCGACTTGTATTGTTCGTAGGCGGCTTCGAGAATAGCATTAACGGAACTGAATTTGGAACGAAGAACGGTGGGAGGGAGGCTGTCAAACAAGTAGGATATAAACATACATATTTAGTTGAATTCTTGTAAATATACAATTTAATAGCATTCTTACAAAGGGATTACTTCATCAAGGAGATACAAGAGAGCTCCGTTAATTTCAAGGCTTCCTTGAGATGATTCAAGAGTGCTCATCTATAAGAAGTACTTGTGAGAATTCACGGTTTGTACTGGGATATTTCTTGCTTACAATGGCACCAAAGTAAGCAATAGGAGAAAGCTCGGCATTGTTTTCACGGATCGTCTCCTCGATTGCTAAGAGTGTCTGTCCATACTAAGAAGATATAAAGGTACAAGCCCAGGTTAGATCTTCCAAGGCTTTTTTCCTCGGTGAGCTATTTAATTTATACCAATTTTTGGTTTTCAAGCTTGGCTTCAGCTTGATTGCGGATCCTGTCGAGTTTACCCTCCATCGTTAGTAGGTTCGCCGGATATGCTTTAAAGGGAAAGGTATATACTAATTTTTACTCGAGGTATGCAAAAAAAAAGAATTTTTTGGATTTGATGGACTGCTTGTGACGCCTTTTTGAAGGTATCTCCAAAATGGGAATGTCTTTGATCTTTTGACAAGTAAGCAAGAGAGGCTTATAGGCCATCTATGGACCAGTCTAACTTATTTCCAAGCTCCCCCCAACCAAAACCGTCCACTGAACCACCTGCAGGTCCTTCTGGTCAAGGACCTGTGTGTTATTGGGAGAATTGCATGCTTCAATATGCAGATCACAGAGCGCTAGGCACCCATTTGTCTGAAGGTAGATGAACACAGTGAATATAATTCCTATTGCTGACAAATGAATAATTATAATTTTAAGACCATGTGGGATGGAAGAGAGGAGAATATCGCTGCGAATGGGCAGATTGTATCCGACAAGGTGTTAAATGCCACAATCGATTTGCCCTCATGATGCATTTACGAATTCACACCGGAGAAAAACCATTCGAATGCACTTTTGCGAACTGTGGTCAATCGTACGCATCAACCGACACTATTAATTTATCGCTTTTCTTCTTATTCTTATTCATTGTTAATGAATTGATATAATAGGTTTGGCCGTCAGGACGCACTTATGCGGCACCGGAAAGCAGAACACGGAGAAGAACATTTGGATGGCGCACCAAGCGGTCCTGCAGTCAAGTCAGGATCCAACTTGAACAAAAAACCATTAAACTTGCCACTTTCAAAGGCACCAAAAGGTTTTGAAGGCGATACACCACCGAAGAAGCGAAAACAAATTTCCGGAGATTTTGGAACTAGTGAAGACACTCCAAGCTCACGCGAATACACATTAGCCAAAGCTAAACTCCAATATATTGTCCGAGAGAATGAGATGCTAAATGATGAGTTGATGATTGCGCAAAAGAAGTTGAGACGACTAGAGACAGAAAGACGGGTGCTTCTGGATGTTCTGATGTCAACTGATGGTGATCGTGAAGAGATGTCTTCACTTTAAGAGTATCAAATTCGTCTTTCTCCCACTTCCCCTCCTTCAATCATATCCCGTTTTATATAAAGTATTGATATACAAACAGTCAAAATAAAAACAAGTCATTATATCTATAGTTTAATTCGCTTGGGTTTTATTATTTTTTTAGATATCCTTGTTGCTTTTTTATCTATATTTTAAAAAAGTTGGGATTTATTATTTAAAAAAAAAACAACCATCATTATGAGTGTGGATGGATCTGAATGCTAGCACGATAAAAATCCGATTTTGCTTTGACGGTCACAAAAATTGTTCTCTTTCTTTGCACCTAAACACACATGGATCAAACACAACAGAACCTCGAAGAACCACCTGTCGTTCCTGTCAGTGATGCATCTCCCCCTACAACAACTGAGAATATCAGCCCGAATATTAGAGACTACAAAGGATTAAAATACGACCTCAACGATCCTAAATTCAAAGGCCTCGGAAAGAATGCAATCAAACGCATTCTCAAAGAAGAGCTTTGGGAAGCTTCTCGGCCAAAACGCATTCAGCATCAACGCGAGAAAGATAAGCTCAAGAGAGCAGAAAGAAGAAAATTGATTGAGGATGGTGTATTGGAGCCACCACCAAAGCGCCAAAGACGACCTGAGATTACTCTGGCTAACACAAACATTGTATTGGATTGTTCATTTTCCGATAAAATGATTCCAAAGGTAAAACAAATATATACACATATAAAACCCATCAGGATGGATAATTAGAAATTAACTTTTGACTGGGTTACTATATTACAGGAATTACAATCCCTACAATCACAAATCGTTCGCTGTCATAGTGCCAATAGAACAGCGCCTCTGAGTATGCCATTAACAATTACATCATTTGATGATGCATTTGAAAAGGTTATGGATAAGAAAGGCGGGAGTTGGACCAACTGGAAGAACGTTAAATTTGAACGAAAAAGTTACACTGAGCTCTACGATAAAAAAGATCTCGTTTACCTTTCAGCTGATTCGGAGAATGTGATCCATGAGTTGGAAGAGGGAAAGACATACATAATCGGGGGTATTGTTGATAAGAATAGATACAAGGGATTATGTCAAGAAAAAGCTACAAAAGAAGGTATTGCTACTGCGCGACTTCCTATTGGCGAGTATCTCCAGATGGCAAGCCGCAAGGTGTTGACAGTAAATCACGGTATGTAAAATGAAATTGTGTGTGGATGTATTATATGGTTCGGGTGTTTATGAATGGGTGTTTCTTTACTTTCTTTGCTTTTTTTTTTTGACAATATTAGTTTTTGAGATCATGATTAAGTGGCTCGAACACAAAGATTGGGAAAAAGCGTTTATGGAAGTAATCCCTCAACGCAAACTGAAGGATTCTTCTCTTATACATAATGGCGATGACAAGGATAAGCAAGATGAAGATGAAGATGAGGATGAGTATGATGAGGATCATGAAGATAATAAGAGTGCTACAGAAGAGAAAACTGAAGAGAAGCTTTCAGATCCAAAGCCTGTAGATGAGGCATAAGCATGTGGACCCGTGTTGTGTCTCTGTTATTTTGCTTTATTCACATTTTTGTACATTTTTACTATGCACAGTATATCACTGCTAGACTTGTTCGAATACTACATTATCATCATCATCATCCTCGTCTTCACCATGTGATGAAGGAGTGCTATTTCCAAAATCCTTATCGTTTGTTTCCATACACACTATTTGCTTGCTTTTCTTTTCGAGTGCCGGCAGTACAATAGTCCAATCTTCTATTTGCTTAGAGTAGCTAGCAATTACTTGTTGTTTAATCTCAATATCTCGACGTAAAAGCGCTATAGACTTTAAATCATATAATTTGAGTTATCCAAAAGAATGATATTATTTCGTTACGCATAAAAATACCTCTGTAAGATCCAAATCCCGGTCTCCGAGTGCTTTAAATCGAAAGTCGCCAAAACCGTGCTTTAAATCCTGGATGGTTGTTTTTAATGGTGTAATACATGCATCGAGGCCATCTATTAAGCTCTCTTTAGTTCAATTGTTCATGTGGCGGACAATGATTCAAAAATAGTTATCTCACCACTCTTCTGACCAAAGTTTTGTTCACTCTTGGTCTGAGAGTCATCAAGGATCGTCTCTAGGCATTCATCAAATTGGGTTGAAAGCTGCTTAACTAGTTCGCTTAGACTCTTGTCATGTTCGGCCATGATTGTTTCTCTCTCTGCCTTGTGCTTGACTCATTTCATTATTTTTTGTTCAAGTAGGCTGCAAGGTAAAAGCGGAGTCTTGCGTTGGCTTTCCTGTGGCTTGCCGTATACGAGACTTGTTTTCCTTCATATCCTCAGTTGAGAGCCCAACTTGGGTTTTCATAGACTCATTACCATTTCTTACACAATGTCGACATTCGCTGAGCAGCTGTTAGCAAATGCGCTCAATAAAGAGGATAAAGCTACCACTGAAGAACATCCCGAAACAGAAGACGAAGATGATATTGAGATTCCTCAAGGAATCTCATTGGAAGATCTGAATGAGAGTGACATTGATGATGACGATGGCGATATTTTGATTGAGCAACGCATTACAGTGAACAACGAGGTAATTACACCAAAAAGAAGAATCCCGGATATTTTCAAACATGTGTATAGACTGCGGCACCCCTTTCATTTTTATTTTTATTTATCGAATTGAAATTTAGGCAGCTTTGAAGCGTATTACCGAGAATGTGAAAGAGAATGATCTTCCGTTCTCTGAAACCTTAGTGGTTACTTCAGAAGAACCCTTGGATTTATATGATGTTCACGACGATCTTGCCCGCGAGAATGCATTTTACAACCAAGCTCTTGCCGCAGTAAAAGTTGGCATAAAAGAATACGAAAAGGCGGGCCTTACGTTTTTATGTCCAGCTACCTTTCATGCACCGATGCTGAAGAGCGACGCTTATATGTTAGCAGTATGTTTGCGGTTTTGAGGAAGTAATTGGATACATCAGTTAATTATGGATGCGTATATGTAGGCACACAAACGAGAGCTTGAAGAAGCAACAGCAAAGAAAGATAGCTTGGATGAGCAACGTCAACGAGAATTATTAATGCTTCAAAAGCAAGTAAAGGCAGAAGAACAACAGCTTTTGAAGAAAAAATCGGCATCAATGGAGAAAGACAAGCTGCTCAAGAGAAGTATGAAATTAATGTAAAATATATTTTAAGCAGAGAACTTATTAACTGTATACATATTGTGCTTAATAGAGCGGAAAGATGGTCCGGTGGAAGAAATGGTTTTGGATGAAGACTTTGATATTGAGGCTGATAAAAAAGAAAAGAAAGAAAAGTACAAGCGACCAAAGAATGGAAAACCACAGCAGAAGAAGAAGGCAAAAGGCACATATAGACCAGGAAAAGCAAAGAGAAACGCAGCACGAAAGTAACCTTATTTTATTTTACTTTAAAAGAGAATCCCTGTTTTAGATTGAAGCATATAAACATTTTGGTTTTACCAAATCATATAAAATCATTGTGCTTTAAACACATTATAAATAAAGTCAATACGACTACAAGGAGTCTTATTGAACGTACCAAATGATAAAGAAGGTCCCAAGACATTTGCTTTTATTTAAGCAGAAAATATCTTTAAAAAAGAAATCAAAGGAAAAATATTGATCGAAAAACAGACCGTGTATACCTCACTTCTATAAGAATACTTAAACACATTACATTAAATGGATTACTTATTCCGAAGTCTACTCACTATTTTACCCGAGAATGGTAAATTGTGTTATTTATTCCAAACAACGTTTATATCAAGATACTGGAATAAGCATCAATAAGGTTAAAATATGTTGTCTTTAGAAATTGCTTGTTACATCAAAGTATAATTAACTGTACACCAATTATATCTTTATTCCAATAGATGTATATATATAAATATATATGATATAAATTCAATGCAATCATCAGCACTATGATTTACTTGCATGAAAGGCTACGGCGGAATTGTATTTTTATTACACAGTAGAGTAGGGAAAAGTTATGCTACCAAAAAAAAGCTATATATTGATTGCACTAAAAGATCTATTTATGTGTGAATCTTTTTGTTTGTTTGTATGGAGCGAATATGTGTGAATCTTTACTGTATACCGAATTTCACATTAATAAAATGTAAAAATTAATGTGGGTACCTTTGCTGCATTTTGACTTCGTAATTAAGACTAAATAAAACCACTCACATTAATTTAAATATTTGACCCATGGTTATATATTAAAGTTTAAATGACCAGGTCTCACGCATGACAAGTATGTCTTTGGCAATATTTAATATTTGTTTATACAAGATGCTTCTATAGGCCACGACATGTTTTCTTGAGCATCTTTTATTATCGAGTTATTGATATAATAAATATTGTACGCAAATTTTGAACACCAATTTTGCCCATGAACATATATATTTTTATTATCGAACATTAAAAGATAATTTAAAGAAATAATATTTGTAATAATTCATGACGTAGTACAAAAACTAGCTGTCCACTTGATCTGTCTTGAATCTCTGGATTTCTAATTGACATGCATGAAAAGAAGGAACTGTATGGTACAGCTAATTAACAAACAATGTATAGTAAAGGAGTATATATTTATATGTGTATGCATGTATTTATGTACATTTGTATGTATTTAAGAAAAGTCCAGTAAAACTGTAAGACGATCATCCCGTCTCCTGTATGATTCCCCCCTGAAAAGGGAGATAATTATGAAAATAATAATAATAATAATAGTAGTAGTAATAATAATGATAATGATAATGATAATGATAATGATAATGATAATGATAATGATAATGATAATGATAATGGTAACGGTAATGTTAATGGTAATGGTAATCGCAATTGTAAAAATAATAATAGTAGTAGTAATAAGTTAAAAGGGAAATAAGCTTTTTTTCAAAAACTATTGTACAATTGCCAGCATATTAACACTAAGCAACAGTGTTAAATTCGGTCAGGATCACTACTTCTTGATGTTGCTTGATCTCCAGTCTTATAGCCTTGTCGCCATGGTTTTGTTGAAGCGATTTTTCGTAGAACTGTAATTCAGCTGGGTGACTTGCAACTAGAACGTACGTATATACGTAAAGATCAAAAGTCAAAAATGGATACTTAGAAGGAAAAACAGAGGAAGCCAAGATATTTACCCCAGTGAGTGACACAAGCAACAATGGATATATCCTAGTTCAACCATCAAGGTTGTATTTTTAGGATACGTAAAATATTTTAATTTAGCAACGGTTTTTGTGGTGATTTTCTATATCCTGTCATCTTACCAGAGTTGAGATACTTAGCCAAACAATACCGCGCATCTTTCCTTCTGTAATAGCCATTAAGAGACCATTGGCGGTTGTGAGTACTAGAGTTACAAAAGCGGCAATACAATTATGTTTGGCTAATGCATGCAAAGATGAGGCTTGGTGCGTTGTCTGCTGGGCTGTACTCGGAAAGAACGCAAACTTGATGAATACTCCCAAAAATGATGAGATAACCAAGATGTGATAGCACATCGTCGGAATTGAACCTGGTAATTGAATGCCGATGGAGCAATGGAACGGAAACTCCTCCCCTACTAGTGTAACACGGTATATTATTTGCAGGACCATCAAGGCCACAAAAGGTACCAATAGCCCAATGCTGATCACATAAAGAGGAGAACGAAGCCTGGATGTTTTTGGGATAGACATTGTATAAATCTTATATATATATATCTTTAATGTCAGACATCTCCAATTTTTGTTTCTTATGTATAGTAATACAAAAAATACCTTTTCGATAAAATAAAGATATAGCACAATCTTGGCAGCAGTGTATAGAAACACGCAGTTGAAGAGTCCAAGTACACACGATATAGAGTTTCCATTATTTGTGCTCATTAGCATACAAGCAATCAGATCAAATGCCCAGGTAATTCCATATATCGTCAGAAGTAACGTTCGGATATATAGGATTGGACCGTCTATACTGGCCACTTTGCGCCCAAATACTAATGAAACCGCCGTAATGCAAGCAACACTAGAAACTTCAGATATAATTTCCCATTGGTCTGGAGAGTACATGCTAGTAGTAATAAACACAGGGAGGTCTCGCAAAAGAGTGATGAGCAGATGAAATTCGTCGAGATAGTTAAGATAGTATTGTATATATTTAAAGGCAGGAAGAAATGCAAATAATAATAGAAAGATAAAGAGGAAGAGAAATAAAGAAAAGAGAATAATGAATATATATATATATCTAGCTCTCTTTTGGTTCGTTCTTAAAAAAGAAAAGAAAAAAGAAAAAAGGTTTGACAAGAAAAAGGGATGTAATGAATTCAATATTTAGGAGCCAAAAAGTTTGTTCAATATAGAGACAGGTTTTTACTTGTTTCTTATCTTGACAACAGGAACAAGCCTCTTCTTTAGCTTTGTTTTTTTCATATTTTTTTGACAAGGAGATTATCTTATCTTATATTATGATTATCTTTATTTGTATTTCGCACCTTTCATGCCTTTTCAAACCTCCTTTGTTCAAATCAATGAAATGGTTCAATAACAGTCACGTCTCATAAAACAATAGCCTATAAGACACGACCAAGTTTGGATATCTTTCTTTACTTAGTTTGACAATGGAAGACTCTCAACACAGTGAGGAGCAGCGAAGCACAGATCTTCTCTTGTCAACCTGTACAGCATTAGGTGGTCTTGAAGAAGTAGAGCTCCCAAATGGGGAACTAAAAACAGTTTATGCTGTGGGTGATGAGGCACTTGGTAAACAGTCTTTTCCTTTCTTTTGGCTTGTCAAAGATCCCCGGCTAAATATATTTCTAGCATGTCTTAAGGATCTTAAGAGATTCATTCGGGCGGATTCTGGAAATCCCCACAAATTCGTACTTCACACTCTCGGCACCTTCAACGTGCTCGAAACAGATATAGTCCCAATCATTCTTACACATGCCAATCAAAATACTGACATTGCAGAACGTTACATTCTGGCATGCAGTAAGTTTTGATCTTCTCACATCATATAATTTCTAGACTTAATTATAATTTTTATTATCATTTTGTTTGAAAGTTGAACTGCTTGTTCCAATGACATGGCCGTTGGATACTGCCGATGAAGAAGAGGAGGATTCTAGAGATCCAAATGAGCTCAATTTGCTTAGAAAGTACAAAAAGGCACTTTTGGTACCTGGAATTTTTGATGCTATATTATCAGTCATAATCAAACCCTTGCGAATTCCCTTTAAGTGAGTTGCGTGTGTAAATATAATTGTAAAGGAGTAATATTTATATGTATATATAAATATAAAGTGAACGATCCGTACGAGATCAAACAGTCATTCGACTGGTACTTTATTTCCTGCGCAATCTGACAGCTATTCCAGACGCTATTGCATCGTATGATGCATCAAGTGAGACATGGACAATGACTTCTATGCAAGTAAGTGAATCTCATGAAACAAAGTCTTTTGCCGAGAACTAACTGTGATTGATTAGGAAGAGCTTTTGATATGTTTCTGTGAATCTAAAGTGATTGAACTCTTGTTGACTATCAGCTCAACAAGTATTGCTTCAGATTCTTCAGAGTGGAATGTAATTGTTCTGGAGATACTGTTCAATCTTCTTGAACATGCTAGTCCAAACGATGTATTTAAAGAAGATAGAGGGCGAAAGGTAATTTTTTTCCTTTAAAAAAGAACACTAAAAAAACTAAACTTAAATCTAAACTTGACTCTTATTAATGTTACGCCTTGAAAAAGAATGGGAGTGCAACTTCAGAACGGTTAGAAGAAATACTTTGTAAAGAAAAGGACGCCAATAGTATCTACAGCCGAAAGAAGTCTTCTAGACATAGTCGTTTTGGTAGTAGCTACACTCTCAAAGATTGGGTAAGGGACACAGATCCATATGCTTATAAAGTGTATATCAACTATCTCACTAAATACGGTGCCTGTTTTAGGAGTCGCACAAACGCGTGTTTCACACTAAAGAAGCGGGATATGCTAATCTAGGAGAGCTTATTGATGCGAATAAAACGCACAGTCGGCGTGGAAAGAAACGAAAGGCAATGGTGAGTATGGTGTAACAGTTTTGTCTTAATTTATCAATGCTTAATTTCTGTACCTGTTGTCTAGAACGAGTTTGATGGTTCACGAGCAACCTATCGCAGTAATCGTGCATTGACCTATCTCAAACAAACAGCGCAGTCTTTTTTAGAATCTTGTTTCAATGGTAAATATAAATATTATATATATGCATTAGTAAGCATGGATCTCACAAGATAACGTTTATAGAGTTCTACACTTCGTTGATCAAGGATATAGAACGGGAAAACAAAAAGGTTGTCGAGAAGGATCACAAACGATTCTTCTTTACAATGCGTTGGTTCCTTGAATATCTTTGTCTTGAACAGGCTGTTTTTAAAGCACAAAAGGCTGAAAAGCCTCGACCTCCACCTGATAGTACATCTATATTTTTACCAAATTCCTCAACATCTATCGCAAAATTGAACGTGGGAGGAACGGAAGACGAACGGCCACAATTTGACTTTAATCTTATAGCATGTTCAATGGATCTTCACACATTTTTACTTTGCTTGCGAAGATTACGCAGAACATTAGATGACAAAGTAAAAAAAAAAACACAGAATCCTTCCCTCCCACACTGCATCCTTAATTAACATGTTTAATTTCACTATTTATTTTTTATAGCTATGGGTTGATGTTCAAGTTACTGCGGATTGTCTTCGACAGATGGTATGTGATAAAGATTATTATAACCGGACTGATAGTCTAATTGTACACACACAGATGATATGTATCAACAATATGTCAAATGACTCAGTTCCTGAATATCGCGAAGTAGCAGATTATATCCAAAGTAACATCTACCACGAGCAATCCTCTTTTGACCTCTTTGTTGATCTTATTAGACGTTACAAAGACCAATCTTATGCGTAAGAGAGAAAAATATGTTTTTTTTTTATTAAAAAAGCACTTTACTAAAGTTCAACTTATTTTTTATAGCTATTTAGAATCTGTTGTAAAACTCACTCATGTTATGCTCAAACTACTTGAACAATTCTCAAAGAAGAAACAGGTGATGTTTATTAGGAAACCAAAAAAGTCAAACAAGTCAAACAAGTCAAACAAGCAGAATAGCAACGAAATCCATGACGAAAATGATCCGAATTTGGAGAGTGATGTAGACGAGCGTGAGGAGGAGAGAGATCGTGAGATTGCTAGTAGAGAACATATTTTCAAGTTTGATTCTTTTGAACTAGTAAGTTTGCGCCAAATTTAATACAAGACACATACACAGATATTGTCTAATTTTGTAATAGAAATATGCCTCATATGATGTTGTTAGTGTGTACTGTATCCTTTTGGAACAGTACCAAACAATGGATCCACAAATAGTACAGTGTATTACCAGTCTTTTCCACAGAATTATGGTAAAAATAAAAGCCGAGCACATTTTCTTCAAGTTACCTGTACTCGACCTTTTCAACCGCATTCTCCACGACGCCCCTGTCCTACCCAAAAACTCGGCAAATCAACAGCTTTTCCAGTTTATTCGTTACTGTGTACGACAATTTGTTCAACGAGCCGAGGTTTATTCTCCCCTGTTTACCGAAGTTGTTTTCAAAGGGAAACCTTACGGACAGCCTGGCAGGACAGCCTAGACAGCCTAAAAGTATGCGATATCACCCATAATAAGGAGTTTAAGGGCTATACATATTTTTTTGTGTCGGGGTCAGACTTTGCAGCAATCTTACGGTAACCACGTTCCTGGTGGGGTACGATATTTCTATCTAACCGGACTAATCAATTCTGGCTACATGTCCGGAGACCGGCGGCTTTATCTAATCCTTTAGGGAAAAATAGTGTGTCCTCAAAGAAATACAATATATTCATTGTACGCATTAGCTTTACTACTTTGTCCCTACACTTTGTGTTCATTAATCTCTCGCCAGGCACCTAACTTTCATTATTTTAAGAGCCACAGCCTGTATTTGAGCAACTTAATAATAAGATGCTGTATCATACGAAAAACACATTCTGTATATTCAATTAGTAACCCTAAATATAAACTTGACAACAAAGAAATAACAATTAATCGCAAATACACTATATCGGCAGTCAGTTATGCAAAGGACTATTAGAAATTGTTGACATTAGATTGTGACGCAATCCTGTTTGATATCTTACTATTTATTAACCTGCTTACGCGTATCATGTCTTTGTCTTTCTTCCACCTACATATTCCCAGAGTTCAACAGCACCAGCTGGTAAGTAACCCCCACCCGCCTCTTTTTTTTTTTGAAAAGCACAAAATATATACGAATATTATGTATTCTTAGGAACCAGATAGACTTATTCTGTGCCGGAAAAAAGGCTACGATTTGTGGTCCGGTAGAATAAAAATGTCACCCCTCACCAAGAAATACCGTCCCCTTAAACTAAGGGTACACGCTGTCCAGGCTGTCCTGCCAGGCTGTCCGTAAGGTTCCCATTTTCAAATCTCTCCGGTCACGTCCAAAATATCACCCGGAACCAAAACTTGTTGATAGTGAACCTGAAGACAATGAATACATACCTAGAGGAGAAGCTACTCAAGAGCAATCAGGTGCGATGGAAGAGGATGAAGAGGATCCTTTTGCAGTATTCTATCAAAAGCAAGCCGAAGAAGAGGCGGTCAAAGAAGCAGCAGCAGCGTTGGCTTTTGCAGCAAAGAAAAGAGAGGAGACAACTTTGCTGGACCGTGCAAGAGAACAAGAGATGGAAGAAGCATTATTGGAACGGCAAATGGAAGAAGCACTACTTGAAAGAGAAAGTCAGATTACAGAAGCAGAAGCTGCTTTAGAGGAAATTGAACGGGAAGAAAGAATAACAACAATAATGTAAATAGGAAAGAGTAATACGAAAAAATGGATAGTGAGAGAGAATATGAAGCAGGAAATGTACATAAAAAAAATGCGTACAAGGCGTAAAAACAAGGGTGATGCCATATTTGATTTATTTGCAATGAAATCTTTCTCTCTTTCTTTTTTGGAGAGATAGACAAAAGGTATCCCCCTTCCTGTGTTGGTAGGAAGGACCCTATTTATGGGGGTTGTGGTTGATATGTTTATATGTTTATCTGTGTATATGTTTGTTTTAAAAAGGTAGTGCATATTATTAACGATGTCTAGGGCTTATTCTGGAGATGGCAAATACGCCAACAACAACGACACCGAGAAAAACGATGGCGGCGGGTAATAGGAGATCTCTAGGGAATCCGTCATCATAATGATGGCGTCTGTGTGATCGCTTCTTTGAGCTCTTGCGTATATACTCTTCTTCTGTTTCTTCCTCTTCTGCTGTATCCTCTTCGCCGTCATCGTTATTGTCTATTAGTTCTGCTTCTTCCGCCTCTAATTCTTCTACTAGTGCTTCCATTTCCATATGACTAGTCCCGACGACGCTCTTTGAACGAACGTCGAGCTCTGAAATATTGGGCACGGCAATTGATTCTATCATTGCATCGTGTATGAACAGCTTGACACGACTCTGGCCAACTTTACGAGCAAGCATGACAGCGTCCTGGACGTCAGCATCTGAGGACATTAATACTTCGTCATTCTCATCATCCATATATGAAATACTGAGCCATTCGGCAGAAGGATCTGCTGCGCCTTCACCTGCACGCTTTCCTGTGAGAGTGAGATGTTCGGTTGCGACTTTTTGAAGAACAGAATCGAATAGTTGTGAGTAACTGTCCAATGGTGCGACAAAGCGGTGGGTGCGTCCACTCAATGATGTGAACTTGAAAGAAAATGTGCCGTCGTCACGACCATGAGTGCGTATATTGCGAGAAGATATGGTGGATAAAGCATCGTCATTAGTAGCAACCATGCTTGCACTTTCATTAGGAAGGATTTCTGCGTATCCTTGGAGATGAGTATATGATAATGATGGTTCGGGAGATATGGCATGCATAGCTGGGTGCATGTTAGTGGAAGGATGGTGAGATAGCATGGGATCCGATAATTGCGATTCTGTTTCTGTGTGATCGGTCGATCCAAAGCTGTCCCAGAAGCGAGACCACATTGGCCCTGATAAAATAAAATATGTACATGTGGATGTATACGTATACGTATATATATACATTTATATGTTTGTGTTTGTTTTTGTTTGTATGCGCATAAGTATATGCAATTCTTTTTTCTTTTTATGATATACATTCTATAGGCGTCTGTATTACCTTCGCCATCGTTGCCTTGAATACTATTCATCTATATTTTACATACACACATACACACATACGTTATATGCAAAAAGAAAAGATATTCGATTACCGGTTAATTTTCTCTATTTAAAATCCTTGGCATGCCTTACCTGTTCCAGAGTAGCATAGGTCAGTTTTAACACATCTACCATGCCCACAATAATATGCCCATCCATGACCGGCAAGTTTAAATAATGGCCATCTTAAAACACAGGAAAAATTCTTAGTGAGTTAAATTAAGAGCGAAATAATAACAATTCTCATTTTCTTTAAGGTTATTTATTACCATTCATTTTTCTCAGGGCATCCATGATAGATGTTTGTGGTGAAGCAGTGTCTGGGTTTGGCGTCATTACACGCACAACACTACACTTTTCAGGGTGCAAGCCAGCTGCAACCACACGCAATACGATATCTTTGCTAAGTGTTTACAAGTTAATAATAAGAATAGTAAGTATAGCTCATTTTCTAGTTATTCTCCTTTTGTTATTCTGATTTTACACCTACTACCTACGTGGTAAAAATTCCTGCTAGACCTTCTCGGTTGGTCACAAGAACAGCTGTAGTGTGAAGCTCTCTCATCATCTTGGCAATCTCTCTAACATTGACTTTCACATCGACTTCAGGGGGAGGAGACCCATCAAGGACGGAGTGGAGATCAGGACAGGACATGCGGTCACGGAGTGCTTCCATGTATTGCACGAGTTGAATCGGACTGCTGGACCATTCACGTTCCACACCTTCTAAAGCATCGTATAGTTTGCGTGACGATCCGTACGCACGCTCCATCTTATCTAATGCTTCATAAAGGCATTTGGTGATATCCAACAGCCCGAAAATATCGCCTTCTTCATTACACACAGGCTATTGATATTTTAGTACATCTCACTACTTTGTGTATGCGTGTGTGTGTATATATGTTTTTCCCCTTACCAAATGACGGAATCCTCGGGTTACCATTAAATTAAGTGCGTCTGTAGCAGAAGTATCCGAGGTAACGCACATGGGTCCTCTTGTCATTATGGTAGCAACAGTGGTGTGACTAAAAAGGAATATAAAAAATCCAAGAAATAACACCATATATCAAATGGATCCCCCACTCCACTCGTCAGTCAGGGTGCCTCCTCTCCTTACAAAGAATGTTGTGTACCTTGCATCTAATTCTTCTGCGACAACTCTATAAGCAATATCTTTGGCCTGTATGGTAGAATATAATAAATAAAACTTTTGCTACAAGGTACTCTCCAAGATATATATATATATATATATATATATAAGAGAGAGAGAGTGTGTGTGTGTGTATGTGTGTTTAGTTTTCTTACAGTGAAAATACCACTCAGGTGGTCATCCTCATCTACAACAAGTACGCAATCGCATCGCTTGGCCGCCAACAGTTGTGCAGCTTCCATTACCAACATATTCTCTTTTACTGTCAGTGCCTGAGCAGGTCTTAGGGCTGAAACTGTGCCGGCTACCCGTTGTGCATGCTTCCTCAGTGAACGGCTACCTCCACGTTTCTTAGAAAGTTCATTTTCAAGTTTTTTACGAAGAGCCTAAGAAAAAAAAAAAGATGAGGATCTCTTCTGCGCTGAATTTGCATCGTAATTGTCGATGGTGGGGACCTTGCCTCATCTCTCTTGCTTTGGCGTTGTCTACTACCAGCACCGATTGCTTCGAGTGGTTCGGAGCGGCTGCCGGCTACTGATGGTATTCTTGTGCTTTGTCGTTTGGACATTGGATGAAGAAGAGAAAACGTGGGGTTTCAAGGCCAGTCCAAGGCCAGCTAGGGTCGGTGATCTATATAAAATAAAATATATAAAAAAAGAGAGGTACCTCCGTCATAGCTGTGGCTTACACAAAGGGAGCTTACTACGGATAATCTAGCACGACGGCCTAAACCTCGGAGGTAAAACAGTTCCAGGAGAATGGGGAAGGGAATGTGGTGGCTGTCTACGTATTTAATTTGTTGGGTTCTTATAATGATACTCTGGTAAGCTTTATTAATATGTTTTAAAGGTGGTGTGGGTACCTTGGAATTAGGGATGTGTTGTCAGTGGCACAAAGATATGCTATATATATATATCAATGCACTTGTATCTGTAACCTAATAAAGTGCTTCCACTTAAATTTTTGTGTTGTTTGTATCATATAAACTTATAACTCCCATATTTCCCTTTTCGCACAAACCCGTACCTTGTTTTTCGTTTTTTTTATGGTTGGGTGGTTAAATAGCTTGTTGACGAAGGTGTGTCTGTGTGTGTGTGTGTGTGTGTTTTGAAAAATATTAAGATATATAAACTTGAGCTCTTTACTAGATTATCACAAAAGGGTAGCATTTATTTTTATTTTATTATACTTTATAAAAAGTAGCTCAAATTTGGATCTTCTACGTAGAAAAGAAAAAGTGTGCCAGCGAGATTCATTGTTTACGCATTACCCTGTGAAAATCATTTCCTCACTATTTTTTCGTAACTTGGGTATGTGCAGGTTATATACATCTACTATATGTATGTATGTATATACATGTCTAATAATCTCAGGGGTTAAATTCCAATATCTATATATCTAATCGCTGATAACGCTTCGTTATTATGTATAATAGATAGTATATAGTCTATTTGAAATTTAGATTATAGAACCTACAGCTGTAGGAAAGGGTAAGGGGTATAGATTTAAGCGTGTACGCTTTTATTTAGCTAATAACATATCAGCTTTTAATCTATTAGTTTTACTTTTTAGCAAATACAATTTATGGGATTTTGGATCATTTTAAATTCTAGCCAATGCATATTCTTAAAAATGGTTAATTTAAGCATTTTTTCATGTATCTCTTGCAACTTTTATATTGGCTCAAAATATCCAAGTTTATTATAGTGAAATTGCTTTATCTATTACTTTATTATTGATCAAGGCAGTAGAAGAGTGATAGAAGAAGTACGCAAAGGACAATGGATAATCCTAGAGGGACGACGTTTCGATTTTACCAGACCACCTAAATGTGACTTGTTATGCAAAGTCCAATAATTATATCTGGTCCCTAACGATCCGTAATAATTATAATAAAGTTCATTTAATAGATAGTGTATGAGCTTGTAGCAATTTTTTCGATGTTGATAAAAAAAAACTTTTCGTTCAATAATATAGTTTTTGAAATTTAAAGCTATACGAAAAATTATGTTGCCTATCCCTATGATACTGCATAATATTGTTGATTTGGAAAATATCATTCCGATTTCTTTTTCCATAATACATATCCTTAAGAAAATTGATTATCAATTTAATTATTAAATCAGCCATTAATCTTATTCTTGATAAAATCGTTAATGAACCAAGTTAAGGCTGTTCAATAGAATATATTTGAACCTTTTCTTCTCTATAGTGCTATTCAATAATATCTTTCAAATAAAAGAATTTTTAATTTGTTTTAAACCTTTTTTTTAGCTGTCCAGATAGACATTATGTATACTCCAAATGTGGAAATGCCTCTCTTTTTTTTCACTCCCCTCGCTGGGGGGTATCGGAATCTCAATCCACGATAAAAACAAGCGACATGGTCCTTAGTGGCTTGTGTGCCTTTCAAAAAGAAAGGTTGGCCCAGCTGGAAACATCGCTCTACCAAACACCATGTTGCCTGTCTGCAGACGTTCATTTGTCCAGGCCTGTTCTATCAGACCTGCATTTACAGTCCAGAGACGATGGGAGTCGACCGGTTCTGTCGTTCCTCCAGTTGATACCGAACCTGCACCGACTGTTCAGTTGGAGGGTATTCTCAATATCTTGGAACGTTCAGCAATGGGAACCAAAAATACCACAGACAGCATTTCCAATGCGCTCAAAGAATCAGCCAATGTGAATGAAAGCAAGTCTTTAGGTAGCACTTTTGACATCAACTTCATTACAAAGTCCCTGTCAAGCATCTCAGAGTCACCCTACCAACTCCACATCAACGCCACCTTCAACAACACTATCCTGACCCTCACACGCCCCAACGGTTCTCCCCTCGTAAACACATCAGGCGGAACTGCAGGATTCAAAAAGGCTCAACGCAGTGGCTATGAAGCTGCTCACCAGGCTGCTCTCCAATTGCTTGACAAAGTCCAAGCAAAGAACCTCAATGTAACTAATATCCACATTGTCCTCAAGGGTTTTGGCCCTGGACGTGATGCTGCTTACAAGGCACTCGTTACAGGTGTTCAGTGGAATGTTCGACGCATCACAGACGCAACTCCTGTTCCATTCGGTGGTTGCAGACCCAAGAAAGCCAGACGTCTCTAGACTTTTGGCTGTGCGTGTAGAATGAATAAATGTTTAGAAAGAAGCTGGTTTTTTCTGTGTGTGTCCCTCTGTTTGTGTCTATATATACATATATACATATACACATATACACACATATATATGCTTTATTTGATCGGAGGAAAATGTACAGTCAGTTTAATGGCATTTCATGTAAAAAAAAATGATAAAAATAAAAGAAAAATTAAAAGAATAAGTGGAAGTAGAAGAGAAAGGATGTGTCTGTCTGTGTCGTGTGTGTATTTGGATGAGTTTGCTTTTCTTTTTGTTCTCTCTTTCTTTTTGCTTTACTGCTTCGTTTTCTTTTGGAAAAAGCGGTGCTTTGGATTTGAGATTAAGGAGGTGCCGTCCCGGGTGCAGCCATGCCTTCGAACAACACAGGCGCCTTTTCACTCTTATAGAAGCATTGCAGAGAAAACTGCTTTGCATCATGATCCCAATGTGTCCAAAACTTTCCTGGCGCACGATCAATCTCTTTACTTTGAACCTTGAAAGCAATAGTCTCGTATGGTTCTGCGGCGATCAACAGATACTGATAGGCTTTGTTGGGTGCCTCGACTTTCTGTTCGTATGCTGCCATGAATCTGTGACGAGGAATAACTCCAGTAGCAATCTGGGGATATTGAACTTGGAAAAGCAAGCCTAGCTGACGCGTTACTGGATCACGCACCTTGGTTACGCGATAACCAGGTCGTCCAATCTTGATGATGTTGCGATTTGGGACAACCAAGGGCTTGGCTGGTCCAATTGCAGGCTGTGCAATTGCAGAATCACGAGCTTCTTTTGATGCACGTCTGGCAAGATTAGTCTGATGCTTCTTTCCCTGTGTGTGTGCGAGATAGGATCCTTCGCTAGTGTGTAGGGTCAGACAGAGCTTGCACTCATATGAGCCTAGATGGTTTTTCATAAAGTAGGGATCCTTGGAGATGTCGATTGTCTCCAGCGCAAGTTTGCGCAGACGTTCTCTTCTGTCGACATTCGACTCTGACCAACTCGCTACACCACCACTTCTGCTTTTACTGCCCACTCGGTTTTGGAAATCCATGATGAGAAAGCTCACAAAGAAGAAAAATAATGGAAATGTTGCAGTTGGTTGGGTGTGACTTGTTTTAAGTATGGCGGGGTAAATGATTCTCAAATACACACACCCACACAACAGACACAGACATAAATTAACGTATATTCTGTATATATATATATATATATATATATAGTTGCCTTTCTTTTTTTTTCTAAGAAATTTTTTGAAGCTTTAGACTAAAACCAATTATGACAAGTAAATTTGTCTTTTGTTGTTGTTGCTATTATTGTCAGAAAGATGTGTAAAAACAAAATGATTTATATTGGAGATAAAGAATTATCTTGTAGAAGTAATATTTATTCCAGGCACATCAAAGACAACTTCTAACATCACCTCTGTTGCTACCATCATACCATTTGTCTCTACTAGTCGAGCAAAATGTAAAGGCATATCCTTTAAAATATCAATTCTATCTTTTTCCTCCCCTTTTTTTGTAAAGAATAATAATTATAATACAACACCAGTGGTATATATATATATATCAAAGAGAAAATAAGGTCAAGGTTTATAATTTGAATATATATATATATCTTGGACTTACACGCTTTAGAAGGATCCATTTCAAGACTGATGTCAGGTACAACCAATTCACATACATTGACTCCAAGATCATTACGGTTAGACTCCTTGGCCAAAAGTTTCCATGAAAAAATTAGCTCTGGATCATCGTCTCTAGAATAATAACAGCAACATCAGAAATAGCAATAGCAATATCAACAATAAAATTAAATAGTGAGCTGAATGAAAAGAACCCCCAAAGAAAAAAAGGAGGGAACCAAAAGGTTCAAATGTTATTACCTTGGTCCAAGGAACTTTAGCTGATCAACACCAAGTTCTTCGAGTGTAATAGGACCATTAGTGATTCTCTCCTTGAGTTTATCAAAGAACTTTGATCTCTCGTTTTCTAATTCTCCATAGTGTACCAGCAATCGGAAAAAGGAGAGAACGTCACCTTCATCCTTAATTCTAAACTCCAAAAAAGAATTATATAAATGTAATATGATTTACATGTCTATAAAAATCTACACAAACATAGACACATGCATATACATATATATATATGTGTGTATGCGTGTGCTTCATTTCAAACATACTGTTGAAGTATACTGCCAATATTAACTTGTGTCTCGATTGCCAAGTCAAATGAAAAATTGTCCACTACTAAATCTGGCTCATACACATCAAATGATACATTGAACCATTGGTCGTAGGTCGTTCCCTTTAATTTACACTGCCGTATCTCTCCTAAACCAGTTTTATTATTTTGATTATAGTTATATGTATATGTATAGGTATAATTGTAACTGTAATTGTAATTGTAATTGCAATTATGATTTGATAATAAAGTATTATATATCTAATGATTTTTGCTTCATTATTACCTGAGCCATCTGGATTAGAAATGAGATAATTGTTGGTTTCTTTGAAATGGAGATGAGTAAATTCACCCTGCTTTTGAACCTGTTGTGAATTTAAAACGATAATTCTTGTCAACATAAACTACTGCCAATGTATTCGTTTATTCACCTCTGGATCTTGCAGTGCCTTTTCACGTAATTCTGCGTGTGGAGACACAAAGTCGCTTCCGGACATATCTCCGGGATTGGTCGGTAAAGGCGCACCACCTATGTAAAGCATATATTCACTGCGCATAAAGTAGTAATAATAATATTATTATTATGATTAATAGTCGAGTTCTTGAATATGTTTATAGAAAATGCTTAATTCACAAACATATATATATATATATATATATATATGCTTAATTATCGTACAAGACAACATCTTCATCTATTGGTTCTTCAATCTCTTCTTCTACAGCCTTTGCTCGCTCTTCTGGAGTCATTTTTGACAATGAGGCTTCTTTAATGCGTCGCGCTTTTTGTTGTTCCAATTCTTTCTCAAGAATATCATTTTTGTCATTAATGCGTCTCAATTGAATCTTTAGTTCAGCCTTTTCTGCTTCCAAAGGATTGGCATTCTCTGGCCAAGTTTTTGAATAGAAATGAGCCTAATTATCGTTTATGTCAGAATGAAAAGAACGAGAAGCTGCTTTTGTTTTTGTTTTAAATTGAAAATCGTACAATATCATCTTGGATTTGTTCCTCAGTGGCAACTTGCTGTGCTTCTAATAATCTTTGTTGAAATCTTGCATTTGAGGTTCTGAAATCAAAGATTGGTTCTTCTGGATCACTTGATAAAGGCATGTAATTCTATATATACATACATATATATATATATATATATGTGTGTGTATGTGTATGTATGTGTTTGTGTGTATCTATCTATATAGATATTTCTAGTGTGCGTTTTGCATTCTTTTTTCTTTTTTTATTAATAAAATGCGAAATGAAATATGGTGTAGGCGAGTCACAATAATGAAATATATACTGCTGTGAGCTTGTATAAATATAATATAAAATAATACATAGTAGAGTAAAGTAAAAGGAAAGAGGTTGCATGTCTTATCATTTAACCGAGGCTCAAATGGCTGTGTATTAGTTTAGGCAGTAATATATATATATATGTATGTATGCGTGTGCGCAGTGTGCGCAGTGTGGACTGAATTGAGTCGATTAAAGAACATGTGTACTTCTTTTCTTTCGTTTTTTTTTCTAAAAAAAAAAAGAACTTTTGTTATTGGGTCAAAATCTAGTATGGTCTAAATCACCACTTTTCTCCACAGTGAATAACCATATCCATATATATATATATATATATATATATGAGAAAGAGAGGGAGAGAAAAGAAACAAAAGAAACTATATATTTATCCTGTCGTGGGATTTAAAGACCCATGGGATCCGGATGAATTATATATTGCAAATTGAGACAGTTAATGGTAAATAAGAAGAAGAAGAAAACATGATAGTCAGTGGTAACTATGGATACTTCAAGTACACAAATAAGTGTATTAAAAGATAAATTAGTACATCATAGATACAAAGATAATTATTCTCTTTTGTCTTTCGCTTAAGTTTTCTATTTTTTAAAAAAAAAAGAAAAACTATTATCACGCTGCGGAATATACAGATTATAAGCTATATATATATATATATATATAAAATAGGTATTTTCGACAGTGGCAATTGTATACTAAAACTATTGAAAGTATCTATATATGGTAGGTATATAAAGAAAATCAAAAATAAATAAATATCCAAGATCTTACTATCATATCTAAAGTTCTTATCTCTAGGTTAAGATTAACGCAGTAACAGAACGTCCTTTTCTGTGCGGCTTTACCGTGCCCTGTCCTGTCATGCCCTGTCCTGCTTTGTCCTGAATTGGATTGGATTGGATTGAATACATATAAAGTAGGGGCACACTGCGATCCAGTGGCTTTTCATATTCACAGGCTTATCTGACAAATAAGATATTCATGGGCCAATCATATTTAATCTCAGCATATGAAAGTGAGTTTGCCTGGCAGGATTTACAGCAAATGTACGCGATAATCACTAAAGAGAAACATATTACACACAATTAGAATGGAGAAATATCTAATAAAGCTGACGCAATTTTCAGGACACAAACTAACCACACATCAAATAAGAAGAATAAAGAGCAATAAAAGAAAAAACTCCCCTCCTTCCAATGAATACATATAGATCTATATTTTATAGGCTTTATATACATATGTGTGTGTGCGTGTGTGAATTGAATACTAATAATTTGTGTATAAAAATAAAGAAAATAAAATAAAATAAAAAGTGACGTACAGGAACAGATTTAAGTCCATTGATCATCTATGAATTTTACCCATATTTATTAGATTCCAACGCCTCTTAATCTTTCTATTCTTCTTCTTGTTCTTGCACTCATTTATATTCTCCTTATTCTTTGTACAACAAGCCAGAATCCTATCTTTAGTTTCTCGAAAAGAAGAGGATAAAGTTAAATTCGACTACAAAGACGAAGACAAAGACGAAGACGAAGACGAATAGAAAACAAAATAAAATAAAATAAAATAAAATAAAATAAAACGAAATATATAAAAAGAAGAAAAAGAAAAGTCACTCCTACTCTTTTACTCTTTTACCCACTATCCGTCAGACACCGAATCTACACACTAAATTTCACCACAACTCACCACACACTGCACATTAAGACTTGTTCTAGCGAACTATCAGCTTCCATTACGTCACTCTATATACATAAATACATAAATACAAGTACCTAAAAGGTACAATACAAGATTTAGCTCTGGAAAGACAGAAAGACAAGCTGGATAAATTTGCAATGGCCAACAATTCGAACATAAAGTGGAGACATTTCATGTGAGCAAAAAATAAAACTAAATAAAATAAAAGTACAGAAAACAAATAAACGAACGCACTTCCAGTTTACTCGGATAAGCAAGATATTATACATATAAAGAACAGCAGAACATTCGCATAATAACCCCATGTCTGTTAGCCAGACACATGAAAACTCGAAACATGCTGTAGCAGGTGCATTGGCAGGACTTGCAAGTGCATTTATTACATGCCCCTTGGATGTCGTAAAGACAAGACTTCAAAACCAAGGAAAAGCACAACCAGGACAAGTTGTTTATCGTGGCACGCTTGGTAAAAGATCAAATAAATGCATTCTTTTATATTTTTTGGTGTGCTTAATATTTTAATTATTTGTTTAATTAATTAATTTTATTATGTTGTTATTGTTTGGGTATCGATATGTAGGTACTCTCTCTAAAATGTGGAAAGATGAAGGAATTCGTGGTCTCTACAGAGGATTAGGTCCGACCATATTCGGGTACTTGCCGACCTGGGCCATCTACTTTACAGTTTATGATTATTGCAAAAATTCATGGGCGTCGGGTAATGGTAAGTCCAATTACACACACACACACACATATATATATATATATATGAGTGTATGTGTATGTAGGAAGATATATTTCCTTCATTTCTCTAAACATATACTAAAACACACATACATACAATAGGACAACATGACAAGGATTGGGTAGTTCACATCACATCAGCCATGACTGCAGGAGCAGCATCGACTACACTAACCAACCCTCTGTGGGTTATTAAAACACGTTTTATGGTGAGCTTATTATACATAAAAAAGAAAAGAAAGGAAAAAAGAGTAGAAATGGAAAATAATGATGAAAAAACTGGGAACTGACGGGAAACAGACACAAAATAGTCTGACAGACTACCGATACAAAAATACACTTGATGCCTTTGTTACTATTGCAAGACAAGAAGGAATCCGTGGATTTTACAAGGGGCTGGGCCCATCACTGCTTGGTGTCAGTCATGTAGCGTTGCAGTTTCCCATGTATGAGAAACTCAAGTATTTGCTTCGTAAGTCAACAACTATTCGTATTCTTAATAGTGAGATTGATACTATCATTAAGATAAGAAACAAACAAATATGGATAGGAATAAAGAGAGATAAAGAGATAGAGAGGGGGGAAGTTTTAGTTTAATCGGAACTTGTACTAAGAAATAAATTCTAATATTTGAGTAGAAACAGATGCAGACGTCCCGTCTGGATCGGTTGCCATTCTAATGGCCTCCTCTATATCCAAGATGGCGGCTAGTATGGCGACATACCCTCATGAAGTAATATCCTTATCTTTTTTTTTAATAATAAAAAAAGAAGACATTGCATTAATATATACAGATACATATCAACTAACCTCTTCTTTCTTTCTTTAAATATATATATATATATATTCCTATGTGCGTAGGTGATACGAACACGGCTACAAAACCAGGCACGAAAGCCGTTTAAATACCATGGCATTTTACATGCTATTAAAGTAATTAGTCTTGAAGAAGGTTTTCGTGGTTTTTACAAGGGAATGCCGACCAATCTGCTGCGCACGGTCCCATCCTCAGCCATCACAATTCTCACCTATGAAGTTATTGTTCAAAAGATTGATGAATTTAAGAACTCATGAGCCCAGAATCTTTGTATTGCTTTTGTCTGTTTCTTTCTTTTGTTTTGGTTTTGTTTTATTGTGTGAGTGTATGTATGTATGTATGTATGTATGTGTGAATATGAATGTGGTAGTGGTAGTGGTAGGGTTTTATTAAACAGAAATAATAATATTCTTATTATTATAAAAATGTAAAAGTAAAATGAATTTGTGATCCAGTATGTATACAAAAATGTGTATCTGTATTGAATGTTTATACGTGTACGTTTCGATAGAGACAATAGACAATATAGGCTATTTTATGAAAGCAACGCCGTCCAAATTCCGTAATTTGCTTTGTATGTTATGTTTTGTAACCTAAATTTCAGAATTTCGCGACATTATTTTCAAGAAATATTGTATAGAACGGATACGTAAAAATAGGTTGGTACCTCAAAAGTGAGGAAATTATTTATTATATATTATATATTATGAAGAATTAATAAAGAAGTAGTTATAAGACAAGGCGCTGTAATCGCCAGTATTGCGGACAGCAAAGTAATTAATCGCAAATGAGTTATGTAAGTAAAGAAAGATATGAAAGTATAAATAAATAAATAACTAATTATATATGTATAAAAAAAAGACTAATGGAATTTGTGAGTATTTTTTTTCTCTTTTTTTTTAGGTATTAAGGAGTTTTAGGAAGCAGCCTTCTCAACCTCGTAGTCAATTGTAGCATTAGCACGCTTGAGTTGGCCAGCAGAGACCTGAGCATTGTCACGACCAATGGCATCTTCCTCAACATCAGTTTCATCCTCCTTGTGGTGCACAACATAGAAGAGTACGGTAACGATAGCACATGCGCCACCAATACCGGTATACATCCAGGTGAGCTTGGGGTCGACGGCAACAGACACGAGGGCAAAGGCAAGAGCCGAAGCAATACAGTTGGTGAAGAGGAAAAGAGCCATGACAATGGACTTCATAGACTGGGGTGCCTTCTTGTAGGCATACTCGAGACCTGTGATGGAGCCAAAGATCTCAGAGAAAGCGATCAACACATAGGATGGAATCTGGTAAGCAGCTGAGATGTCTCTCTTGACACCGAGGATGTCACCTCCGGAGAAGGGAGCCTTGTAGATCATGGACTGGATACCGGCAGTATAGCCCATGGAGGCGGCAGCAAAGAAGAAACCCAAGGTGATGCGCATGATGGGACGCATGTGGATACCACAGCGACGCAGGAAAGGATAACCGAAGCGGTCCATGAAGGGGATCATGATGATGAGTACAAGAGGATCAATGTTCTGCATAATGTCGTTAGGCACGCTTCCGGTCCACATTGTACTGGCCTGGGAGATCAGGTTGTTGGTGATCTGGACGTAACACAGCCAGTAGATGGGGTACCAGCAGAAAATGACACAGGCTTTCAAGGCGCGCTTCAACTCGTCAACAAAGACATCGTCCCAGGTGACATTTGCGGCGATTTCGGGGTGGGTGAGTGCCAGAGCAGAGGGTTTGCAGGCAGCGAAGCCTCCGGGGATCTTGAATCTGAGAGAAATCAGCTTACCGGCCTCGACAAAGACAGAACCACGAGGAGGGTTCTGGACGTAGTGCTTGCGACCAAGCAAGACGACCGCAATACAGGGAACAAACATGAGGGTTGGGAGCAAGTAGGCGGGCCAGAAACCGACGTTCTTTTCGAGTTCGGTCGTGGCGATAGAAGACAGGGAACCGACGTTGATACCCCAGTAGAACATGTTGAAGATCTTTTGGTAGGTTGCCTGGGGAGTGACAATAACACGTCGGCCATTCTTCAGAGTCTTGACATAGGCCTTTTGGCTTCTGTACTGCTCAGCAACCAAAGGAGAGACGTTGGCCTTGATACCACCGGTACCGAAACCGATAATTACCAGACTGACAATGAAACCAGGGTAGGCGGCACCATTCTCAATAGCGACAGGGATAGAGGTCAGGGTGAGGATGAGGACACCAATGAAATAGATTGAAGTAAAGAGAAGAATTGTGCGGTATTTTCCGAGATACTGATCTGCGACAATAGCACCAATGATTGGAGTAACATAACACCAGAACTGGAAAAATGTGGTTAGGGCAGTTGCGACCTGATGGCCTTTGTTCAATGCACCGGGCTGTTCAGCAGGATCTAAAGATCAATAAAGAAAGAAAAAAAAAAGACAATAGTTTAAGTAAAGATTTCACCAACCAACTAACAAATATGTATTGTGAAATAATGCTTACAGCTTGGGGGATTAGGATACTGAAGGTAGTTCTGGAAAGGACCAGTGAGACCATAAAATGTGAATCTCTCGCAGAATTCAATCAAGATGACAAGGAAGGCAGAGAGTGGGATAGTATCGCCGACTTCGGGGAGATCCTTCCATTCTTCAGGAGTGGGTTCTGGGCCACCGAGCTCTTCTCCCTTGATGCTCGGGTTGTGGGAATAGTCATCAATTTGAGCGTCTTTGATGTCTTCCACCTTTTCAGACATATTGCTGTTATAATAACTGTTCGGGTGAATAAGTGAGAAGAATAGAAGAATTAGGGTATGTTTATATAAAAGAATTAAATATTTTTTTTATATATTTTAAAATTGTTATATAATATATATAATTTATTTATTTATTTAATTAATTTGTAGCTATCTAGTTATATAGTTGTGTTTTGTGTAGTTGTTTTCAAACCAAGATCTGGTTACTCAAGTGTCCAGTATAGTTAGGGGTATAATACTTTTGTCAAGTGGTTCTTGTGGAATGAACCAACAAGTACGCACACGGATTCTGTGCAGCACAATTCCAGTGTAACGAAGTGTCGGACGAATAGGTTGACAGTGTCCAGGTCAAGACACCTTCCTTTTTTATATATATATATATATATAAAAAGAGGCACCATAGTAGAATAGAATATATTATATTAAAATTAAGACCCTTTCCCAGAATCCTGTTACTGTAGATAGTTATTATAAACATTATTTCTATTCCTAGTGTTGTTGATCTATGTGTTTTTAGTGATTTCTATTGGGTTTCTTTGGTGCTAGAGAACAATTAAATCAATGCTATTCTGGTTTCTAATTTAACATTTGTGTATAAGAGATTAGACTCACAAAACGAACGAACAGAACGAATGAAATGTAGTGATTAAGTATAAATCCATTTTGGTTGGCTATTTGTTTTACTTGTCTTATGAATTAGTCTTAATATTGTATAAAGCATTTTTGGCTCTTATTTTCTGGTGTGCATAAGAATTTCCTTTCCTATCCATAATTACCAAAACTGCACAAAGTATCCCACGATCAATAAGAGAAGGGTAATGCCAGGGGAGTGGGACTCAATAGAATCTATCTCTCTTTCTCTTATTCTCTATTTCTTTCTTTGAAATTGTCATATTTGCTCCCACAGTTTCAATCATAGAGCTACATATGGAAGGTCGTCAGAAAATTCATCCACATGGCAAAAGTGTTGTACTTTTATTTTATTTTGTTTTATTTATTTTCACGCGTTCATTTATTCATTTATTTAGTATTGATCACCTCACCTTCACCTTCACCTTCACCTCATTTCAATTTTGACTTTAATAGAAAACACGACGCTTGAAATATTTGATTCTCTTGTATAAAAATTTATAATAAAATAAAATAAAAATGCGGACACAGACTGATCTGTAATCACTTATTCTTCTTTTTCTTTTATTCTTTTGGGTCTATTTGCCGTATACAATGTCACACCCAGAAACCTTGTTAATATAGTCTGAGATCTAGCTAACCAGATCGCTCATTTTGATTTCTTGATCTCTGACTTTTCATATACACATATCAAACATTCATGTTAAAGCCATATAATAATACTATTATTACTAATAGCCATTGATATTAACATGATAGTCTTGAGTTTTATATCCTACTATATATATATATATATATATATCTTGAGCTAATATAATACAGTTTTCGAGAATACAGTGGTTTTCTTTTTTTTATATAAAAAAGGCAAGTCTATCACATGACACAGACCAAGAACCGTATTGAGTGACTGATTAAGTGATTGAGTGATTGAGTGATTTGATGGAGAGGAAGAAAAGGGAATGCGATCAAGGTCCGAAATTTCACAGCACCAAAAGAATCACTCTACAGCAGAAAAAAGACACAAACCAGGATCGTGTAACCGGATAATGAATGGCTACACATGAGAACGATGAGAATCAGAGTTTATCTCTTTTGTGCAAGTGCTACAACAGGTAGGAGATTCAACATCTTGTACTGAGTAATAATCTATTTCCTTTTCTCTCTCTATAACTATAACCATAACTATATCTGTAGCTATAGCTATAGTTATCTATCTTTGTGTACCTGTGTGTGGATAAATCCTTACTCAATTTAATTTATTGGCTAGAACTCGGCGGCTTTTATATATTTACCAAGGTTATGGTTAATAGTTTTTTTAAAAGGATAAAATCAAGCTTGTTAGAAAAAAGAGTCTTGGTAATTATGAATACCTTGAATATATTTAATGATAAAGTACGTTTGATTTTATTGTATTTCTTTATTTCTATAACTTTTGTTGATAATTGAATGATTTATATGTACAAAATAGGACAGGCTACCCAATATATAAGGGTTTGGTGTTGTGTGTAAATTTCATTATCGTTATAATCATCATCAGTACCATTAAATGTCTGTAGTCATAACTGTAGTCACATTCGTTTGTTATTGGACCCTGAAACAAAAATAAAGACCATGAAGATAAGCCAAGACAAGAAAACAGCTGTTTAGATATATCGTGCTTTTTATTATTATTGTTATGTATTATACATTTTTAGTATATGTAACTTTTAATATCTAAAGAGATAATAGCAGTAGTAATGGTCCTGTTACTGTTATTGTGTTTCTTTAGTAGGGTGATGGCATTCTTCTTTAATATTCAATTGATAGCCATACTTTGCTTTATTGTCCTTTATATACCACTATTGTAATTAGTAGGTTATATTTTTATAGTAGCACCAGAGAAAGATATACAACATTGTAAATAGCTGAATTAGATATCGTTTCCTGTTTAAATTGTATTTATGACAAAGGTGAGAAATATTTAAGGACTGAAAAGAGAATATATTTATGATCATGGCTCAATTATTTTTTGGTTGTGCCATTACTAATAACAATAATAAATTATCGCATCAGTTAAAATTAATAAACATATAAAGGTATAAATCTAAGTGCTATGTGATTCGGATTCGGATTGGGATTTTGGTTTGTATAATAAAGGTAAAGCATAATAAGTGGTAAGAATCATATTACAAATTAATTGAAATATACACCCTACAATTTCCATTAATGAAATGCCTATTTTAATATATATTTATATATATATATATTATAAAAACCAAAACCAAAACCAAAACCAAAAGCAGACATCATTCGATTTCCCTACAACACACTGTAAACAAGAGACAAGGGACCTCTCTACCAAAAATGCGGATCCAAGAATTTCGTGCTCGTGTCACACCACACCACACCACATCATTTGGCGCTCATAAAGCCATACAGACACACTAGAATATAAATATACATAATTTTGTATATAAAACCATTTGTCCGTCTGGTTTTGTGAGACACAGATCATACTGGAGCACTGAAGATCCAATAGAAAGAGAGAGAGATGGGTAAAGAAAATCATTGGAGCCAGCATGCTGATTAACCAAATGCAAGTGCAAATGCAAGTGCAAATGCAAATGCAAATGCAAATGCAAATGCAAATGCAAATTCGAATGTAAATAAGGATAATAATATAAACAAAATATTTCAAATTCCCACGATAACGATATTTTTGCCCACCCTCTTCCTTCTACCTTATCATTTTTTTTTATCGGATGTAAAATTAAAACTCATGACTAAATAGAAAGTCCAAGCCAATAATCCTACAGAGAAAATAACAAGACTTAATAAGGGTACTATATTATTTTGTAATCTTTAGATATATTTACATTTAATTGTATATATCGAAGGATATAAGAGAATGACTTGGGCTGGCTTGGTATGGCTGAAAATAAATAGTATTAATAATAATTCATTTGTGTAATATTTGTCTATATATCGATTTATATGTATATCCGAAATATTTCCGCTTTTGAAATAATAAGAAAGGTGAATTGTTGAGTCAAAGAAGAGAAGTTCATTGATGTATTGAACCACCTGGTAAAATTGTTGATTGCTTAAAACAACTGACAAAATAAATTAATTAATACCTGCCTACTTACCTACTTACCTACTTACAGACACACATGTGCGTGTGCGTGTGGTTGAGTTTTAGAGTACATACAGTGTATATGTATATATACACACACAATATTTGGGTTTTTACTTGCACAAGTACAAGTACAAATACAAATACAAGTTGTTTATTTTTATTTGGTCTTTAAATACATATAAATTGTACCCAACAATAATAAGATAGATATGCTAAATAGCTTGGTAGTCCTTATTTGGTTTCAACTGAAGAACAAAAACAGAATAGGAACAAACGATGCATAAATAATGGAAGAATTGAAACAAATCACGACAGATATTGAATAATGATCGCGTTTCTTGTATCAGCCTTCTTTTGGGCACTTATCAGTCAATTAATGTCTGTAGTGCATTGTATTTTTGCAACAACATCTAACCTTGTATAATTACTGTTCAACCATGCCAACACCAACACCAATACTAAAACCAACACCAGCAGTAACAGTAGAAGTAGAAGTAGAAGCTAAAATCATTGTATTCTCCGTCTGTTATCTTTCTATTCCTCTTTTTGCTTTTATTTATACTTTTATTGCTTAACCGGAAATACGTATATCAATACCGATATCAATATCAATGTCAATATATTGCTTTTTCTTTTATCTCTCATTTTCTGAAACTATTGGCTTGTTCTATATTCCATTACACACCCCAATACACACACACACCTACACTGTACATTCAAAAATATCTTTTATAGATTATTTTTATAATGTAACTGCCTTTTTTGGCATTGGTATAGAGTCTGTTTCTTATTATTTTGTGTGTTTAGAAAGAAAGAAAAAAAGACGGAAAGGAAGGGGTACTCAGTGATAATGTTCGTCCCCGGATCGTTTAAAGAAAATATTGCTAGATGTAAACTATGGTGTAAAATAAAGATGCTATTAGTGTATGTGGTAAATAAAAATAAGATATTTCTTATTTCATTTCTACTTTTTTAAGTAATTCATCCGCGGTGTTCGGTGTAATATACCAAATAAACGCACACCCGCACACACACACACACACCCGCACACCCACACACACACCCACACCCACATACATATATATGTCAACAATCTTACGGGGACGACATTTTCAGGATGGGGCACTACCTTTTTTTTTGCCGGACTAATTTATTGTGACTACTTGTCCGAAGTCCAAGGTCTTTTCTCCAATCCTTTAGAGCAAAACGATATGTCCTGAAATTCTTAATTCAATATTTAAATATAAAACCT